TTGGTATAGTTCTCTGAAGGCTTTAAAAAATCTTCAGAGAACTATACTGAGCTAAGAGCTACGATTAGAATTTAATTTCGAATTAGAATTTAGAATTTAAGAGCTACGATTTTAATTTTACTTATAATATATGTATATGTAGTTGTATAGATTTATACAGTCATATATATAACTAACCTAACCCAGCCTAATGTAATTTAACCCAACCTATACATTCATAGTTTACAGTGCAATTATAAGAATTTTTGAAAAATTATGTAGGATCTTTAAGGTGCCCTCATCAGTCACCACTGCGTGTACCGGCTAGGTACGGCATTGGCAGCAAGCTATGACGTTAGCTGACGCATGTGCATAAAGCTCTCGCGTGAGATAAAATCTCATGACTGCCCAACACTGCCGGTAGTATAAGCAGTCGACTAATTGTAAGACATGGTAATCTCTTTGTCTTCGTACATCGACATTTGCGTTATATACTATAAAATTTAATTATATGGATTAGCAAGTGAATAAATATTTTTATTAGTTGAAAATATGTCGGCTATGTTAACCGCGGATTGGTTTCCTTTGGGCAGAGATGTATACTTTAGGTAATTTTGTTGAGGTTACAATTTGACAGTTGAGTAAAAACAGAGTGATTAAAGAACCATAATCATTTTTCAGAAAGTTTGAATTGTATCCACTATCTTTTCAACACGAAGTTTCGAGTAATAATCTTTTAGTAGCAGCTCCTTATGGAGGTTCTATTGCAATTACCAGAAATCCAAAGAAATTGGTTAAAGTTCAAGGAGTCAATAAACCTATGATATATTTGTACACATCTTCTGGAAAATTGACAGCCAAGCTACAAGTAAAAAACTACCATTATTTTTTTGAAGTTTAATGCTTAGCGTAAATACATGATTTAATTTTTCCAGTGGGGTGGTGCTCAGTTGGTTTGTTTAGGATGGTCTCAACAAGAAGAATTGTTATGCATACAAGATGATGGTATGATTCATATATATGATATGTTTGGCACTTATCAACATGCATTTACTATGGGAAATGTAAGTCAATGATAGATTGGCTGAGTATCTATGATTTAATTCTACGAATATATAGTTACATCATTGTTTTTATTTTTTATATCAGGAAGTAAAAGATACCAAAGTTGTAGAAGCAAAGCTTTTTGTCAGCTACAGCGGTACAGGCATTGCAGTTTTGACTTCTACTAATCGTGTATTCTTAGTGAATAATGTGACAGAACCAAAAGTCAGACAAATATCAGAAATTCATAGTAGGTTTGATAGACAGTATTTGGCATTCTTTGTTCCTGCATTCAATTTTTACCTACAATGTGGTTTTTCTTTCTCAGGATATGGAGGTACCATAGATTGTTGGTGTTTAGTACATTGCGATAGAGAAACCCGTGTGATTCTATCAAACCGAGATGGAATATTTATTGTTCATCAGTTGTATCAAAATACAGTCCATATACCATTTGTACGATGTAAAAACTTTAAATGTTAAAAAGTAAGAGAAATTCGCTTTGAATATTTAAACTAATAATATATTTGTTTTTTTAGGACAATCTCTTTAGCAGACACAATAAAGTGAGCAGTGTAATAGCTATGGCTGTGTCAGGAAATAATCGTCATATTGCTCTTTATACAGATACTAGTCATTTGTACATAGGTTCTATAGATTTCAAGAAAAAATATTGTGAACATTACACAAATATGAAAGAACCATTGACAGATATGGCATGGTCAGTTTGATTGTGTCGTTACGTATATTCTTTCAACCAATTTTCTGATACACGGATACTTGTAGGTGTGGAACTGAGGCTGTAGTATGTAGCTGGGACAGTACCGTGATGGTGGTCGGTCGAACAGCTGAAATAATAGTATATACTTACGATGGCCCCGTACATCTTATTACAGAGATTGACGGTGTGCGTGTACTGTCTGGTTGTTCTCATGAAATGATACAAAAAGTACCGAGCGTTGTTCAAAAAATATTTGGAATTAATTCAACTGATCCAGCATCTTATCTTTTGGAAGCTTCTAAACAGTTTCAAAAGAAAAGCCATAAAGCTGACAGTTATATAGATCTGGTTAAAGATAAATTAGATGTAGCTGTAAAAGCTTGTATTGATGGTGCTGGTCATGAATTTCATTTTGAAACGCAAAAACTTTTAATGAGAGTAAGATTTCTAATTTTTTTTTACTTTCTTCTTATGGTGTACGAGTTATGTAATATTCTTGTTGATCAATTTAGGCTGCCAAATTTGGAAAAGGATTTAGCAAAACAGTTAATCCCGAGTATTATGTTGACATGTGTAGAACTCTAAGGGTCTTGAATGCAGTCAGACATCCTGCTATTGGAATTCCATTAACATATACGCAGTATCCTTTTATTTTACAATTAATTTTGATATAGATATCGCGTTCATTTTTACAACTGTTCATAATAAAGTACTTAATAACGATAGATTTACTGTTCTGACGAGTCAGGTATTATTAGATAGACTCGTTGCAAGAAGACATTATTATTTAAGCATACAAATTGCACGACATCTTCAATTGCCTGAAATTGAGGGAGAAAGTCGAATATTGGCACATTGGGCTTGTTACAAAGTAATGTGCTTGCTTACCTTTAGATTTCACTTATTTCCTGTATATATTTGTTTTTCAATTATTCCTATCTTTCTTTTTGTAATAGGTAAAACAGACACAGCTAGATAAAGAACAAATAGCAGAAGAAATAGCTGATAAATTAGGATACGCGCCTGGAGTTTCGTACAGCGAAATTGCTAAAAGAGCAGCTGATTGCGGTCGAAAACAATTAGCTATCAAAGTAGACTATTTATTTTCTATGAATAAGCAATGCATTATCAGCATTCTTTTAACTTTATATATATTTTTGCAGTTGATAGATTATGAACCACGGGCACATCACCAAGTACCGCTTTTATTGACCCTCGGGGAAGAAAGGGCTGCTTTACGTAAAGCCGTTGAGAGCGGAAATACAGATTTAGTTTATACAGTGATACTTCATCTTCGAGAGAATATGACACTTAGCGATTTTCAGGTAAATCGTGTTTTTACTGTTCCATTAAAAATATTTTAAAATATACAGATTTGACTAAGATTCATAATATTAATCCAACATAGATGTCCATAATCCATTGTCCTTTAGCGATGGCCTTGTACATTAAGTATTGTCAAAACCATAATCGGGAAACTCTTCGTGATATTTACAATCAGTATGATGACTTTCATTCTCAAGCGATATGGTTTATCACCGAAAGTTATCAGCGAAAGGTTAGTAATCGTGTTTTATTTACATTTGCTAATCAAATATTGATACGATTAATATCGTTCAGAATGCAATGACAAGAGAGGCATTATTGCAATCAGCACAAGAAAATTTCAAGTTAGCCCGTAATTATACAAACGCAGCTTTGACGGAAGAACAAATAAAATTGTTGCGTTATCAACGATCTCTAGAAGGCGTATTGCATGAATCGATTGTTGGGAAACCGCTTCATGATACAGTACAGATATTATTGTTACACAATGAATTGAAATTAGCAGATAAATTGAGATCAGAATATCGAATATCAGATCGAAGGTATAACGAGTAATTTTCTCGATTGTTTAATCAATTGTTATCTCTATATATATTTTGTTGCTTTAGATACTGGTGGTTGCGAATACATTGTTTAGCAAAACAGGATATGTGGATTGAATTAGACAATTTTTCCAAAAGCAAAAAGTCTCCTATTGGTTATGAGGTATTTTTTTGGTATTTTTTAATTTCAAAGTAACTGAACATTTTCATATAACAATATATTTTTCTCCCTCTTTCGTTCGTTTCAGCCATTTGTAGATCAATGTTTAAAATACAATAAAGAAAGAGAAGCAAAAAAATATTTACCTAAAGTAAGAGACGAATTAAAAGTAAAATATTTTGTCAAATTACAGTAAGTACACGTGAATAACTAAGAAAGTAACATATTTATTGCACTACGAAAAATATAATAAAATATTTCACACAATGTTACAGAATGCTAAATGAAGCAGTTCAAACAGCAGTAGAACAAAAAGATGTTTCTGCGTTAAAATTTATTTTGGCGCAATGTAACTCTTCTGATAAACAGTTAGTTGATAAAATTAATATGCACATAACAAGCTTTAAAAATTGACACTCTGTTAACACGATTATGAATCATTGGTTAAAAATTGAAATTTATGTGTATGTATTTATAAGAAACACCATAAGGCGCGCATTCATTAACAAATAATTTTTTAAATTGGTTTAAATTAAAATAAATGTTATATAACATTTTTCTTAAATATACATACATATATGCATGCATATACACGAACATGTATATGCATATTTGCATGTAAATATTATTACTATGTATAAAATGTTAAGGATAAATTAGTAATAACCTTTTTTAAATTCCTTGATATGTTAATATAACATTCATTTAATGTAAATATATAATATATATATATATATAAAATTTGTATTACTTAACATCACGTAATGAACAACCATCAACTTCTTTCCTCGCTAGATTTTATGAAATTTTGATGTCTAGCAACAATGTTGGCGACAATAAAACGTTCGATTTCTTCACCTTTACTTAATTGCTCATTAGTGAGAAAAATAACCTGAATATTTTCTTGACTAACAATAGTTACTTGCTGTTTTCGAGTTTGTAGCATATTTGCTATAACCAGCTAGAGAAAAAACAATTAGAATATGTATAAAGAAACTGTGAATTTTTTGGTGAAATAATTGAAATTACTTACATTATGTTTGTATCTATTGAGTGCATTTCTAGCTTTTGCAATTAAAAGGTTTTCGTCAGTTTCCAATTTAAAAGACACTACATATGCTCGTGGAACCCACAGACTTACTAAAGGCGCTAGTACTTTAGGTACTAATTGAAGCGCTATCGTTTGCGGTTCTTCCGAAGAAATTTTGTGAACAGCCTGAAAATGTTGAAAATAGTTGTATGTGTAAATAAATTTGCAGAGCTTGTTTTTTCATGCATAAATACAAATTAATGCACTACCAATTCATTAGAAGGAATGTAAAAATCTGAAACTGCAGCTGCAAGATACAAAATAGTTTGGTTTTTAAATGAAGCTAGTATTTGACAAGCAAGTCGAAGAAGCCAAAGGTATTCAGAAAGAGTAGTAAAAGAGACTTGTAATAATTTGTCTTGATTCAGAGCTTCTTTATATTTGTTCAGTATAGTTGCCAATTTATCTGTGTATTGTGGCATTACTGAAAATAAATATGAATTTTGTAGTTAAATTATGATTTAACATAACATAAATGATTATTTGATTCTATATACCTGTAATTATGGATTTTCCATCTTCTTTCTGATTAATCTCTAACATATCTAAAAATCTTTGTCCTGTAAAGTGCCTTGAAAATGGTTCCAAGGATTTAACTCTGTTAATGGACAATGAATAATATATAAATATTAATTTAATACAAAATAAATTTTTTTAAACATACATGTTAAATGTTTGTAATACATTAATTACCTGTACATAAATATCACAGCATATCCATGTTCTAAAAAATATTCTGCAGATAGAGATCCTCTAGTTCCTGCACTAAAATTATCAACAAACCTTACTGTATTACGTTCTAAAGGAATTGTTGTGCCACCACTCTATAAAAATAATATATATTAATTTCAAATAATAATCATGTAATATTTAAAAAACTTAATACTCACTGTAACCAGAACAACTTTATTGTTTTTTTTTAATTGTCTGTCTGCAAATTCTTTTAGTATTATTTCAGTCTGAGCAAAATCTTGAGGTGGTGGATGTTTGGCATAAAATTCTTCCCAAGTTAAATTCATGATTATATATGTTCCGTTCAAAATAAAAATTAATACAAATTCTGTATAACGACTATTATTTTAAACCTTGTAAGCTTATGTAGCAAATTGTACATATAAATTAGAAAGTAAATGTTGAAAAAATAAAATGTATTATATAGAGGCAGTATACTAATTGTTAAAAACAATAATTTTCTTACTAAAACAATGATTCTTTGTAACACTACAATATAATGGTATTTTAAACGAAGCACAACTAGATAATTAGTATGAATATGTGTGACTAATTAACATTCAACATGTCACGTCAGTGATGAGATATTGACGGATGAGATGAGACGGGTTTTTTTGCGCATGCGCAGCAATTTTAGTCTCAGTAAAGTACAAGTTTTAATAAAGTGAGGTACCTTAATCACCCCTCATTATTTTTCAAAATTTTTATAATTTGGTTGTGAAATATGAATGTATAGGTTGGATAATATTAGATTATATACATATTTTCATAGTTGAGGAGCAGATGGAAAGGAAAGGTACTTAAATAATTGTAAGAAAATATATAATAAAGCCATCTAGTGGCGCCGCTAAATACATACGCTGCGTACGTTCCTGCATTTCTCGCGCATGCGCGCAAAAACCCGTCCAATATCTCATTCGCGCAAAAACCGGTCCAATATCTCATCACTGGGCGAGTTGCTTGTTACGAATCAGTACTGTAGTAGTGTTTGCGAATGGATACGATTGAACTATGTAATATCGTACCATTGGGACTGCTGTATACGCTCTCTAGTGATGTATTTAGTAAACTACTGTTCATTTAACATGTCGTATAATCGATAAAAATGTTCTGTATGGTTATATAAAACATAAGACACAAAATATAATAAAATGATTTATTTTAAAATTCGTCTGTAACTGTAATATAAATCTCCTCTACTTTCATCATCTTCAAGATTATAATTATGTGTACGAAAACAGTTAAATAAGAGCGTAGGTCGTAAATGATAGAACGGTAACCACTTTCGAATAATATATTGCATAATAAAGATGCATTCAAAATATATGGTATATAGTTGCTCTAAATATGGTACAACAGAAAATCGCAATTTATTTTTGAGCAACATAATATTTCTTCTTACTCGGATTTCATAAATTGCGTATTACGAAAAAGATACAGCTTCAAATACTTGAGATTTGAGAATTCAGCTTGACTAACCTACTTTTGTAGCTTTAATTAAATAAAGCGCAGTTTATTCACAATACAATTTTTATTTTGTATTTAAATATTATTTGACTTCGTACACCATATTTAACAAAAGAATACAAAGCTATATATTCACGTATTAACAATACTTGACATTCAGCAGATCAAAATACGTAAACACATATTGAAATTAACCACTATGTCGTTTTATTTATCTATTACTTAATACTAGTGTACAGGGTATATTTTTAGTATTCCGGAGCTGGTGATTTCTGAGGAAGAGTATCCTGAACTTTTATAAACTGAAAATAAAAATACAATCATCTTTTTATAAATACGTAAGAAGAAACGTATATCGATTGTCAATAAATTTGAGTACCAAATACATGATAATTGTTTATTTATATTTTCACTTCTTATTTAAATATTTTCACCATAAAATATACCTTATAGGATCTGTCCTTATAATCATTCCATGGTTCGGTATTTTTGTTAGGATGCCACGTAACTTCGGGACTTTTAACTGCTAAACGTATCGTGTATAATGTCGCTCCAGTTGCACCCACTCCAAGACAGAAGAATAGTGGAATTAACTGAAAAAAAAGCATTTAATGACAATACTGTGCATAGATTTTTGTTCATTAATTTACTTACCATGGGATTCTTTTTTAAGCTCGCCCATGAAAGACCTGGCATTCGACCACCGCCACCCATTTTACCGTATTCAGTGCAAGACTCGACTGACTAGAATACGTATTTCAACGTTTTGATCGGTCGCTGTTAGAATGCTAGTACGCAATTAACGACATACAAACGAAATTTCCATAAAGCGAGTATACCTTGAGGATTGATGAAGCAATTTATAGATCACTGTGATAGGATTCAAAAAATTATTTGCAAAAATAAATTTACAAACTCTTTTTTTACATTTATATGAGTTACGTACATTAAGGGTAGTTTTATATGTACCTGAGAATATACATGGTGTTAAAAAAGCATCATATTTGCTTGGTATTATCCTCTATCGAATGGTGTTAAACAAATACGATATTTTTTAACACATTGTATATATTATATGTTGATTTGAGAACTTGCACCAAATTTATCAAAACTTAGAACAAAAGATTATTACAGTGCACAGTGGTTATTAAACATGATATAATATTTAAATGTTTTTAAAAAGAAATAAATAGATTGTTTAAATTTCTGATTAGTTTAAAATGAATTTATAGTACCAGAATAGAATTGACCGTCTACCTCAATTGTTACTTCGTGACGGTATTTCACAAATAAAAGTAGATTTTTACAGCATTAGATCTGTATAAATATAAATGTTGATCTCAGTCATCAGGGTGAATGCAACGATGTATGTACGAAAGTCGAATCAAATAATATGTGTATTAACTTGTGCTAGAGATGCAGTACTTGAATAAGTGGTTAGTTAAAATTTGCTGAATTGCTTGACTATCGATGTCATTATATTAGTCCAGAGTAAGAATGAATGTTTGTTAGTAATACGTTTGAAAAAGTCAGTAAGACGGCGATATTTAGTTTTTCATCATAAGCGGGATGGGCTTTTCTACGAGTTTGCAAGGACAGTCATCGCACGAGGCGTTACTCGCCCGTCAAGATGCTGAAATTAAGCTTCTTGAAACCATGAGACGATGTTTAACGCTTAAAGTTAAATCAGATCGTGAATATGCCACGACGATTTCCTCTTTAACGATGCAAGGGAAAAAGATTGAACGTAACGAGGATCTCGTTGGTAGTCTTATTGCACAGGTATTTTTTCCAAAATAAAGTAAACTGATGGTTTCCAAGCTTGCACAACTACTGTTCAGAAATATTTTCTTACACAGCATTGTTGTTATAGAGTTGGAGAGATATAATGGATTCTATTGATCAGACTGCTAAATTAATCAAGCAACAAGCAGATACTATTGAAGCAATAGTTGTCGAACATATTACAACGTTGTATTCGGAAAGAAGACGTGCTAGGAAACTATATCAAGAAGAACAGACATGGTTAAATAATCAGTTTCAACAAGTACGTAGATTAACCAGACAGATCTGTATTTAAAAAATAATATGCAATGTATTACACGTTACATCTTTCATGTATTATAGTTAAATGAAGATGTTGCCAGAAAGAAATTGGAGTATCAAAAGAATCTGGAAATGTATAAACTGATGAGATCCCGTTTTGAAGAACATTATGTTAAATGTATACATTTCTATTATTTTTATTCATTCATTCTTTTTAGACTTATTTAGCTTATAGTCATAATGTGTTATTAGCTGGCCGAGTTGGTAGAAAACTAGATGATGTAAGAGAAAAGTATCAGAAAGCTTGTAGGAAACTTCATCTCACACATAATGAATATGTATTACTTTTGGGTGCTGTAACAGAATGTGAACACGATTTAAGAACTTGCTATTTACCGAGTTTGCTGAATCGACAACAGGCAATTCATCAAGAATTTGTAACATCATGGTAAGTGTCTTTATAAATAAAGCTGAAAAAATTTGCAACGAGTATTGTTGTTTTATATTGTAAGTCACTAATCTGTTTTGTATAAAATATTTATGCAAGCCAATAGTTACTTAACAGGTAAATGTTAATGATAATTATTATGGTGATATTGTTGGTTGTATTACAAATGAAAAGTCTTGTTCTTTGTATAATAGGAAAGCCATACTTCAGGACATAGTGAAATATTCTGATTTTACAACGGATAAATTTCAAGAAATACATTCACGGATGCAGAAAGCTGTAGACACTGTGAAGCCTGTAGAAGAGTATAGAGACTTCATAGGAAAGCATGGGTATTTATTAAAGGTTTGCTTTTTATCATTGTAAGCCACAAAGGTAAAAATAAAAATTTATTATAACTAATATAGAACACGACCAGCATCACCGATAAGATTCACGTTTGACGAGAATCTTGTAGACGATACATCAGGAAAATTATTACCAAATAAATTGACGGTAGATAATTTGACGATAGATTGGTTGAGAAATCGATTATCGGAATTGGAAGCTTCGTTGAAAACTGCTCAGCAGACTCGACAAAATGCTCAGTATCCATCAGAAAATAACAGTGATTCCAAGTAAGAATTTTTTTGTTAAAAACTATTATTACTACATTCCATTTTATGTTATAAATGTAATATATTTATTTTCACGATTATCAGAATATCAGTTTTGGATTACTCTCGTGAAAGGGAAGAGTTACGATTGCGTTGCCAAGAAAAAAAACTTCAGCGACAAGTGGACGTAATTAGAGGTGCTTTAAATGAGTTAGGTTGCGAAGAACTACCACCGGGATACGATATTTCTATGGAGAGTTCTTTTACCGATCCACCCGCTATTAATAAGGTAAATAAATCCGTGTTCAAAGAACTGAACATTTCCATAAATATATCATGTACATTTTTTAGTATTATTATTATTATTATTTAATAATGGTTCTCAAATGCAAAATAGTTTTCTCGGGAAGATTAATGTCAGTTAGTACCACTGCCTTCCAGAAAAATACAGTTCCAGATATCGGTCTGTTTACATTAAGAAGAAATCAGCGATTCATGACAATATTTAGGTCTCCCTTCAAATCTTTACCAGTAATAAACAACACAAAAGATGGAACAATTAGATCGAGTAGCGAAGGTCCCACTTCAAAAGCAGATAATACTGTACCAGTTGTATGTTTTTCCATATCTGTTACCCAGTTGTACGCGCATATGTTTTATGCTTGATTGCTCGAGTGCTGTACAAGTATAAAAAAATGTATATCAGACGCTATTAACAACTGGATATAATTTATATATGTTCTTGTTATTATTAGTAGTGTTCTGTTTTTGATATTAAGCATGCGATTTTTTCACATAACACTTGTGGTGCATCACGCGATGTTCCTTAAAAATATGAACAGTCCAAATGACGGACAAAAAGGATTTTTTAACATATACAAATTATTGATTGTAGTTAAGTCAGAGCGAATGCACTTGCAATATTATTGTAGGTACCATTTCGTGGAATTTCACATCTAACTACTAATCAGAAAGGAAATGGAAATGGCGATCTTATGGAGGAAGAATGGTTTCATGGTGTATTACCAAGAGAAGAAGTAGTAAGATTACTTGTAAGCGATGGAGACTTCTTAGTACGCGAAACAACAAGAAACGATGAGTGTCAAATAGTTTTATCTGTTTGTTGGGATGGGCATAAACACTTTATCGTCCAAACTACACCGGAAGTAAGCAACTAGTTACGCGTGTAATTACGTGTACTCATCTAACAAAGGTGTATAACTATATTCATATAAATTTTAGGGTCATTATAGATTTGAAGGCCCTACCTTCCCATCAATTCAAGAATTAATTAAGCATCAGTGGCTATCTGGATTACCTGTAACTAGCCGATCCGGAGCTATTCTAAAAACACCAATTTTACGCGAACGTTGGGAACTCAATAACGACGATGTAATTCTTTTAGAGAAGATAGGGCGGGTATATTAAAATTTAAAAAATATATATATTTATTTTGGTTTCTTAAAAATATCAAAAAGTTTTCGTTTTCCAGGGTAACTTTGGAGATGTATATAAAGCGCAACTAAAAACTTGTAAGACTGAAGTAGCTGTAAAAACTTGCAAAGTAACACTACCGGACGAACAAAAGCGCAAATTCCTACAAGAAGGACGAATACTGAAGCAATACGACCATCCAAATATAGTAAAACTTATTGGAATTTGTGTTCAGAAACAACCCATAATGATTGTTATGGAACTGGTACCCGGTATGTTGATGACTAAATTAGAACTCTATTTAAAATACTTAAATTGCGAAATATAACAATTTATTGATGCACATGTATGTTAGGTGGTTCCTTATTAACTTATTTAAGAAAAAATGCTAATACCATCACGCAACAAGAACAACTTCGAATGTGCAAAGATGCTGCTGCAGGTATGCGCTATTTGGAATCTAAATATTGTATTCATAGAGACTTAGCAGCCCGAAATTGTCTCGTAGGTAAATAAACAAATTTTTATTCATTATACGATATGTGTAATACTATAAGCTCGTGTAAGATTCACGAAAAAAATATAGAACATACAATATATTTTATTTGCCGTTTTTTCAGGGTATGAATCCATAGTAAAAATATCAGACTTTGGAATGTCTAGAGAGGAAGAAGAATACATTGTATCGGATGGTATGAAACAGATTCCAATTAAATGGACTGCACCGGAGGCATTAAATTTCGGTAATTTGACTAACAATCATACGATGCCAAGATTTTTAGCATACGAGTTTTAATCAACTTTTGTTTCTATAGGTAAATATACATCGCTCTGTGATGTTTGGAGTTACGGGGTCTTAATGTGGGAGATATTTTCTAAAGGTGGAAGTCCTTACAGTGGAATGTCTAATTCTCAGGCTCGTGAAAAAATAGATGCAGGTGACGTTTACTGAAATTAAAATAGCGATTATGTGACTGTTGTTTCCTTTAAAATTCCACCCAGAATTCAATTGATACGGGTATTTTTAGGTTATCGAATGCCAGCTCCCGAAAACACACCTGACGAAATATATCGTCTAATGTTACGATGTTGGGAATACGAGCCAGAGAAACGTCCTCATTTTGATCAGATTTATACAGTCGTTGAGACGTTGTCTCAAGCGTATTTATAAAGAATAAACTTGAGTCGGTATTAATCTGTATTATGAATAACATTTCTTTTATATCGTTTATTATAGTTGTAGATTATTTTATCAAGTTATATAATAGCTCGTAAAAATTACGAGCATTAAAAATTGACGCACGGTACCAAAACGTATATACGAGATATGGCTATGATTTACAATGAAAATCTCAAATATTGAAAAAAACTGATCTTCCCAGGAAAATTTTGATGTACTTTTTATATACGTTGACAGCAGGATGTGAAAAGGTAACAATCGCACATTTACTATTCATGATTTTAAAAAAGGACTTTAATATTTAATAAAAAAGCAAAATGCATTTAAGCAAGCGAGAATTTAGAACCTTGGTTATTTTGTTTTGTACGTATGCGATTACGTAATCGTAATAACATTTCATAGTAAACTTGAAATGAAATATAAACATAGTTGGATGTATAAGATTTTCTCAGTAAATCATGGATATATTTTACCTTTTTGCTGTGTTTATATTATTATTGTGCAAGGAAATATGTGAATATGTACTATTGCGTATTATGACATTGTATCCTACTCTGTTGTTTTTTTATTAGTTTTTTGTTCAAATTTTTAAATTATTCGTCCGTCCAAATCATAATTCAGTTTCACTTGTTACAAACGCAGTATTATAATTAACTGTTATAAACAATTGAATTAAAATGCTGGTATAAATTACTATATTTTATTAAATTGTACTGAACGAAATAAGTTTTATGAAAAATCATATATAAGAACAAAATTGATAATATGAAGCAATTCACGAATATCTACATATATTCCGTTTATTTCTATTTTTCATTAAACTGCATTATATAAAAATAAACAAAAGTTTTGTACATTATTTATATATGTAATAAGATAAAAAATTCTTAGAATATAATTTTCATTATGTTTATAAAATAGATTACGATATTTTTGTTTTTATAGAAGTTAATATTAATTATTGCTGTGCAATACACAATATATGTTTAATTATTAAACCGCGTATGCTTTATGCACAATTACATTAAATCATAAGGTGTATATATACGTATTGTACACTGTGTGAGGTATGCAAATTTATTTTATGATTAACACGAATTTAAGAACAGAAAAGAATGAAACACTTGAATGAAGTCGTGTTATAGAATAGAACTGGATACATACTGAATCGCAATGTAAACAGAATTTATGTGCGTTACCATTGTTCAATACTCATTATTATTTTTAAAATTAATTAATAAACCTTGTGTTAAAATGTTTTGTAAAGTTCGACTTTCCTTTCGTTAAACCATTAAAATTTTTGCGACCTTTAGTATAAGCGGTTCCGCGTCAATTTTTGTGCGTTATATCCTGTTCATACTTTTATTAAGTTCAAATGTATATGTAACATGTACCACAGTAAAAAGTAAAACTATTAAGATGGATAAAGTTGCAATTAATAAATACGTTTTTTATAAATATAATTTAATAAGTTCATCACTGACAGCCGAAGGTGTCAAAATGCCTAAATCGGTGAACAGAAGATTAATATAATGAGGCGGCGTATAATCAACTAACGGATGTTCTTTTTGTAAATTCTTTTTTAGCGTGCTTGCCGTGTACTGTAAAGTGAAAAAATAAGAAACAAAAAGACATTTTAGGCTATGTTAAATTCAACTATACTAGAAAGAAACTAATTAAAAATGTTACCTTGAATTCGTCTGGCAGGTCGACTTGATTTAACGGATATATTCGTGAGAACTTGAAACTTTCAGTTAATACATAAAAAGGTTTCTTCACTTCTTTTGCACACATAGCCATTGTATATGTGCCAACCTACAAATAAACGATAATAGATATTGATTATACATGTACATTATTTATAAATTAAACATACCTTATTAATAACACCACCACTTTCTGCAACACCCTCTGCTCCAACCATTACCATATCAACCTGTTCCATTACATACCCCATTGCAGAGTCTAATATTAAGGTGCAGGATACACCCAAGTTAGTTAAATTCTGGTACATTTCTTCTCTGTCAATTACAAAAATAAAAGATAAGAACACATGTATACTAGTAATTTAATAATACTAAGAGTTCTTACCCACTATTATCTGGTGAGGAAGAAGTAACATATACTTCAAATATTTTGTTACTTGCAGCAGCTTCTTTCATTGCTTGTAATACAACTCTAGATTTTGAGTGAGTAAGTATTTTCTAGAACAAATTATATATTTTATAAGAAGAATTATATAAACAAGAAATTGTTAAATACCAATAAAACAAGCAAGAATTACAGAACCATCCTTAATGAAATGTGCTGCTACTTTTGCAACCTTCCCTCTTGCAGCTACTAACTTCTCATAGAACATCTTTCCTCTATGAAGCATAATCCCTCTACATTCTGCAAATGACTAATACCACATAGCTTGAAAATTATACAAATTATTATAAAGACATGAAAATATAAAATAATAACTAAGATTAATAAAATTCTTACTGGTGTATCTAATGTGGCCAAAGTTATAAAACGAAGAAATAATTCGCTGCCTGATGCAATAGCAGTTACAGGATTTTCTGTAGATCTCATTGCATCTATTGCATTTTGTAGACAATACCTAAGCTCTTGAACTGTTTCTGCTGCAATCAAATAAAACATTCATTGAAAATACAAGTTTATTTTAAAGCGTTTCTTTAACATTTGCTTACATTTTGAGCATTCCAGAACCTTAAGCAATGTACGAATAGCAGCCATTCCGGCAGATACATGTTTTTCATCTCTAATAATGTTATTGAAATACAGACAAATTTCTGAAAAGACAAAAATGTGAAAATATGTGTTCCTTGAATTCCTCAAAGTATCATTACACTTACCTTCTTTCTCCATAATTCTTGTGTCTATTTTTGCAATGTCAACAGAATATTTATTTAACAATAAATTAACTCAGTATTTGTTATTAGTCAATAACTTTAGGTTAGTGTTAATTTTATTTAATAGTCTTAAATACTATACGTAAATATAATATACAGTGTATAAGTACAACTACTTAATAAATTTTTTGTACAAAACAATTTGTAATAGTAGAAAGATTACAAAAATGTCATTTAAATAAATAAACAAATATATGTTACATGCATATTTATTATAGGGAAAAGAATGCCGCCATATTCTGACGTGTTTTGTTCTGAAAGGAATAACATATTACTATGTCTGGTAACTAAATGGACAGATATAGAGATTTTAATCATATCTAGTCACATCCGATATAGTGACAATTATAACACACTGTTTTTTAGTTTTGTAACTCTGAGAGATTTATTTACATAAATATTTATTATGACATTCGAAATGAATGGAAAAAGTGAAAATGTTACACTAACACAGGATCAAAACGATACAGTATCTAAGGTGAGTACATAGTTGGTAATAAATAATAACAATTATGACTGTAAACAGTGATTATTATTTAAATTTTGCAGGATACATTACAGAAAGATTTGCAAATGAAACGAGATGAACTTACACGTTTAAATAGAGAATTGATTCAATGTAGATTGCAAAGGGACCAGTTCAAATTAATGGTAGAACAAATGCAAGAAAGAGTTTTATATCTAAAGAGGCAAATAAATGATACGCGTGATTCAAAGGGGTAGGAAAATTAAAAGTATACAGATAAATAATTTATTATGAATTTAAAACAAGCTTTAATACTTTATAGATGCTATAATTTGGATGATCATTTTAAGATGTTAGATCTACTAACAGAAACAAGAGAACAAAATAAATGTCTTAAACTGCAGGTAGAAACATTAAGACAAAAATTGGGGGATGCAGAAGCTGATGTTAAAGCACTTCGTACAAATGGTAATCAGTCATATGTAGAAGATGTCCAGTATGCGTCAACAATTCATCAGAGGGAAGAAATGATAGAGCAATTGGAAAGATTAAATGTTAAGGTGCAGATCTTATCAAGTTTACAAACATGGGATTTTAATTTGTTTAATCTATATTTATAAAAATGCAATTTTTCTAGTGTTCCCAATTACAGACTGATTTGCAGACAGTTGTAGATGAGAAACAAGAGCTGCAAACAGAAAGGGATGTTTTTAAATGCAAGGCACATCGTTTAAATCACGAATTGTCAAGAGCACTAAGTGCAACTACACAGATAGATTTAGATGCTTTGATTAGTGAAAATAGGTAAGGAAAAAATATTTATCCCAATTACATTAGACATCAGTATTATGATATTTCAGGTATCTTCAAGAAAGAATAAGACAATTACTTGAAGAGAAGGAGCTTGCAAGACAATCTCTTTCAAAATATAAAGTAATTATATACATACATATAAAGAATTACTTACATGCATGCATATGAATAATGAAATTTCTAGAGTATGCTGGATAGAGAACGAGTTAAAGAATCTATGAAATGGGGTACAAATGCTGCTATTGGCAGTATAATGACTTCTAAACAAGGTACTTTAGTAGTTTTATTGTACCAATTACTTGTACTAATGTAATTAAATATAACTACTTGTAGCAGAGCAGTGGTTGTATCAAGATTCAAGCGTATCGCCTGAAAAATCTGCAACGGCAATTAACGACTTACGATGTTTGTGCAAAGCCTTGATAGAAGCTTTAAACGACAAAACCTTAGCCTTAGCACATCAGAAAAAGGCAAACAAGTTAGTGAAATGGGTTTAATTTTTATTTTGATAGAAAAAACGAACAAGAATGATTAATTTTACATTTATTTATTATAGAATATTAGCACTGAGAATATGTGAATTAGATAGCGTGACGCAGTCTCCGACCACAACGTTATTGGAAGGATATACAAGCGTCGATACAAAAGGTAAGACGTGATCATAGATACAATACAGGCATATTTGCAATTTTCTATTCTCTCTTAGGTGATCAAGACTTCACCAAATTGACGCATATGTCTGAAAATAGTGTTGAAAACATGGTAGAACATAATGTTTCGACGAGCAACGACGACAGGGGAGTCAGTACAGTTGCTACGGAAAATCAAATCACTCAACAGTTATATTCAGTGCAGATGAACCTTCCAAAGAGTTTAGGACTGTTAGTTCAAAAAGCAATGAATAATTTGAGAGAGAGCGACAGGAAGAAATCTTAAAGTTATTCCAATATAGATATTTAATTGACAGGGCTCCTGCATTACTGCTAGTTATAATTACATAAAATATACATAATATTAATAGATTATCACTAATTAATGTTTTATTATTTAGTGTTCTCTTTTATTGTGCAATATCGTAACATTTGAGAGTCTGATAATTTCAGAGATATAAGCTTATGTACTTTACAGCTGAACAATGTAAAAACAAATTAATGCGTAAGTGTTCACGAATGTACTTATCTTACGTATAAAGTAGCATCGCCGTAATAAACAGGTTGACAATAGAACGACTGTACAAGATGTCGCCGTTCACGTAAATATTTCTTATGCAATATCCAGTTAAGTTGATCTAACCATGAGCAGAATATAACGTTTTCCAGTGAGTTCTGCATCAAAGCAAGTTGTTTTTTACTTTTATTCACATTATTGGACTTTCTGGAAAGTATTAAACGATTTCTCCTGTATCCTCTCACTAGTCTTTTTCTGTTTAGCATTATAAGTTAATTGTAAAACATTGTACCGTATCGTCGACAACGTTGCTGTTTTTCCTTTATCGAATTTTATACATTTACGCTCTTTTGACGAGGTAACATCTCGTTTGATGTCACATTTGTTTTTAGTACGATTACACTTTGGTATTTGAGTCAATTTCCGTTGCCGTTTTCTATAACGCATTCGTACCTTAAGGGCATCGAATTAGAAATTAGAAACAACTTCTTTTAAATTAAATAAAATTAACTATGTAACTCATGCCTGCCGAATAGCTTTCTTTTTCTTTGCTTCTTCCGCAACCTCGGTAGCTTTCCGTTCCCTTTCTTCTTCCAGTTGTCTCATCAGCTTCCGATGCTCGATACTTTTACTTCTTTTCCAAGCTTCAAAGGTTATCAACTTTTTCAGTGCTTTTCGTTGAGGTTCGATCGATCTAAGGGGTTTAAGTAAATGTAACACGATATTGTTTAAGGTTCAACTGAATTGTTAGTCGCCTAAATAGTAACCCATTGTTGCGAGTAACATCTAGGCGCTTATTTCTTAATCTGTTGCTTCGTTGCTTCCGACTGTTCCAAATCTCCACGACTTTGTTCTGATCGCTGACACTGGGAGCGATCTAACATGAATCACTTCAAATATATTCGCGTTCTAGAATATTTGAGTGCGTGAAATCAAGAATCCAATGCCACTGTACCTTGGTAGGGTCAGTCGGAAATAGTTGAATCTCTTTCGATTCATTATTCAGAATCAAATCTTCTACATTATTTTGTGAAAGGTTTTTTACACTTCGTAGAACGTTAGAATTCTTCCGTGCGTTTACTACGCTGGCTCTCCTATGATGACTCTTTAACGACAATCCGCTAATTCGACGTTTATGCATAGGCTGCCGTAATCTGTGAGAAATTAAAATTGCTGGTATATTGTAAGAAAGGTTCAAAGTAAAACTATACCGTTTACGAAAAGGCTCAATTGGCTTTCTTATATCTTTAGAAACCTGTTCGTTAGTTACTTGCGGTTTCGCATGGGTTTGTTCGCTTTTCGTATGCATTGATCTCTTGATATCCCATTGTTCGTAAATCATTCGTTGGAATCTGATCGTTCCTTCTGCGATTGAGCAAGTTAAGGTTTGGAATTTGGAGTAAGAGAAAGTAAGATATGATCATATTAACCGTCAACATCCGGTACTGCGTTGATTGTTTGTTTGACAAGATTTTCCAGATTTTGAACCGAAGCACTTTTAGATTCCATTTCGACCGGTATCAGGTATTTTCGAACATGGGTAATTCGTTGAAAGTGGAGAGGAATCGACAAATTTAAACAAGGTATCGGTGGAATTTTGCAAAAGTTTAAAAGTATGTCGTAAAAGCAATTGGTGCCATTTTTGGCGGGTAGGCTATGTTAACGATAAGAAAACAATAGAAATGCAAAATGCGCGATCGCAATTGGATACACAATTCATAGTATGTTCGCTGAATAGTTGGACTGTCGGATAGGAATGAAAAACCACCTTTCGTATAGAATAACGAAACAATAGATTGTTTAATGCCACAAAGAAACTATTAATGCAATTACAAATATACTTACATACATACAGACATACTTTTACGCGAACGTAAAAGACGTGACTTTACAAACATGTGACTCTATGGCGAGTTTAATTTTACTTCGTACAGCAAGATAAGCGTAGAGTAACGATACATCGAATATCGCGTATAAACGAATTAATCATCAATCATTGGGAAATACCACGAAATAATTAACCATAATTTGGGTTAAAGACTGGGCGTCTCCCATCGGTAAAATGCTTTCACGTAACATCCCGTAGCATGGTATTAAAGATAAATAATCATTGGCACAGATATATACAGCCGATAAAAGACTTGATCATCAAGGCAATTTTATCGGAAAGAAAAAAACGAAAGAAAAATTATTGCATCGTCAAAGTTAATCCGATAGACTAGTTCACGGTTAATTCGTATTACTCTTAATCCAATCGATATATTCAGTGACACGCGTGTAAACCCCTGGATATCCTGGTTCTCCGCACTTGTTGCCAAAGGAAACGATACCGATTTGTATCCAGCGACCGTCCGCTCTCAGCATTAATGGCCCACCGGAGTCGCCTTGGCACGCGTCTTTGCCACCTTGGCTGTAACCAGCGCACAAAAAGTTGCTGGTGATCGGTTGAAAGTAAGCCGCGTTGCAATCTTCGTTCCTCCATACTGGAAGCACCGCTTGCCGCTGCACCGTGCTCTCTTTTCCACCTATCGATTACCTTCAAATGTAGCGTTCGTCGAAAAAGTGTAAGAGTTAATGATTACATACCGTAGTAGGTGGTACCCCATCCGACTACCGTGGGTCTCGCGCCAGCAAATCGCTCGTTCCGGTAACGAGATTGTGGCAAGCAAATTGGTATTACGTATGGAGATTTTCTGACGGGCCTAGTCAGTTCGAGAACTGCTATGTCGTTGTAGAATCCGACTCGCGAGAATTTTGGGTGCGCGTGAATTTTCTTCACCATGTAGGTTTCCGGAGCGGAGGGTTCGTCGTCCCTCTCGAGATCTATGTCCCCGAGTCGTACGGTGAACTGTCTCGCGGCAAATCTGTGATAAATATTTAAAACCAGTCAAACATTGAGAACCAACTAAAAACGTTGAGGACCAAAAGGTGAAACCTGGAAACTTACGGCCGTTGACGATGATCGCGCGTACAGTGAGCAGCAGTGAGAATGTATCTTGATCCAATCAAAGAACCACCGCACCAAAATTCCGTTCGTTTCGAGCCATGTAGAAATATTGCGGCCATCCAAGGCCAACGTCCCGGTAAAGCTTCCTCGCCGCCGACCACCCGATATTTACCCGAGTTTCTTACCCCGCATTCTAAACACGGTAACACAGGAATTTTTATTTTGCCCCTTTGCTTGTTTGCATGATTCTTACCTTCGTCGTCTTGGATAAAATTGTTGTCGATGGTGGCAGAAATGGAAGGTTCAACGAAACTGTTCGATTCGTTGAAGGATGGATCAACGGGCGGCAAAGATACGAACTCCGTGACGGAAGGGTTGGTCGTCGTAGAAGGTACAGAGACGGGGAATAAGGGAATCGGTCTTGGCGTCTGTGGTTTCGTCGGACGGATCGGTGGTCGTGAATGTATGACTGCGGGTCCTGGTGTCGGAATTACACTGATTATGGAGCTGAAAATTTTGTGTTTGTATTAGATTCTTTGATTTTCTATGATCCAATGTAGCATCAGCAGTTCTCGTTACCTCGGTCCATCGTCCGGTTTATCGGTTAGCGGACAGCAAACGCCAGGTACGAAGAGGCTTTTGAAACACAGCGATTGTCTCAGTTTGGTCAGATCCAAGAGAAGCTGAGGGCAATTACTGAGATCCTGACATTTTCCGGGGGCACCGTCCGCTGTGGTGCAACTGGTCGACGTTGCGCTTGCGGATGGATCTCTTTCTCGATCAGTGATTTCGACAGGGGAGCCCGGCGTAGCTCGCAAGGGCATCGTTACTCCTCGAACCAACGGTGCTATACTGTCGGTTACATTGCGACCTGAAAACACGTACTATTATGAAAAGGAAAATCGTAATGAAAGGCGACGACATTTTATAAAATTTTTTTCTGTTATACCCAGAATATTTTTCGAAATGGTGTACAAGGCCGATGGCAGTTCTTTCGGTGGGTAATTGGAATTCTCCACACCCCTGGTCATATTGACGATGTAACTGCCAACGGTATTCAAAGCACCTAAAGTCTCACTGATCGCTATTAACGGATCTGCCGATGTTTCCGATTGTCCCGCTTTCGCTAGTCTTACGTAAGGCCGCGTATCCCTCCGATTAATTCCTGTGACCGATCTTCGTGGGCCACCGCTATCCCACGCTTCCGCTTCGCTCCATCCCCGCATGGGTGATATCGGTATCGGTATCGCTTCGGAGACTCCGTACCTGTTCGACGATGATGGTATCGCGTCGTAGGTGTCGCGTACTGCTAAATACCCTTATGTTATTATACATGTATTATACGAAATAAATTTCTTTCAACAGCGTTCATACTCACCGGTATGATAGCGGTAACGCGACATGTCCTCGCTGTAACACCAGGCACTCGTTACCAAACTCCATATCGTGCACAGTTCTGAAACATTCGAAACGATCCAGCACACGTATAACTCGTAAGCGTGACTCTAATACGATCGCTCATCGTACGCGATAGCGTCGGGGATGAAGTACCGATTCTTTCGAATTTTCTGAATCATGACTGGAACGATGTCTGCTAACTTTCGAATCTTCCAAGAAACGATCGAAACGTTGGACGATGACGATCGATGGACCGTCGCAAACACGAAAGCAACTGCACGATGCATGATGCACGCTCCATGCTCGTATTCTTCTCCTACCGACCTATTAACACGATTTCCCCCCTTGGATTCGCGAACTTGAGCAAAATCGATAGGAAAATTCTTGAGTACGTAACTCGATTCTTCGTGAAATCGAATTAGAAGCGGTAACAGAGGCGCGAGCGAAACTTGTCACGCTTCGCGAGCGAATGCATCGTGATTATCTGTGCAATATAGATTGGAACATTGGAACAAATCGATCTTCGCGAACGTAGTTTATTTTTATAGCTAATTTAAATGCTACTTTGCAAAACTAGTAATCCGACTTCGTACGCCCACCACAGATTTATGCTCCAGTATTTCGCGGAAAGAAGGCTGATAGAAGAGAGAGAAGAACAAGAAGAGCCAAACGTAACATGCGTGGTTCGTGGAGGGAGTACTTTTTCGGAGAACGAGTCGACGCACACGGACTTCATCGATGGTGAAAGTTGCTCGACGAGAAAGCGCGCCTTTCTTCCGTTCACTGATTCATTGCTGATACGTACCGACCACGGATACGCGAACGCGCCGCCAAAAAAGAGAGAATAGCAGATCGAGTGTCTCTCATTTGACTCGCGACGAGCTACGAGAAAATTTAAAGATTTACAACAAAGCCGGTTCTTTTACTTAGCAATCGTGCTTATCATCTTTCTTCGCGGAAAGCAGTGTCGCATGATTTCTATCCTTCTGTTACGTTTACTTTCGCCGATGCTAACGCATCAATTTCAACTTTTTCGAAAGCACAATCATGCGACGTACTCTCTTCGTCCATTTCTTCGTCTACCTTTCGTGCCTTAGTAATTCTTTTTTCTGTTCAATGTACTCGATCTGGACCGCGAAGCAATTTCGAACGAGCCAAGTTGCGCGCAACTCAACCCGCACGATGCGGGCAAATTGATTATAATTTTCGATTCGATATTGCGTACTTGAATTTATGATTAGAGAACGTCCTATTTAAAAAATGTTAAACGGAAGCTATCGATAAAAGTGAAACTGTTTTGATTGCGTAAAAACCCAGGCGTCACTCTTTTGAAATTTTCCCGCGTAACGCGACGATTCCCATAGGTAATGTTTCGCGCGCGAGCGATGCGCGATTTCGAAAAGCGATGTTGCGCCTAAGTCTAAGCAAGAATCGAGATCACTTACCGAGAACGGTGGACAGCCACATTCTGACGAGGCAACGTATCAATGAATTCTTTTCACCGACATTCCAAATGTTTCTATCGTCACCGTACCTGACACACTACACCTAACGCGAGACGCGAGACACGCGACGTTGAACTATTTCGAGAAAATTGTTGCGTTCGCGAGACTACCGGCGAATTGTTCGCCGTCTATTGAGTCGTGACAGGGAGAGAGAAAGAGAGAGTGCGTACATAGGGAGGGGAATGGCCAGAGAGACGAAAAGGAGGGAGTCGATGAAAAAATTCAAGCGGAGGAAGAAAACCGTCGAAACGCGCAACATTCGTGATTGCACGGGGCAAACCTCGGTCACGATGACTGTCCGTGAAAAGACCTCGACACACTTTGTTCTCGGCGGAATCCTTCCCTCACTCTCTCCGTTCTCTCGCTCTTTTCTCCTTTCTTCCTCTACGACGCCACGCCGCTCCGCGATGTCCCTAACTCCGATCAACCGAGGGAAAGTGTTCCCTACCATTTCTATTCGTTGCCCGTTTCTTCCGCTTCTACGCTCCACTCGTCTCGACTCTTCCCAACCGAGAAACGTTTATTCGTCGCGTTAAGGCGCAATGACGCGTGATCCTCGACGAACACTCGTCCACTTCGGAATCATCTTTTCGACCTGCTCGCGCTTTCGTATTCGATTTCTCCAGACTCTTTACGAGTATCGGTGGTAGTAATCTTATCGTTAAAATACCAGAATGTAATATGTCATAAATTTATTTATGCTGTAATAGTGGTTGCTACACTGAGAAACGTCGTGATACGTGTATTCAACGTACCGAAGCTGACTCTCAACGTCGTTAGATGTACAGTTCTTATGGAATTCAATATACAAATTCAGTCATATCCTTACAGAATATGTACGTGTTTCTACGAAGAATCGGCTAAAGATATATCGTGTAACTGCGCGTGTGTGATTCTATGTATGTAATATCTTCGGTCCTACGAGAATGCGTGTCCAACGATGTAACGAACGCAAGTTATCATCGTTTCAAATAAATTGCAGTGAGCCATCGAACGCGTCGTACGATTATAGTTACGTGACGAAGCGAATCAAATCTTTGTCTCTCTGCGAACGGTTCTTTCTAAATCTTGCGAAGCATCGAAATCATGTCTATTAACAAATGTACAAAAATTCATCAAAATCTTAGTTCGGTGTTGTAAATACCATAGATTCGTATGCGTTTCGCTTACGTACACACGCAAAAGTAATATTTCACGGTGGGCGTTGTTATACATTCAGTTAGTATTTCTTTTGTCTATTATTGAGTCGCCATAATATAAATCCAAAATCAAAGATACATTGAATTCGCACATATTCCAATAGAGCTCTTGGAATCGCTGCGAGTGTCGAGAATGAGATGTTCGCGCGATCATCAAAAACTCGATCCACGATTAACTTAAATACAAAGTTGCAAAGAAATGTCTACGATGTACATAAATTGTGTATGCACAGTTGTTTATAACCGACGCTAATCGTGTATGCAAATATTTGATTTAAGGACAATTTTAATAATAATTCGATACGCACGTGTTTTGTGATTGTGTTATGCACACACGCGCGCGTGCCTAGAAAACGCGTCGATATTAAATTTATAATTATTCGTTGCAGTAACACGAATCAGTTGGATAAAATCAATATTTTCTCATGCTTTGCATAGACGATTTATACGGATCGAAACGATCGTAAGATGGCGTTGTGCCGGGTGCTGTTAATCCCATAGACTGCATAGGACCGCTTTGGTACGTCGGTGGTACCGGATGTCGTAGCGTGTTTCCCATGCTACTTGAGTTACTCCATCTGAAATCGATCGTACTTCGTTACGATGCCGAAGAAACGTAAACGAGTAGTTACGTACCTGTTTACGTTTTCTGAAGATCTAGAACTCCAGCTGGATGGTTCGTTACGAGGATCTCGGGTTCCGCTACTCGTGACCGAATTAAACGATTTCGTAGACGGAGGTCCGGAATGCCAGCTGCTAGTTGTTCTGTTACTTTCTACGTAACGACTCTCACCTACGTGTTGAAAAGATTATAAGTACAGAATTTTTCTTTAACCAACCATGTTTGAAGTACTGTATTATCCTACTAACGTGGGGTACTGGAACTCGCAGGCTTAAAGCTTTCATTGTATCGCGTATGACTATCCCTTGAACTTCTATGAGTTTCCGTGTCGGAACGTCGAACATCGCGTTCACGGGTGTACGTAGTTGTACTTGGACGTTCGTACCTGCGAAAACGTTGCGGTGAAGGTTGTTTCTGTCTAATCGGATGAAATTTTGACAAAACTGAACTTCATGTAATCATTCATTAGCATCGAGTTATATCAATTTATTCGTTATCGTAATTTACCTTCCTTTAACTTGTCGAGGATCTATAGACGACGTTGATGTGCTGAGCGTTTCTCGGCGAACAATCACTTCTCTTCCACGCGATACGTCGGAAAAGCTTTCTGGACGACTACTACGTGAAGTAAAATCGCTGCTACGTTTAAACTCCTTCTTCAGTCCCAGATCCTGAGCAGATCTGCGATACATTATATTACATTTTTCATCTGTTCCTTTAATTCGTACGTTCTTAACGAGCGGAAAGGTTGAAACGATTCTTACCTACTGGATTCGTAACGAGTAGGTGGCGACGCATCTAAGGCGCGTCTATCCGAAACACGATCCAAAATTTCGCTACGACGGTCGCTCACACGTTCTGGAGTATGTCTTCGACTATGCTCCGTGGCTATACGCTTCCTGTCAGGTTCCACGTACATGTCTCTCGGATCCCTTCTGTCGCTCGAAGATCGTTTTATGGACGGTGGCGGTGGAGCGCGTCTACTCTCTTCTAGTCTCATCTGCTGCCTTTTTAATTCCAATCTTTCTCGTTCCAATTTTTCTCGTTCGAGTTTCTGACGCTCGCGCTCCAATCGGAGCAATTCAGCCTTCTCTTGCTCAATTCTTTCCCGTTCTCTTCGCAATTTCTCTCGTTCTCTTTCCAATCGCGCAGCTTCTTCTCTTTGTCTCCGTTCAACTTCCCTCTGTCGTTCCATATCCTCTCTTCTTCGTCGCTCTTCTTCGCGAAGCATTCGCTCCCTTTCTCGCAGTCTTTGCCTTTCCCGTTCCTCCTGAAAGTACAGGAAATTCACGTTCCACACAGTTATTTTACATTCTAGATTATAGATCGTAGATGGTTAAATAATTCGATGATTAAGCCGTGTACCCTAATTTTCGCGAATGTCAGTACATCGTCGCGTCTACGTCGTTCACGGCTACGAGACCGCGTATGCGATCGATGATGATCCCAGGATCGAATTCTCTTCTCGTCGCGTCTTCCTCTCTCGCTCTCTGGCTTCTTGCTCGTTGACTTGGTCGATCGAGAGTCGGCATCCTTCGAAACGGTGTCTTCTTTCTTCTCCTGTACTTCTGACTTCTTGTTTTCGGCGATTTCGTTGCTTTTCTCCTCCGACTTTTTCGCTATCGTTGGTACGAATACATCGTTAAATTTCTCTGACAAGACCGACAACGCGTACAGATCAATTATTCGCTAATCACTCACTTGCTTCCGATCCTTTATCTTCTGCTTCTTTCTTCGTTTCTTTATCCTTACGATCATTAATGTCATGACTATCCTTCGACTTGTCTTTCTCTTCTTTCTTCTCGGACTTTCCATTCGTCGTATCTCGCTTACGCATGTGACTCTGCTGAGTGTCACCCTTTGCCTTTGAACGTAAAAGAACACGTTGTAAGCAGCCGACGATATACGTAAAAGGTCTGGTGAACGCGTGTTCGCTTAGTTTGTCGCATCTACCTTTTCTACCGATATTACGCGCCCGTGAAGCTCAGTTCGGTGCAAATGTTGTATACACTTTGCAGCATCCTCGCTCGTTGACATGGTAACGTAGCCGTAGCATCTTGCACCGGGTGTTCTTGCATTCGTCACTACTTTAGCTCCGATCACTTTTCCGTACTTTGAGAATATCTGCTTCAAGTCTGTAGCACGAGTACTCGAGGACAATCCGGACACCCATAGGTTTCTGCTGCTCGCGTTAACTGGACTGACCTGTGACGTCTTTTTGTCTGGAAGGCAAAGTAAAATAGAAACAGAAATAGTAATGAATTATGGGAGATGAAGAATTACGAATGAAGGAGAAGGAAGAAAAGTATTTCACCTTTATCATCCCTTTTCTGACTCTTGTTACCGGACTCCACGCTGAAAATGATTATTTATATTATTACAACAAACAATCATTGAAATAAGTCTTATTGAGTATGCAAGTTAATATTATAAGAACTATCTTTTTTTTCGAGGCTTAATAAGTACCTCTGTAACTATGTTAAGCGTATAAATTTGGCTAGCAACTTTTTTATTTATAATATTATGAACATTGTAGTTGTCATCGTCATTATCACTATCATCATCATCATCGTCACCATCGTCATTATCATTATCGCCGTCGTAATCATCGCTATCGCCTTCACCATCATCATCATCATCAAGTATTGTCGTTATCAATAACGATAACAACAATAACAACAGTAGCGATAATCGTAATAGTTAAAACACGATCTGGTATCCAGTTTGGCGTTCACTTGTACATCGTTGTTACAACGACGCGCTTACAAGTTTACTTTTAGTTACTATTACGTATTCGGTGTGGTCCGCATCAAGGTTTTCATCTTTCGTGTGTAACGAAAGCTTACGGTTTCTACTGCGTGATCCCCTTTAGATATACGAGTTTTCCAGAAAAAAAGCATCTCCTTCGTCGTTCTTCCGAGAGGGTACTCCTTGTCAGGTTGGACCAAGTATCTCATACGCGATATAAAGTGGTAGTTTTCTTCGATGAACATGATTGCTTGATGTCGCGTTACAGTTCAAGGGCGATCTGCCGATTGCATAATTTGTCTCGAAATACTAATAATCTTGCTATCATGCTTGATGAAACTGCTGTTTGTTTTATAAACGAATATCTTCGTCACATTTGAGAAGGGCAGCGTACAAAACTCATCGGTAATCGTGGAGCGTGTAAACACCATTAAAAAATATTCGTTTACAAATAAGAGAGTTGGTATAGGGACTCGGTTAAGTTTGCTAGCCAATTTCTCGATTTCTTAACATACTTTCCAGAGTTAAGAATTACAGCCTAAAACGTACGAGCGAAAAGGAACTTCGTATGCGATTGAAAAAAAGGGAATAAAGTAATCTTGCGTGTGACTTGGACGAATAATTTCAGCTTGGGAATCCATCGTTCGACAGTATGTTATCCTGATGGTATTGTATGCGGCGGAACAGCATCGCTAGCATAGAGTTGTGTGACATTTCGTTGTCGTACCACTGTGAACCTTTTAGCAATGAGAGACCAACCTCTTGCTTCCGTCTCCACCACCGTCCTGCTTGTTCTTCGTCCCGACGTTTGCACCTGATGTCGACCCTTCCTTGTTGCTGGCACCGGCTTCTGCTCTACTGCTCCCTTTAGTGTCTCCCTTCTTGTTTTCTTCCACTTTCTTCTTCTCTCCTCCATCTGCAGAGACAATCAAGGTAGCATAGTCACTTTCTGCGAAGCCAGATTTCTTCTCCCTCCCTAACGCTCCCGCTTAGTGGCCTGTATTTCCTGCATGGAACTTTTCCGAGCCACTAACAGACTGCGCAGTGAATTATGATGAAGATCACATGATCACGATATCACAAATTCGCTCTTCAATGGTATAATCCATAGCGACCCTACTTTGTTTTTTTCTCTCTTTCTCTTTACAACGATTTAAAATTACCTTAGTACCTTTTTCTACGACTATGAATTAAAGCCTGAATCAAAAGAAAAATTATAGGATAGAGAACGGTAGAGAAGGAAGATGAAGGATAAGAAGAAGTAGTAGAAGGAAGAAACAAGGGGGGAAAGAGAAAGAGAAGGGATCTACGTATACAATATCATGCCAATAATTATGAATTCCGTGACAAAGTAACCGCGCATGAAAAATTTCTCAAAAAATAGACTATTTAAAGGCTATTTTAAGTCCATAGTTCGAAGATATCGATTTCTCCGATGTGATAAACAATGTTGCATCGTTAATGGTATACGAGGAAGATTTTTGGCTTGACATACACTTGAGTCTTCTTCTGTCCGTTTAATTTGAAAGTAGAATAATCCAACGATGCTCTATGCGGTTAGGTAGAATTAAATGTAAGTTTATACCGAACTCTAGCGTTAACTAACTTATAGACTAGCACTTATGGGATAAACTTTGTATAAAATATGGATGACAAACAGTGTAAGAACGTCGACGAATATACGTTTCGTTCAGATTGAAACCTCATTGATCGCCATGACGTAATACTTTGTAGATAAATCATTTTATGCCATATTCATGTTTCCTGCACGTATGTTTGTTCACAAACATGAAACTCGAAGAAACCTTCGTCATAAGATGAAGCGCGATGTGCAATTTTGTAGACTGATCCAACACGTTCGACGGTCTGGATAGACGATGTGTTTTACACGCAGATAAACGAGTCCCTTGGTCTTGATGCCGCATACTTAAATAACTCACTCGTGATCGTAGATAAAAGTACTCCTATATATATTCCTTGAAAACTTACGTCTAAATAGAATATTATAAAATTTAACGTCCTCAAAAACTTACCCTTGTGCCTATCGTGAGATTCTGTCTGTAACATAAAAATATATGCATATATATATAATTATCATTTTCATTTTTTTTGCTGTAAACATTTTTGCTCTCTTTCATTAATTTTATTACCTCCTCGGCGAGGAGATTCTCTTCATCTTCTCCGATAGTTAGATTGATGGAATCCTCGTTGTCGATGCCGTTAGCTTCGACCGTCGAAATTGAATTAGTCGAAGTTTGATTTGCCACGGTACTTGCTTCTGATTCTACTTTCTTTTCAACTACCTGTGTAGTCTCGGTTGAAAGCTTATTTAAATGATTCTTAATATCTGGTTTGTGCTCCACTTCCTTACTACTGGTATTTTGAACTTCGCTTTGAGGTTCCTACAATAATCTTTCTTTTATTACATGAAATAATATTTGCAATATAGTTAGAGGTACACGTCATAACAAATGCTTTTATCGTGCTTGATACAAATTTGTATCTACCTCTGTCTTTAATGCCATTGTATCTTCTTCGGTGTTGGACTTTGTTTCTGTTTTGATTTTTATTTCTGTTTTAACTTTTGCTTCACTAGCATCAGGTACTTCTACTGGTTCTTCCTTTAGATTTTCTAGTGTTTCAGCAGACTCATCTTGATTCGTTGTACCTGTTACTAAAAATAAAAAAAATAAAATTGAAACTGAAAGAAATGTAAATATTATATTTAACTGGTATAGCATCTAAAATGTCTTACCACTATTTTTTCTTGGGCTAACTTTACACACTCCACCGCATGGTACTATCAAATATTCATCAGGGTCTTGACCTTCGTCGGTTATAGCCTTTATACATAAAAATAACGATAAAGGTGCTATGATTGAAACAAAGATAATTGACAAAAATTTTAAATATATGATTTCAATTAAAAATTATATTTTCGCCGCTCATGATCTAGATGAATAATAAAATCTTTTTTTAAACTTAGAACTTGAAAGATGAAGTAACTATTACAAAAGTTTTATGAAAAATTAATTTTACGGCTATATGGATTAGGTATGTTTGGAATGAACCACTAACGGAATCAATGGGGTTAAAATGGCGACAAAACAACAAGAAACGTTAGTCAGATAGTAGGAAGAACAATTTGAAAGAGCCAAGATAATTTACTTTGGAGAGACGTTCGAGAAGCGCTGCTTTATTCCCAGTTTTGTCCAATCCGCGACGCTCGAGTTCTGTTTTTAAGTCTATAACTCGTAGCTCGGTAAGCTTTTTTCCTTCGATATCAGCCATTATTCTCGTACGAAAAGTGTCCCACACAAGACACGCTTATACTTCAAAGTTTACAGTTCTGCACGTGTAGGAAATTATGAACAAAATCCTCATGCATACACTGAATAAAACGATAAAATCACGATATTCGGGTGAGAACAGTTGAAAGATATTTTACAATTACAGAGGGAGAGTCAGGACAACACACTTCGAAATGAACAATCCATCGTAGTCGCCATTCAACGGAAATGACCGGAAGTAATTCCCGCACCAAGCAAGTAAAACAGCCAATCGCAAATATCTGGAATGCCGTTCTATTGGAAAATTACCAACGCAACTTCTGCTATTTTACACAAATTTCAGCAACTGATAATTAGATAAAGTGACAAATTAAAAGTAAAAATGTAAAAGATAAATTTTCTTTACTATATATAGTATTACGTACAATATGTATTCGAATAAATATTGACTATTCTTTGTACATGATCTTTTAAGATGCGTTTAGATTAAGCGAACATTCGCTTGCCCACCCTTACGCGTATGCAGGAGTGTGGAAGATAGCCTCTTCAGGTTTCTTTCTCGTTCCTACTTTATACGTTTCATCTAAACTCGCCTTTATAACGAGTCATCTTGTCACTGTCAATTTTGTTATTCCTCAAACAAAACTGTAATGTGATATGCAATTGCTGTATACTGTATTATATGTATGTATATAAAAATATAGAGAAAAATATGTTCTTTTAAAGTGATATATTAACGGGTGTTTATTAAAGTAAAACACTCTGCAAATAGTCTTATCAGTATGCCTGTAAGTAACTCCTTCAATGATGCATTATGATTCAGAAAATTCACATATTATATTTAGGGCGTCTCCTTCGACTTACTTAAAGTACTGGCTTTTGAAATTCATATATTTTTTAATGTAATATCTGACAATGTTGTTTAATTTCTTTTTCTTATTTTAGGCGTATCACTCAAGTTTTGTAGAACATAATGGAAACATTGGTAATATGGCACTTTTGCCAATTAGGACCCATTTTAGGGGTCCTGCACCACCTTTTAACGGCAAAGACTTAGATATAATCGACGAAGCATTATACTTTTTTAAAGCAAATGTGTTTTTTCGAACATACGAAATTAAGGTACTGATACCATAGACACTCAGTATTAAAATAATATTATAATGAGGCTGTTATTTTAGAGCGAGGCTGATAGAGTTTTAATTTACATTACGTTATACATTACTGAATGCTTGAAGAGATTACAGAAGTGTGCGACTCATGCTCAAGCAACAAATGAGATGTATTCTCTTGCTATTTCAAAGTTTGATATTCCTGGTGATCCAGGTTTTCCTCTGAACTCTGTATATGCTAAACCAAACAATCCTGTTGAAGCTGGTAAGTCTTGTGTTGCATCTTATATTAAAAAGAAATTTATTGTACATTGTATATTGAATAGTATTTCTTTCTTGGTAGACACTATGAGGCAGTATTTGCAACAAATAAGACAGGAGACTGGCATTAGACTGGTAGAGAAAGTGTATGGAGAAGATGGAAAACCAAGTAAATGGTGGTTATGTTTTGCAAAGAAAAAATTTATGGATAAATCCTTATCTGGACCTGGACAATAAAGATCCTTTCCAATTCTCTTTTATGAATAAATACAAAAGTTACCGTATATGATTCCCTAAATTCTAGTATTAACGAATTTAATAAAACAATGAAACTTGTGATTCAAAATGAAATTTGCATATAAATCAACACATGAACTGAAAATATTAACTAAACAAACTCTAAAAGGTTATTGTGTATCATATTCCTACGCGCATGTGTTTTACCAGTGAATTAAATTTATATAAATAATTTAAGTTTGCATTTTTTTATGGGTATCAGGAAAATGATCAAAGTAAATTTTAAGAAAAAGATGTTTATTTCGCGCAGGATATACCATAATATTGATACAAGAGATTGTAACATATCAATGAAATGATGTATCTCGTCCACGCAAGAATTAATATTATAAATATTTAAAAACTTTATCGCTTCCTGCGGAGCGATAAAGAGTTTCTTCTCAGCCAAGCCGCACGACGCGAACCACCAATAGTTTGTGAATAACGATGTCCTTTTCCTAAACCTCGCGAACTCCTGCCGGCTGATGTCTTTCCACGAAGTTCACGATGTTTGTGAACCGCATTGCACACCCAGTTAACTTTTGGATCGTTACGAATTGCCTGCAACACGAGTGTCATAAAAATTAGTCGTGTATCGTTTCTTGTCACACTAACAAAATTTTATAGATTTTACACTTCAGACATCCAAGGAAGATTAAAGTATCATTATTTATCAATAATAACAATATAAAGATATCATCATTTTTCGTAAACGTGTACCTACAAATAAGCTGAATGTTATTAAATTTACCTTATGCGCAGGGTCAACCAGAATAACCTCATAGTATTTGTAGGAAGAGTCTTGAGCTACCCAATAGCTGTTCAAAACTCTTAAACCACCACAACGGCGACCAACACGTTCCTGAAAAATGATTGAACATTAAAGAAGCATTTCTTGTTAGATACTTCAAAGAAAAAGAAAAAAAATTTGTACTCACTTCAGCAACAGACTGTAATTTCCTGGTAGGTTTCAACTGATTAACACCATGGCTTTTGGGTTTACCATATGTTGCACCCTTAGGGACTGGACGTTTACGACCACCTCTTCGTACTCGAATTCTAAATATTACAAAACCTGCGTATTCAGAATAAAATTTCTCATTTGTTTTTAATGCATTTGTTAAAATTAACATAGTAAAATTAAACAAAAGTAGTATCAGTAAATACAATAAATTGTATCACCATAATTCCGTAAGAGTGGTGCATGGTGTATCATCATATACAATAATTATGATAAAGAAACTTAAAACGTGCACAATAACTTTGAACATTATATAAAATTATTGAGTATACCTTGTTTGGCTTTGTAGCCCAAACGGCGAGCTTTATCGGGCCTCGATGGTCTCGGGGCACGATGCAATTTTGTTAACTGACGATATTGCCAGCATCTGACGCGAAGCAAAAAGCGGAGTACATCGCTTTGCTTTTTGCGATAGAGTTCTTGCATATACTTGTATGCACCCATTTCGAATTATTGAAAAGGTGGGGACGACCCTATAACATCCAAATTAGAAAAATCACATAAATATGAATAAAAATGATAAAAATTATGAAGATAAATTCAACAACAAGCAATTAATACTCAAACAGAAGAAACTATTTGTTATAAAAACATAAAATCTTGTCGTATTGTCGAGCACGTTGAAAGAGCCAAGCGCAAATATGGGTTAGCTTTAGTGAAACAATAAATACAACATTCCCATTAACAAAATACTTAAAATTATATGAATATTCTGTATGAGCAAGCCTGGTAATGAATCTCCTTTGTCGTTAGTTCAAAAAATTATTCGGATTCTTGAGATAAAATACGATTTTCAACGTACAGCACTCACCCCACGCAAGAAGAGCAGAAAGAAAGAACGTATTTCCATCATGGCACCGGTGTATCAAACCATTGACCCAACAATGTTAGAGGCGGCGCACTCCCCGCTATAAACGTCGAACGCGACGACATCTGCAGAGAAAAAATCGCGACAAGGCCATCGACAAAATTGCGGCGGAAGAGGTAATTTTCGATTCAATCAATTGTTCGATTATTCAGTGACTACGATCGATGAATCGATTAGAAACATTCAAATTCAAAAGTACAAAGTTTAAAAGTAATTTTAAATTGCTTTTGAATATTATTTGAAACTCTTGATAAATTATAAAATGAATTGTGTAGAAAACATAAAAATTGTTTTCGTGCGGATATATATTGTATTTTATTTTTAGGACCATGCACTGCGACAAATTATGGGTGTGGACATATATGTATACCGGTGAACTTATTTTTAAAATCGATGATTCTGATGGGTCAATAATGACTGACGATAATAGGTAATGAAAATTGATAGTATAAATTAGTATTATATACGAGTTAAAATGAAAACGTCTGTAAAACGCGTTAAAACGTTACGCGGTCGTGGAAACGGTTAATACGGTCTATTATCGAGCGACCCGGTGACCTCTGGTCGAGGAATTGATTATTTTAGGAGAGGTAGCGAGAATAAAATGCCAAGTCGGTAAGGAGTCGTAGTTCACGATGGAGAGTCGTTCGGATAGTATAAAGGACCCGATTTATTATCCTTCGATGCAGGAGACAGCGGAAGCAACCGGTACGGAAGTTGAAAGTGTGGACCGAAGTAGAAGTTCTGCTGGCAGCCAGGACCTCGGTTTGGAGGAGAGCAACGCGTTGAAAGTACCGCGCAAATTTATCACCAACTGGCGACAGGCTTGCGATCGCACTCGCGACAGGACCAAGGATTTGCTGAAGAGGTGGCGTGCCGTCTCCACCAATATCGACCAAGTTATCGTTCCAGTTTCTGACAAGCAACTGGAACAACATCCCAGTTGGAGCGTACACGTTTGGAGTAAGCTCTTACCACGTTAGGAGTAAGCTCTCATAACGCGGGATGTAAAGAAATGCGTAAAAAGAAAAATAGCGTAACTATATGTTATCGCCACAATGACCTAATTAAGCACCTCTCCTTTCCATTTCTCGTCTTTTGTTTTTTTCAATTTGTATTATCGAAACACAGCGACTTGGGTGAGTCGGTATCCCAGCGACGAGAACCTCATCGCTCTCGAAGAGGCTGCCAAGGGAGGGAAAGTATCGGACCTGGCGCCCATTCAACGGGACAAATTCTCTCACTTTTTCACGTACCTCCTGGACCACGATAAAGATGGTTTCATTAATAGAAAAGACTTCCGAATGTTTTCAGAGGTATCTACTTTTTTATTTGTCTCCGAATTTACGCGATAGAAAATGGCGCTGCGTTTCATGTTCGAAAGCGATTGAGGCGATTCGCGGACTGGTCATGGAACGGACCAGAGTACCTGCGACTGATAGAAATCGAGCAAGGGTTAGCCGAACTGATTCTCCGGGAAAAGAACTACGAGGGAGACGGAGGAAGAAAGATCAGTTTGGAAGAGTGGCTATCATGGTGGGCGAGAATCGTCGCTCCAGCCGGTGGCGCAGCTTACGACGACATCCCCTTCTGGCTGAAGGTTTTACCGAAAATATTTTTCCTCGCCATCAACAGCTCCGCGAACGGAATCATCTCTAAGAACGAACTCGCCGCGTTTTATGGATCGGTCGTCGGCTTGGACTCCGACAGGATATCCAAGTGTTTGGACACCGCGTATGATTCGTTGACTTCGGTAAACAGTTTTTACTACTTGTAAACTACTTGTTAGTAAGGATATTAATAGAGATTGTTTCTGTCTTCTTCAGAACGGGGATCATTGTTTGCGTTGGCCACAGTATCAGCTGGTATACGCCAACTTCCTGTTCGGTCGAGGTCCTTTCGGTCCGGGCGAACATTTCCTCGGCATGACGGACTCCTGCGTGAGTCGGGGCAACGTACCCTTTCCGATAGACTACTCCGCGATGAACACGCCGAGGGATAAATTGGAAGTGTACGATCCACGTTGCAGAACTAGTCGACGCAGCGTTGTAGTCTGAAACGCGACATGAACCGTAGAGAAGAGAACGATCGACTCATCGTTCCAGATTTTCCGTTTCATAGACAGTTCCCGTGAAAGCAATATTGCGCAACTGTCGTTTCTTAACGATGACCAATAAAAATGATCTAGTTTCGAGCAATTTTCTTGCATCCTTTCATCGAACGCTTTTTCATTTCACTGAACATCTGTTTACGCACTAATATCTGTTACGAACAGACGCGGTAAGAAGTAGGAGCGATGCTTAAATAAGTGTTTGATATTTTATTATTAATAACGTTAATATTACGTTGTCATTCGCATACGTAAACACAAGTATCGTACGATTACAAAGTATTTGGCAATCGTGATTTCGCGCAAATTCATTCGCAATTTGCCACGAATCGATACAACGCGATTACTAGAAATACGATCTAACGAGAAATTAATCGCTTCGTAGATGATATCGACGGTTGAGTCCTACCGCGCGGAGCGGTATTGAACGACAGTCTGGAACACTGATCGGCAGCAGATGATTCGATAAATGCACTGTCTATTCGTCTAGTCCGTCATTAAAGTTTTCGGCGAACGACGAGTGTCGTTCGGAAGCGTAACAGTTCGGTATCGCGACGAGGAAACGTTTTCCCCAAAATTAAACGGTCTTCGCCCATACGCCCAGCACGAACGATTCGATCTCGCACTCGTTCGTGCCTTTCTGAATTCGGAACAGGCCGTTCTCACCCCATTGCTGACCCCAAGAGTTGGCGACCAGCTGCAAACAAAACGTGTCATGTTAAAATGTTCCTTTTTCTCATTTTCTTCGAAACTTACCCAATATTTAAGTGGTGTATTGCGAGAGTACGTGGGAGGTTCCTCTCCCCATCCGATTATCCTAACCGAATGGTAGTCGGATTCGTAGAGTTCCGCCGTTACCGAGTGCTTGTACACTCCGGATTCATAGGAGAAAAAGTCTTGATAGACTCTCATCGTGGCTGTAAAATAAAATAACGTCATTCATCGGTCAGCGATCGGTATAATTAAAGAGAAAATAATTGCCTTGGACAGGTCCTGACGTAAGAATCTCTTGCATAATGTCTGTCTCGTTAGCAAGTCGATAAGCGGGTCCCACTTTGTACAATTCTGTTCGAAGAGGATTAGGCGGAGGAGCGCAACCAGCGCTTCTTAAATCGGTCCTCTTTCGAAGTCTGCATGTCTCGGTGCTCGCTTTCCAAGGGTAGCAGTTTTCGTCGACCAATCTGAAAAACCAAAAATAATGTCATTCAAAAATTAAACATATAGCAAACTCAAGCTAGAAGAAAGGAGGTATAATTACCCAAATCTGCGCATGAACATCCAAGCTCTGTCCAAGTGCCCTCCGCTGCAACCCTGTTGTCCCCTGTTGTTGCAAGAAAGCAAATGTTGCGCGCTGAGTTCAACAGCGTCCGTGCCTTTGCTCATAATCGCGAATCTATCGGACGCGACCTGTGCGGAGGAAATTGCCCAGGATGCACCGCACCATCCTTGATCGGTGATCTTCGATATGTCCCGTGGCCAACGGGTCCTGGAATCGAATTCACGTGGCAGGGATTCCGGATCGTAAATTCGTCGCACAGCGTTCATCCGGTAAACCTATTGAACCAAGTTGATTGAACGTACAAATCACGTTGGAGAATCAGTCAGCGATGGAATCCTTACCGATCGCGATGGATTCAACGTGCCCAAGCGGAGTCGCATGCCGTCCTTCAACGTTCTGCCATTAAATTCGGAGTAGTTTCGGGCCCTCCAGTTTAATGGCATCGCGTTCACTTCGTCGATCAAATCTGGCTCCTGTAAACACCGGTTCTGCTCGCACAGTACCTCTGCGCGTCTGCCCACCGCGGAACATTTGCTGAGGAAATGAAATGAAGATACAGAAAAATGTTGCAAATTCGCAACGATGAAGAACGTACCATACGTTGCAGTTGCTCTTAAAAGTCTGCCCATGAGTGTAGTACTTCCCTTGGTAGAGGCATTCTAGAACGAACATATATCGTTTTAGAAAATCTTGTTAGAAGCTGGAAATAGTGGTCTCTATAACTTGAGACTCTAAATAGAGTTTCGTTAATTACGTCTTATTTCCGGGGGCGGTGGTATGGTGATGTTGGGCTCGATTCCCTTACAGTGGCTCCAGTAGTCCGGACAACAGTCCTCTTCCCTGATCCGGTCGCAAAAATCGTCGCAGTAGCATAACGTGGTGAGAATCGGAGCGCTGCAGTCATCCTGACGACCCGGGCAGCAACTGCCCCGTGGATATCTTTCGGCGCAATACGGACCGGGTCGTATTCCCGTAAAGTCTGGCAATCCTTTCACGACGGACAGCAGCAGGAAGAAAACAACGCTCCGCAAGCTTTCCCACGATCGCATTTTTGATGCGTTTCCTGCAATGGGTTAATTTTATTCCTACATTTTCTGTCGTGTCAAGTTCGCTAGCGACCAAGGATCCAACTCAGCGCGCAGAAGGTCGATTCATCGTGTTTTCTCGTTGTTTTGTCATTTTATTCCGGTTTCAAGATGCGTAAGCGGTGCGAATATTCGGTAACAACTGGCACGATAACGGTGTCAAGTCCACGCTAGCCTTTACGAAAACGCGTCGTCCGGTCTACGGTTTGTTGGAACCGCTTCAAATGATTCCTGCTCTGTCGCTTTAAATGTCACGCGCATAATTTGTCTCTCACGAAACAGGGTAGAAGAGCAGCGTTGACCGTGAAACGATGGTACCTCCTATAACGAGATAGCTTGCGCGAAGTCGAACAACGACGTCATTCGTTTTCTATGCAGAGTCGTTATCGAGCGTATTACAATATCGATGGTATTTACCAGACTGGAACGCGTGTTTGCTATTATAATGGCAAAAAATCGTTGAACCGCGACGTTAAGCATCGAATAGGATGCAAGAGGTTGAAAATTCTGGGACGTTGATGAGCGTTCTAATGCGGAATATAGGATAAGAAAATCACGAATCGCGTCACGAATCTAGGAGCACGATTATAAGTTAGCGCGCGACTATCCGCGAACGGACGAGCAAAACGATCTTGACCCGTTTCGTGTCATTAGGAACAGACGCGACGACGCGCATCCATCTACCTACTACGTTTTAATATGTGTCTGACCCTTCGGACGATTAACGCATACTCTCGTAATCAACGAAGCTAGAAACCGACGTTACTGCCAAAGAATCAAGGACAGGAACTAGGATCGAAATAATAATCTTGACCGTGAAAGTGTACGAACGAAGCAGGTACCTCGAACGGAGAGCCAGCTGGATACAAGAAGTAATTGTTCTAAGGTGTTCCGTAAGCTTGACGTCAGAGATAGTATTACTCGAATGACTACGAATGTAGTCAATGGAAAACTATGCGATCGTTTATCGTCCGTCGATCGTTCGAGAACGATCCGTTATTTAATTTCGGAGAAGTCGGTTCGATTGATTTCTACGCGTCAATGACAAATACCGAGGACTGATAGATTTTTCGCATTCCTGATAACTCGTGCGTGTCAAAACAAGGCGCGATGATTCCTTCGAATCTTTTCGATCGATTTTTAAAACGTTTCTTTTTTTTTTTATTTATTTATTTGGTTCTCGTATATGATTCGGACGAGTGTTTTCGTTTGTACAAATAAACGATCGTTATCGTCGATTCGCGAAACGAAGGTACGATGTACGTCCGAATCTATATTTGGATCACGCGTCATGCGAACATGCTCGAATCCTTTGAAATTTAAACTGTTTTTTGTGGAAGACTGGTCCGTAATAAAAGGTAGAACGCTAAAACGAATCGAATTCGTACACCTAAGTTAATTGCCGCGCGCGAATACCGGTTATCGTTTCGGTGGACGCTACCGCTGTTTATCTCGCTCTCGAGCGAAACCTGGCTTTTCTTTATCGCGTAATTTCGAATAAAAAGTAGGTTAATTCGCGAAGAACGCGGTGATTAAACGAGCTGCTCAACGATACGGTAACGAATGGAAGATCGCTGTTAAGGAGAATCGATAAACACGATGACATAATAGCGTAACGCGAGATATCAAAGTTGAATCGTCGTCGCGTCACGTCGGAACAAACGACTTCTTCGATGCGTTATAATTAAAATTCCGACAAACATCGATGTAAATAAACTTGCTAATGATCGCCGCATCCGTTCGCGAGAAAAACCTCTCGCTTCGACAGACTTAATTTCGGAAAGGTTACGCGGATATCCTTATGTAATTATAGCGATGCGTATGCAATCGGAGGCTGTTTTAAAAATGACTCGATCGAGGAAAAGAGGTTACGGAAACCCGTTAACGACATCGTATATTTTTAAGCGGGATCCAAACGTTTCAGGACCGAGATCTTTTTCGGATATACGCGTATCGATCAAACAAACGAGAACGAACAACAGCTTGGCCGATATTCCAGCGACGCTTATTTTTACGATTCGTAATTTCAAATCTTCTCTCTCTTTCCGCGCTTTCTCGTCCGTTCTCCCTCCCTTTCCCGCTGGTCCTTTATTCTCTTTTTAATTCGTTTATCGTACGGCGCGCCAATGCTTATACGCGATCCTTCAAATTGTTCGCGCTAAAAATAACGCGAACGTCATATTAACGCGTATGCGCCCGCTGCCCCAAATTCCGATCGTTCTTTCTGTCTTATGAATTCAATTTTAAGAATCGTTTGTTTATAAGTATCGATGCGTTTCGGAGAACGATATCGCTGTTTTGGGCGGAGACGTAAGCTCGCACGAAACGCTTTGGTTCCTCATCTCCGATCTTAGAAAAGCAGGACAATTCTATAGAATCTCTTCCCTTGTGTCACATCTCGTTTTACTCTTCTATGAAGCAAGAAATGAATTCTTTTCAATTTACAGGAAATTACATTCCGATTGATTTTATGAATCAGTCGATATCGATATCGTCCTTGTAAAGTTATACACAGTTGCCTCGCAATGTTTGGAAATAATACCATTGTCATCGAGATGATTTTCGTAACACGTAACCGTGGTACTCTGAATGAAACAACAGGAGAAAGATAACGTCTCGAAAGAGAATATCATTTCGAGTCTCGTCACGATGCGTACGATATACATACGCGTACGGGATCGCAAAAATTCTCGTATTCGTAACAAGATGTTCTGGACGTGCCTCGAATTGTTATAGATATATCGTAATGCGAAAAAAATGTTTTCGCAACTTTCGTGTTTGTGGATATTTCTCCTTGAACTGTATAGGTAATTTGAGTAGAAATTTTGTGTACTAGTAATAGTAATGAGGCAGAGAAACACTGGGGAAATTCCGCGATGATCAGCAAGGGTTAAACTTATCGACGCGACGCGAGTCAAATTTCCCGCTAAAAACGTTCGCGAAAATTCAAACCGCGAAAAGTAAAGTACCTGCGAGTATCGAAGTTAAATGTAGCGAAAAATGTAACAAAAACAAAACATTTTGATGTTATAAATGTGTATTTCAGTTCTTCGGAAGGCGATGACGCGTATTTATAATTTTCAAGCTTGTTGACGCATCGACGTACAATTTCATAATTTGTCAAATGTATATATAATCTGACGGTCTTGTTTTAGATACTACGGATAAAAATACAATGTTACCAGAGCTATAGATATCGCGAACGGTAGCCAAAAACATTGAGACAAGTTTGACAAATTATGTTATATTGTGTAGCACTTACCTGTCACTTGTTTCGTGGTCCAGGATTTTCGAGGTCCAGAAGTTAAATGTCAGAACCTTCTTCCACGAAAGTTGACTGTATACTCGAAGAATGTTGATGTATGTGACAGAGAATCTTGATAAAGTTTGATGGAAAAATTAAAAGACAAGATAACGCGAAGGAGAACGCAATCGAGAAGAAAATAAAGGAGTGGTCGAATCCGAAGATAGGATACGAAAATGAAGTCCGCGAAATAGAGAAAAGTTCGAAGTGACAGATTCGCGATCGGTAAAGATTAGAAGGGTATAAAAGTCGGTGCTGGCGGCTCGAAAGCGCGAGCCTAACTGGCCCGTGAACACGCTAGGTAAACGCGAACTAAATGTTAGCGTCTCGCGGTACATCGCGTTTCGGTTTCCTCTCGTCTTCTCAACGGATCTCCTTACGAGTTCTTCCGTCGGATTCGTCATTCCTTGGATACGTTAAGGTCTCTGATTAAACTCGTCCGCGATCGTCTCGAGACGCGACTCAACGATAACAACGTTTGCTAACTCACGTGTACGAGTAATTCATTCGTTTCAGTGATAAATCACCTGAGACAAGTTTAACAATTATCAGGCTTTAAATCTAATCGTACTCCTGATATGTGGCTTTAATGGAAAGTAACGATCTAGTAAGTCGTAGTTTGTTCAATTGGAATACGCATGATAATGTAGGAAAATTGAATCGGTAAATAGTTAAACACATTGAAGAATGTAAAAAGCGAAAAAAAAACCACGGGCTCGTCCGGGATTTGAACCCGGGACCTCTCGCACCCTAAGCGAGAATCATACCCCTAGACCAACGAGCCGTGATAGCAGAAGTTTCTTAATCTGCGTGATATGTCTGCTTTCTTGAGACTATATTTGTCTTGCTGTAATTATAATCTTTAACGCCTAATATCTACAATTTGTACTCGGCGCGTATCGGTCAATTAGTATGTATCATAATTTCTTTGGAACCTTCCTCGAAGACCATGTATTGAACATCGTTTCGTATAAAATTTAACGCGTGGAATGTATAAAAATGTTTAAACAATCCCAGATTCGTAAGTTCAATTATGAAATACATAGTGAAGTGTAGATGTAATAAGTGAAACGTTTGAAATATGTATGTACAGTTGGAGAAAGAAGTAGATTTCAATTTTTTATGAAGTATTTAAACAAATAGAATGTTTATATTTATTTATTCTTGATCGTATAATATGAACTGTTGCTAAAAAACACCTTTCAACGAGGCGCCGTGGCTTAGTTGGTTAAAGCGCCTGTCTAGTAAACAGGAGATCGAGGGTTCGAATCCCTCCGGAGCCTGGAGAAGATGAATATTTTTTTTTCGTTACAGAACTAAATCTTAATCTTTTGCAAAGATCTTAATGTATCATAAAATTGAGTAAAATGCAAAGCAGTCGAATACTCGTTTAAAAACCTTACCATTTCATACGATTTATTTCTAGCAAAACAGAACTTGATAAACCCACGTTATTCCATAATGCAGGAGATTATAAAAGTAAGTATAGTCATTACTTGGTTTTTTCCTTGCATTCTCCTGTTACCAATGTTTTTCTCGGTTGTATCTTTTCAATTAGTTACGAAATAAGAATAATCATTAAAGAATGGAAAATATGTACGAACATATATCGAAGCGTGTTTGCGTGATCGATGTCGAATAACTACTCTATGGTAACGAGGAGACCAAATATATTCCCGATGTTTGTGGGCTCTATTTGTTCCGAAAAAGAATGATCACTTTCGATCGTTAACATCATCGAATAAAATTAATTCACAAAATCATGGGGAACACGGAGAGTAACGTAACTAGCGGCGTGAAGAAACAAACAGACTCCTCTTCTATCTTACTTTACAAGCTGGTCGATTTAAAAGGTAAAGATATTTCGTTCGAACGGAATATCAAATTTTTTGTTATAACAAACGTTTCCTTATCTTTTGTTCTTTCGATTTTTATCTTTCTCCGAACTACTCAATCGGTACAAATCTCGTGATCGTGACTTTATACTCGTCGACGAGGCAGCTAAAGAGAACAAAGGTGTAACAGAACTCGATTCTTATACAGGTGGTGGTTTATTAGTGGACATGATGAAAAGAGCAACGCAAACTAAACAGTACGCTGAACTAGATCACGCTCTAAGAACAAAAGTGGAGCCGTATTTATACAATAAGGGTAAAGGTAAATGGATCCCGATAGAAAAGTTGGTTCTACTGCGGAATAAAGATCGTCCGAAGCATAAAATGGTAAGAAAACGAACATATCGCTTAACAAGAGTTCTCATTGTGCGTGTATGCAGCTTCCACCATTGAGGGCTATGGAGAATCCGGCTGATTACGACATAGACAAGGATATGGGCGAGGAAGAAGTGGACGAAACGAAGATAGGTGAACGTATATTGTACATACATTAATAATAACATTATACAAAGGAAGTATCAAAACTTTAAACGTCACATGTGTTCAATTGTATATGTATCAGATAAAAGCAAGTACAGATTGGTCTGCTGGAGCTTGAGTCAAAGAGGAGCAGTAGGAGAGACGATTATGCATTTATGCATGTTACATGCGACTGCTATTCACACCGATCTGGCTAAACGTTTACTACGTTTCTATCCTAAGCTCATCAATGACATCTATATCAGTGACGAATACTATGGTTAGTTAATGAACAAACTAGATTTTAAATTGTACAGCTGCAAGCATTTATACTATCAATATTTCTAACAGACATGTTTCCATTTAGTTCCCCTAGTCTCATGCTCAGTTCTTTTTGCTACAAATTAGTTGTTCGCTACTCTTACCCAGAGTATAGACAAGCATACATAATTTTTATCGTAGGTGAAAATGCATTACACATCGCTATAGTGAACGAAGATCCAGCTATGGTAAAGTTCCTTCTAGACAGCGGCGCCGACGTGCACGAAAGATGCGTAGGAAATTTTATGTGTCCGGAGGATCAGAAAGCGTCGAGAACAGACAGCGTGGACCACGAATGGGTTTGCGTGGCTCCCGAAACGAATTACAGCGGGTAATCGCAAGTAGAATGCAGAACGTTTCAAGAGTTGTATAGGATGATATCTCTAGTTTTCCCTCCTGTACAGATACGTTTACTGGGGTGAATATCCATTAAACTTCGCCGCGTGTTTAGGCCAAGAAGAGTGCTACAGATTGATACTCGCTAGAGGAGCAGATCCCGACAAGCAAGACACCAATGGAAACACGGTTCTGCACATGTTGGTGATCTATGAAAAGATGGTAAGCTCTGCAATCACTTTGAAAGCTTTTAATTAATGGTAACGGTGAGTTTTTGTACGAGGCCACGTTCGATATGGCGTACGAGGTAGGAGCATCGTTATCGATCAGAAACGCGCAACATTTGACACCGCTGACGTTATCGGCGAAGCTGGCAAGGATCGAAATGTTTTTTCACATTTTGAACATCGAGAGGGAGATTTATTGGCAGATTGGCAGCATTACGTGTGCGGCTTATCCCCTCTCGCAAGTGGACACTATCGATGTGAACACTGGTAGCATCAGCCACACTTCCGCCCTGAATCTGGTGGTCTTTGGAGTAAGTTAATTTTTGCTTCTGATTGTACACGTGTTTCTCATTTAGGAAAAGGTGTTTCTTCTTTAGGAAAAGGATGAGCACTTGGAACTAATGGATGGTACCATGGTTGACCTATTAAACGCGAAGTGGAACACCTTTGTCAAGTCCAGATTTTATCGCCAGTTCTTCCTATTTTGTTTTTACTTTATTCTTTACTTGATCAGTTTCACTCTTCGACCTGGTCCTTCGGTCACATCGACTGCTACAACTGCTCCGACTACAGAATCGACCACACCGAAATTGCCAGATCCTCCTCCAAATTTTATTCCAGTTACGAATCAAAAAACGTTTCTCGAAGCGAGCCTCTCGTCGTCCTTGGATGAAATTGTGACAAACGCCCTGAATTTAAATTTCCCTTCGAACGCGACGGCTCGCTTTGACGATCTAAAACTCGATCTCGTAACCCACATAATGTCTAATCTGAAGAACATATTGAATGGGAACGAGACCAAAAACGAGCCATTTAACAGCTCCCAACTCGCCAGGTTTGACAAACATTTATTCCGCGAAAATGACACTGATTATTCTACTAGCATCTTGAACGAGACCGCCGACGTTGATTCCACGACGAAGTTTTCGTTTGACAATTCTGTACTGTTTGAGGCTGATAATAAAAGCGATTGGTATGTACCAAGGAACTTTCTGAAAAATTCGACAAGGATGACAAGAACTTTTCGCACAGTTTGCTCTTCTTTTTTGATAAGGTGGACTGATCTTACCACAGAATGCCGATTAATGCAACTGACCACCGCATCCGCGAAGATCCGATTAATCGCAGAAATATTTATGGAAATCGCAGCTATTCTTTACATTCTTGCAGCGCTAAGAGAGGCCAGGTTTCTAGGTCTCAACATGTTCATCGAAAATCTGGTAATGAAGCTTTCTTTCAAATAAAATATCAGTTAACTAAGAGAAGCCTTATTAATCGCGTTATTAACTTATAGATGACTGTACCATCGAGAGTAATGTTTCTCTTCTCCTGTTGCATACTGCTCTCTTTTCCGTTTCTGAGATTATCCTGTGCTGACGAAGTGGAAGATGTGCTAGCAGTGGTAGTAATGTTGACTACAGCACCATATTTTTTGTTCTTCTGCAGAGGTTTCAAAACGGTCGGCCCTTTCGTCGTGATGATTTATAGAATGATCATGGGCGACCTACTTCGGTTCGTATCCATCTATTTGGTCTTTGTAATTGGATTTTCTCAAGGTAAACTTCTTTAAAGCGTTTTGATAGAATTTTCGATCGAGACACCTTGCCGATAACGCTTCCACTCGCAGTCGATACACGTTTTCGTTCTGTCACGATCGCACCTCTTCCTTGGCCTGAAACTTTTGGCACACGATAAAAGATACTGCATTTTACTTTCGAGCGTAGATCATGGTTAAAAATAAAACCTAGATCGGAAGACGATCATTCAATTCAATTGAGACACTAAAGATGCTTCTTGTTCGTGAAATTTCTGGATAAAGCATAGAAATATTGCATTATGACTTGATCGTTATCTTTGCCACATCAAGAGCGACATTGACACGAATTATTGCACTGATATCTTGCCAAGTTAATACCGTACCATCTTATTATATAATTTTGCAAATTCTGCCTCATTATTTGAGTGCCACTTTTTAATATGTAGCATACATGATAAATGCTTTCTCCTCCAGTCATGAACTTTTTCTTCTTCTTTTCCTGGTTTTACCTCCTCTTCATCTTTTTTCATGCTATTTTCTTTCCTGCAGCTTATTACATCATATTTCTATCTTTTGATAATCCAAACACGCCAGAAGGTGTTGATGATTCAGTGAGCAATCCAATGCCATCACCAATAGAAAGCATCATGGCAATGTTTCTAATGAGTATGACGAACTTTGGAGATTACTATGGTGCATTTGAGAGGACCCGACATGAAATGGAAGCCAAGGTGGTACTTTCCTACCCTCAAATTTGTCCACTCCAATGAATACTTAATGTAAAAATTTGTTTCATGATAGTTTCTGTTTGTTGTATACATGGCTATTGTTGCTATCTTACTTGTGAACATGTTGATTGCTATGATGGGGAATACGTATCAAAAAATTGCAGAAACTAGGAATGAATGGCAGAGACAAGTATCTGACTTTCTTTTCTATCATCTTTTGTATTTTTATGTCCTTATTAGAATTCATATTTTAGTGGGCACGTATAGTTTTGGTAGTAGAAAGAGGAGTAAGTCCTCAAGAAAGGCTTAAAAAATTGATGGATTATTCTCAACCAATGTCTGATGGCCGCAGAGCATTGGTGCTCAGATTAAATCAATCGGTAACAAGCATTAATTGCAGAGGCATTCAAATCCATTAATGTAACCAAAGACATCTTTCAGGAAGAAGATAAGGAAGAAATGAAGGAGATTTTGGAAATGAAGAGGACTCATGAGAGATTATATAAAAAGAGGCAACTTAAAACAACAAAAGAAAAGACTACAATAACAGAGGAGAATGTTACTTTATAGTATTATTTTTATTCTATAAATATAAAGACATTCATTCTGTACAATTATGTTTTATGTACAATCCAATAAAATATTTCAATCATATCTTATCTCTAAATTTATTTTCTGAATTTATCTTGTTAATACTATAGTTATATCTGTAGTGGTAACTATAGTAACCATTTACTGTAACTAGTAACAAATGTCCATTTGCTTCCTGAATTTCATAGTGTATTACTTCCAGTTAAGAACCATTTGTAACATCAAATAGTTTATGTGATCAGAGTTTCAAAAATGAGTAAATTACGAAGCAAGATAAATTATAAAAGTTTAGAATTGGAACTTCAAGAAGCGCTTAAAGCAGATGAATTATATAAATTACAAAATGAAGCCAAATTAAGAGCAGTTGAGCAAAATGTGCCTAGATACGAGGATTTTAGACAGATGGTACTAATACTTTCACCATAAGGCTATAAATCTACAGATCCAAGTACTCCAATTAAATGAGTTTATATTTAGGTACTGGCAGCCCATCTGAAACCTTTAGAACATACCGATGTTCAACCTACAACAAATGGCTCTTGGAATCCTATTGCTAATAAAGATAACTCAAACACAATGCTAACATTTGACAAACAAAATAGAGAAAGATTCAAGGATGATTTAAAATTATCAAAAGACAACAACATTTTTGAAACACAAGTACCTACTACATATGAACAATTTGTACGAGCTTGGCAAGCTATTGAAACATATGAAGAAAAATTTAATTATCTGCAGAATATAAGGTATGAGATTACACCTTCTACATAATTGATTTAATTATTAATAATAAAATATTCATGCATTAACATTATTTCAGACACAATTTGCGCGATAAGATATTTTGGATAGAAATCCCTTCAACGTTACTTGTAGACATAATAAATGTATGTCTGCAAAGTGTTTCAAGCAGGGATAACGTTCTAACCATTATTAATATTTTAAGTACTCTAAGTAAATGCAATAGGTTTTCTTTGGCAATAAGTTTCATGAGGCAAAACGAAAAAGAAACTTGTATGAAACTTTTCTATAAAATGCTTGATAGTGTAAAAGAAGATAAAGTTCTTGAAGACACAGTTAAAACCATAGGCTTAATTTATGGAGTCACATTTGAATAATGATATGACTCATAAATTCACAAAAATAAAAATACATTATACGATAGAAAAAAAACAAAATGTAAATTTGTGACCTGTCATCAACATGATTCTTGAAAATGTACTTTAAAAGATATAAGCATGCGTGCAACGAAGATAACACCACGTGAGTGACGAGTGTTTAACATGGCCGCGTACACTGTAATCTTTGTTCGAAACAACGCGATCAAAATTGACTGAAAGCTAGTTTAAGAATCAATCAGAATTCCGACAGATTTAAATCTACTTTTGTTTGAAATTAAAATGACGCGATCGCTTAGTTGCAAACCTTCTTATTATCGTTGTTTAAATGACACTTCGCGATGCGTACACCTACGTACGGGAGAAGAGCCAACCATATACATGTATGCATGCACGGTACATGTATATGTACACGTTTCGTAAACAAACAAGATCGTTGAATTGACCGATATAATGTCAGTTTATAGTGTAACTTGCAATTTTTCTAACGAAGAATTAGAAAAGAGATGCAAGACTTATTTACTAAAAACCGCGATATTATTTAATCAAAAAACAAATTACTAAATCGTAAACCTACGTACTTATAGACGTATGATATATTTAGATGGTGTAAGTTTTAGTATCATGTGACACGTACGATATATCCTCCTAAGAAAAGCAAGATTTATCTATAGCAAGTTTCGTCATTGGAAAGAATATATGTACGCATCGTACGTATATATTTATATACACATTGTGCTAATATTTAGTATATTATGAAGACCATGATAATAATCGTGTATCTATGGTAAATTGGAAAGAAAATTTACCCAGTGACTTGTTGGAAATATGCGGTTAGAAGAAATGCCATTACGTCTAAGCTCGGATGAGCGGGATTTTGAAATGGACGAAGAAACTGATTATCTTCTTCAACCTTCCGAAGATAGTATACGATTATTGACATCAAGAAGACGGCGAATTAACGATTGTTCCATATTCCTAAAAAATTTCTTTTGCGGGTAAGTTACATTCGATATTAGAATAAAAAACCAAACGGGGAAGATATTCTGTTGCGTACATGTAATGATAAATTACTGATTTTAATGGTAGCCAACTTAACAAATGTAATAAAGGGTTACCAAATTAATGCGAAAAACTGAAAATGTATTTATAAATATGAAAATGAATTTGAAAAGTAAGTCATATATTTTATTTGAAAATTGTTTGATATAAAGAATATTTTAATTTGGAAAAGCTTTCATAGACTATAAGTTTTATATAAATAAGTGGTTATTTTTCAGTTTTAATAATATATGTCCGCAAAATATATGTTACTGCATTTGATATTAATTAAAATCTAAGTTTTGTAAAATTTATTCTAATTTTTATTAACTAGTACCATTCTTAGATGGTATTTATATCAATTGCGCAGTACATAACGCTCCGTTTGACTCATTGTTATGAAAATAACGCGTAATAAATGTAATAAATGTAATTATTAAATGTTTATATTTGTTAATAAAAGTATGTAAATAAATGTTAGACATTGAGAAATTGTATAAGCATGTTAGAATTGCTTTATCGTAAATGAAATGTATAATACAAATACACAAGTTGCTATAGTAAGAACTATGTAGGCGAATTCGTCTTGTAAGCGCCTGCTCCGTGGATATTATGATATCACGACGAAATTTTGTTGAACGTTGAGTGATAGTTTTCAAGTATTTTTTAGCCAGAGACTAAATAACGGTGTTATTTTATATGATTTGTAACAAAGACATATCTAAATGGAGACACAAAGCAATGTTATAAGGCTATCGAAGGAAGATATTCCGTTGATATCTAAACCGCGAAATGACAATTCCTGGACAAGGTGACGTACATTTTGCTGCAGCTAAACACCTTCGGTTTCTTTTTAATTATTTATATTTCAGAGTTCATTAGATTCTACTAATTACTTTTATGATGTTTTACTCAATTTTTACATAAAATCCATCACTAAAATTAGTTTTTATATTACAATAAATGAATTTTTTTTTTTCATTTTTATTTATTATATCCATTTTTTAAGTATTATTAGTTCTTAGTCATCACCAAGTTTGGTAATTAACATTTTTAATAACATTTATATACCTGTTAATGACATATTACCAGGGACAATGTAATAAACAATTTTGATATATCTGTCAATCATAATCTTGTGTTATTTTGGTATTACAGATGTTGTACCTGGATGTTGAGAAGATGTTGTAGAGAACGTGAGCTAAGAGCTAGAGTTATCCACATTGGTCAGCCAATGCATGAAAAGTTTCCTACTAATGTCATAAGGAATCAAAAATACAATGTTGTTACATTCTTGCCTCTGGTAAGATATGGTACCAAGTATTTTAAATATAATATAGTATAGAATAAAGACATTAATGTCCCTTATCTTGCTTTTCAGGTTCTTTTCCAACAGTTTAAATTTTTCTTGAATCTATATTTTTTGCTTATGGCTATATCTCAGTTTATACCTGACATACGAATAGGGTACCTGTACACTTATTGGGGACCTTTGTGTTTTGTGTTAACTGTTACAATTTGTCGGGAAGCAATTGATGATTTTAGACGTTATAAGAGAGACAAAGAAGTCAATGCCCAAAAATATTATAGATTAGTAAAAGGTTTCGATACTCCAGAACTAGTACCAAGTTCTAAATTACGTGTGGGTGATTTGGTAAGTGAATAAAGAGGTGTAATTAAGTGTGAATGTAAAATGAATATTTGCACCATTGTTTTTTTCCTAAGGTAATTGTGGAGAAAGGTCAAAGGGTTCCAGCTGATTTGGTTCTGCTACGAACAACAGAAAAATCTGGAGCTTGCTTTGTAAGAACAGATCAATTAGATGGAGAGACAGATTGGAAACTACGTTTGGCTGTACCTGCAATTCAAAAATTGGAGAATAATTCTCAGTTATTTGATATAAAAGCCAGCATATATGTTGAAAAGCCACAGAAAGATATACACAGCTTTATTGGGACATTTACGAGGGTAGATTTCCGTAACTTAATAGCCACGTTAAGTACATAATGATATGCGGTGCTTTACGGTATTATCGTTTACAGTATGATGGATACAGCAGCGAAGAAAGTTTAGGCGTCGATAATACATTATGGGCAAATACTGCCGTTGCATCAGGTTCGGCGCTAGGCGTTGTTGTGTACACAGGACAGGAAACCAGATCACTCATGAACCATTCTGCGCCGCGATCCAAAGTTGGTTTATTAGATCAGGAAATAAATCAGTTGACGAAGGTATCACATAATTGTGGAAATATTTGTAACTGCTACTTTGTCCAGCTTTTTAAAATAAATATTAACTTTATAGGTCTTATTTTGTGCTGTGATCGGATTAGCGTTAGTAATGATGTCTTTGAAAGGTTTTAACGGACCATGGTATCGTTATATGTTTCGTTTTGTTTTATTATTCTCCTATATAATACCGATCAGCTTAAGGGTGAATTTGGATATGGGAAAAGCATTTTACGCGTGGTGCATACAGAGGGATAAGGAAATTGTTGGAACGGTTGTAAGAACCACTACCATTCCTGAAGAACTTGGTCGCATTTCGTATTTATTAAGCGACAAGACTGGTACATTGACACAGAATAAAATGGTTTTCAAGAAATTGCATTTAGGCATGATATCTTATGGTCAAGAGACGTTTGACGAAGTTATGAATGTGCTAAAAACCTATTACTCTTCCACTTCTGAAACATCACCGGTAAAGCCGTCTGCGCACAGTGGAAAAGTAAGAAGATCAGAAAGTACAAGGATATACGATGCAGTACATGCTTTGGCGTTATGTCACAATGTAACACCGGTGTACGATGAGATAAATAAATCCACTAACTTAGACTCGGTGAGCGTACAAACAGGAGAAACAGGAGATTCTGGATCTATACAAAGGTTATTTAAGCAAACTGAACTGTACTTTTACTGTACTTAGCATTTATTTATATATTCATACTTGATTTTTTGATATCCTCACTTCACTTTTATTTTAGTCAAACAGAAGCAGATCAACATTATTATTTGCCAGAACAGAAACGTAATTATCAGGCTTCTAGTCCTGATGAAGTAGCATTGGTTAAATGGACAGAAGAAATGGGATTAGCACTGGTGAAACGCGATTTAAATTTTATGCAATTGAAAGCTCCAAATGGAAAAATTTTAAACTATACTATTTTACAAATATTTCCATTCACGTCGGAGACCAAACGAATGGGAATAATAGTCAAAGAAGAATCTAGTTCTGAAATAATATTTTATTTGAAAGGAGCAGATGTAGTAATGTCCGGAATAGTGCAGTATAATGATTGGCTTGAAGAAGAGTGTGGTAATATGGCTCGAGAAGGCTTAAGGACGTTAGTTGTCGCGAAGAAAAATCTAACGGAAGAGCAGTATCTTGACTTTGAAGCAAGGTATTATTAAATGTTTCGCGTTAAAATAATTAAAAATAACATATTACTTGAAAAATATTTTTGGATCCAGATATAATGCAGCGAGAATGAGTGTTAGTGATCGTGTTTCGAGAGTTGCAGCGGTTATTGAAAGTTTGGAAAGGGAAATGGAATTATTATGTGTAACCGGTGTTGAAGATAGATTACAAGATAGAGTCAGGCCTACATTGGAATTACTAAGAAATGCTGGAATTAAGGTATGTTTCTATAAATTATTCAAAGTTCAATTCTTTCCTTTTCAATATTATCTGAAAGACAATTCTACCCATGAATATTTTTTCTCGTGTTTTATCTTAGATATGGATGCTAACAGGCGATAAACTGGAAACTGCAACTTGTATAGCAAAATCTTCACGCTTAGTTTCACGAACACAAGGTCTTCACGTTTTTAAATCAGTGGTAACTCGCACAGACGCACATTTAGAATTAAACACATTTCGTAAAAAGCAAGACTGTGCCTTAGTTATCAGCGGAGATTCTTTAGAGGTTTGTTTGCAATATTATGAACAAGAATTCTTGGAACTGGCGTGCGGTTCACCCGCTGTTGTTTGCTGTCGATGTTCACCCACTCAGAAAGCTGAAGTTGTGAGCCTTATTCAAAGACATACAGGAAAGAGAACCGCGGCTGTTGGGGACGGTGGCAATGATGTATCTATGATACAAGCAGCAGATGCTGGTAATTACTGTTCTTGCAAGATTTATACTTTAAAGCAAAGAGAATATTACATTAGATTTGATATATATTTTAGGCATAGGTCTTGAAGGTCTTGAAGGAAGACAGGCTTCTTTAGCGGCAGATTTTTCTATCTCTCAGTTTAGTCATTTGGCTAATCTCCTGTTGGTTCATGGTCGAAGAAGTTATAAGCGTTCTGCCGCTTTAAGTCAATTCGTTATTCATAGAGGTTTAATTATCTCAACTATGCAAGCTGTATTTTCTGCAGTTTTTTATTTGTCTTCGGTGTCCTTGTATCAGGGATTTTTAATGGTTGGGTAAGAAAAATATTAAAATATTTCTATTTTATTTATAAATTTTCTTTAACTGTTTCAACCTTCATAATAAAAATTATTTTATAGTTACGGAACGATATATACAATGTTTCCCGTATTTTCTTTGGTACTAGACAAAGATGTGTCAGGGAAAATTGCCCTTACTTATCCGGAGCTTTATAAAGAACTTAGTAAAGGTCGATCATTGTCTTATAAGACATTTTTCATGTGGATTTTAATAAGCATATATCAAGGTAATGTTTTGAAAACTAATAAATTAGTTGAATATATTTTTATCTCAAAAGTACCTATTCAAATTTTCAGGCGGTGTTATAATGTATGGGGCACTTATAATGTTCGAAGATGAATTCATTCATATAGTCGCCATAAGCTTCACTGCACTTGTTTTAACGGAATTAATTATGGTAGCCCTAACGATTAGAACATGGCATCACATCATGATACTCGCAGAAATATTTTCATTGGCACTTTATCTGTTATCCTTAGTCGTTCTTAAGGACTATTTCGGTATGTTTCTATCACGCACATTCTTAATGAATAATGAATAAATTTATTAAAATAATGAATCTTGTTTGTTTTGTACACAGATGCCGAGTTTATCAAAACCACGGACTTCTTGTGGAAAGTATTGCTGATAACATTAATTTCCTGCATGCCATTGTATATTTTAAAATTCTTACGAAAAAAGTTTTCGCCTCCTAGTTATACCAAACTATCTTAAACAGCAATCTCACTTGGTACAATTAACGATCGTACAAACAATTGGAAAGCTTTACTTTGTGTTGAAATCTCAACATTCTTACTGGTTCGAAATTCTGTATTGGGTACAAAAGTGACAAAAGAGTTATGAAACAAAATCTTATAATTTAATACATTGTTTATAATATCGAGCATTTTAATTGAATCATCGCAATGAATCAATTAAAATTTTTCTCTCTTCAAACTAGTGATAAATTCCGTTGTTCCATTAACGTATAATGCAATATACTGTAAACTTCTTCCCTTATTTATTTAAATCATAAATTAAACTGCATTCAAATTTTGATAATTGTAAGTAGGGATTTTAAAACGAACTTCTTTGATATGTTATTATTAATGTTTATTTATTAAAACCAAGAACAAGATTTTTTCATCCTTCAAATGTGTTCACACAGCATAGCATTTTTATTCAATCTCACCTAACGCTTATCGTATACATTCAATCATACCATTTGCAGTATTTTGTATATTAAGTTTATAGTACACGGATGCTTGACTAACTGAAAGCACGTGATACTTTGTTTGACAGTTTCTAATGTATTTAACAAATATAAAAAAATATCGAAAGTTAAATTTTAATTTTTATACATTAGGCGCGATTTTTCATTTTCTATCATCTTTATATTTTGAATAAAATTATTTTCAAGCATAATGTAATTTAATTATCATGAATTCAAAATGCTATAAAATAGAGGAAATCGATTTTTATATTCGTGCATAAATTATAAACATGTAAAACTAGTTACAATGATATCGATAAAATGTATAGCATACCTTAGATGATACAGTTATTTCTAGATAAACATTATTTGACTTAATGATATATTTACAATTAATTTATGTGAAAATAAAATAATATATTCCTTTGATGTTTGACTGATCTTTTGTAACATTCTACCTTTAAATTAAATTTATCTAACTTCCCTTCTTATCTGACTTCAATATGCAATTTTTCAGTAGCAAGCCTTTCTATATTAGAATGAATAGTGTTTACTTCCCTTTTTGATAATGTACGTTCCATATGTCTATATATTATTGTATAACAGTGTGATGTTCTTTTAGTTTTTGGATGAACAAATTCATCTTTCAATATAACTTGTTCTATCCTATCACCACCAATATTCCTTACCAAGTCATAAAAATCTTTTGATGAATAAGTTTGGTCTTGAGGCAACCAAAAGCTTATATCATTTTTGCATTGAGGATAAATGCTCACTGGCTATAAAGGATAAATTTTATCACTATTTTAAAATTCTGTTTTAATGTTAATTTTCATACCTGGTATTTTATTGTTGCATTAGGATCTTCAACTTTAAACTGGTTCAAGAAACCACTGTCTGTGCTCCAAAATAATCTAATATCAGGGATATCATATAACCGCTGAGCTATTCTTTCTAAACCTAATCCAAATGCCCATCCAATGCGTTCTGTTACTCCTATATTTTTTAAAATTTCCTGACGCATAATACCACATCCTAATATTTCAAGCCACTGATCTTTGTAATAAACTTCTAGTTCCCATGATGGATGAGTGAAAGGAAAATATTGTTCAACCCATCTGCACGTTGCATCTAAAGTGAAAAATGTTCATTTTACATCACTTTAAAATTCTAATTAATAAAATGTTCTTTTTGTAAAAGTACCTGGTCCAAAAATTGCTTGTGCTAAACCTGTTAAGGTAGTTTTCAGCTCATGTTCCATTATCTTTACTGATTCTAAAGTATGACAACCTTGTTTCTCATGAGTTTCTATTCCTCTATGTTCAAATAATTTTAATCCGTCAGGACTACTCACATTCTGAAACACTTCATCTACTGTGCATAATCTGACAGCATCTGCTTGATGAAAAATTGGGTAATGTGTGGAATCTATTTCATCTCTACGATAAACATCTCCTATTACAATAAAGTTATTCAATCCCATTGAAATTAATTCTGTTTGATGAGCAGTTGTATGTGCTCTTAACAAGGTATCTTGGTTTATGTAATAACAGTCTGTTTTGCTCCTGCTTGGGTGATCTTTTGGTACAAGAAGAGAATCAAAATTTTGAGCTACTGTAACTATAGGAGAAATATTGTCATAGACACTAAACACTGGATTTCCAATGCGGTTATGAAATTGCATGTAAAAATAGTTAATTATCCGTTGACGAATATGAGACAAAGGATGGTATGGAGTAATATGTAAATTTTTTCCTAATTTTGCTACAATATTTGGAGTAATATTCGTCCATTTATCAATTGGATATTTTTGATTAAGTATAGTTATGTCATTACTTGCTTCAACTTGAGTAGCTACAGAAAATGTTCTACTGAAAACTATTCTTGTGCTACATCGTCCAATATTAGTATACATTTTGAAGCTACAGAAGTGAACTATCACTATTATTCATAAAAACTTTGAATTATTTTTATAACGCGATGCAGTATTTATACATCATGTTACTCAATCGTCATAGCACGTGTATATACGGCCGCGGTTTAAATCCACTTTAAGGATCATTTACAATATCGATAGCCCATTGAAGATATTGCAAAAATTTTTTTTCTGCGAAATTATTTCGCACTATACCGTAACAATCAAGAAAATGAAAAAGTACATTGTCAAATATGGTATAAAAATCGTCATATAAAACTTAAACTGTAAAAGGTGTCAGTATAAAATACGTAACAATATTAGCATACGATATGATATCTACTCACATATTTGGTCTATGATGTTTCAAAATATAATGGTACAATGCAAATGATACACGATGGCTACTAAGCGAAGCTGTGTACTGCGTCTTTATCGAGATTTAATTCGAGAAAGCAAAAAATGGAATTCTTACAATTACCGGTAAGCATAAATTTATTAGAGGTTGTTTCAAAAGTTAAAATGTAATGTTTCATTCAATTATTATGAGTTTCCTTAAACCCATGTTATCGAAGTTAACCAACTCGTATTTAATTTTTAATATTTAAATAAAGTATTATGTACGTATCATTTGATATTGATGTATAAAATGTAAATCTTTATATTTTGTAGGATGTACGCTTTGCGCAAAATTCGACATGAATTCCATGAAAACAAGACTTTGAAGGATAAGGACATGATTGATGAGTGTTACAACAAGGGACATGAAGCACTTGAAATTATTAAAAGACAAGCACTTATTGGAAACCTTTATTGTACTAGACCATTAGTTATTGAAACAATGAAGGATCAAGATTTATCACCCTGTAGTGAAAAATAAATTTAAAAACTTTATGTAAAAAAGGCATTAATATTGAGTGTAAGACAAGAAACTGTTATTTATTACAACTTAATTTTTAATGGAAATAATTATGATCAGTACAAATTAAATAAATGTGTATATTGTATTAAAAACATTTAACATTTAAATGTCTAGCAAATTTATTTCTATTATTTTTGTTTAATAAAGATGTTAACTATGTACAAAGGGTTTTATTGATGCTATATAGAAAAATATATATATGTAATAATTGAAGTAATAAATTATTTTAGTATAAATCATAAGTAATATATATGTATATTTTTATATTATAGTAAATGATTATATATATAATTAAAATTGAAGAACAGAACGGCAATTAATACATTTGTAATGATTTTTTCGAAGCAATTCGATGAATTATAATCAACAAAAGATAAATCTTCAAAAGTTGAATTTGGTAAACCTGAGCAATCAGCTGTTTCGATTAGTTTTCAGTGACAGATGGTGCATGGCAGGAGGGAGTGTTACAAGTAGATAACTGTGATGAGTTATGATCCATTAAGAAACGTCTAATAAGAAGACTGAAATTCTGTTCAAAATGGCTATGCGAAATTTGACGGAACCTTTTATTTTAATGCGAAATAATGCTTTACAAAGCAAACATATATATGCCGAACAAGTATGACGTGCATAACCTATAACTAATAAATAGTAAATTACTTTTTTTACAAGAAGTTTAATGTTAAATGAATATAACGTATAATTTCAGAACCTCTCTGATCGAATGGCACTAGTAGGTTCAGATTCTGGTACTTCTGATAATGTTGAACTTAAAAATGTTAATTTGGAAACTAATGCACCACCTGTTTGGACGGATGCCTTGGAAGAGACACAATATATTTTAAGTAGATTACGCGTAAAAATAGAAAGCTTGGTAGAGTTACAATCTAAACAACTAACTAGACCAACACTAGATGATACGTCACAGGTTTGTAGCAAGCTTTAACATAATATTTGTTACATTAATGAGTAATAAATTATTTATATATATGATGCCAGTTGGGCAATTCTTCTGATTTATTTTGATTACTTAATTGTTAGAGAGCAAATCGTTAAAAAACATGTCTACAGGAGGAAAGACAAATGGAACAGTTGACACGGGAGATAGGACGTGCATTTTCTAATGGTTATCATCAAGTCCAAACTATAAAAACAGAAGCAAGGCATGCTTCTAATCCCACGGAGCGTCGGCTAGCAATAAGCGCGGTGATGGCTCTTTCGACTGCATTGCAAGAGTTGGGACTTAGATACAGATCAGCTCAGAATTACTACTTGACACGTAGGATATATACAGTTCTTGTACAAATAAGTCTGCTGAACAAAACTTTAAGATCATTCTTACAATTTTAGAGGTAAAATCAAGGGAAGAGAGGAGCAATCAGTTTTTTACAGAAGATCAATCAATATTTTTGAACAATGCTTCAACAGATACATGGTTAATGGAGTCAAATGAAATAAGCACAGATTCATGGCATGAAAATGAACAAAGACAAAATTCTGTACTTCTACAGTTAGAAGATTCAGAAGATAGAACGAAATTAGCCTTGGAAAGAGAAGAACAAATTGGCAACATAGTTCAGAGCATAGCAGACCTCAGACATATATTCAAAGTAAGGGATTTAGACAATTTATATAATTTTCTATAAGGTAACTTACGTTTAAAATACGACTTGAAAATATAAAAAATATTCTTTGAACAGGATTTAGCGACTATGGTGCAGGATCAAGGCACTATTTTGGATAGAATTGATTACAATATTGAACAGACACAAATACAAGTACAGGAAGGCTATAAACAATTAAAAAAGGCAGATTCTTATCAAAGAGCTAATAAAAAATTATATTGTATAGTCATACTTGCGGGAGCTATTATTCTAGTTAGTTTCTTTTTCGTCATATTCAAAACATGAAGCACAGCTCGCGTACGAATTTCATGAATATACCTTGATGTACAATTAATTGTGATTAATTAACTTTTCTTAAAACAAAGATATTTATTGTATATATGTTTTAAGCAAGAATCATATTTTTTAGCATAATTAGTAATTTGTAAAAGTTTGAAGATGCAAGATGAAAAATTAAACGTTCAATTCGAACGCTAGTTTTTATAGGTATCTTGGATAAAGAACGTTACTTTTCATATATAGTTAAAAAGAAATACGTTAACTTTTATCGCTGAACAATTCAAACCGTTTTCTCGTTTTTTTTATCGAAATCATTCCAATATCAAATTGCGGTACTGTTTCTTTCGCGCAGACTACATACGACTTCAACGGTAGCAAATATTCGTAACAGATGCATTGAAATGTATTTTACATTTAGATCAAGTATAACATATATTTATCTCGAAAACCTATCTTTTCGAATAAGTTGGGATTTGAGGGGTGAAAAGAAGTGGAACGTGTTCAAATAAAATATATTATGCGAATATATCGCTATTGATCGATGTATTACCTTTCAAATGTTTCTCTGCCATCGAAACACCGATAACTTAAGTGGTAATATAAAAGGTGGTTAAAGTAAAATTGAATAGTTTCAGATATGGTTTTCCAATACTCTTTCTTTAATAAACGAAGAATGTTTTATCAAATGCATGTTATAAATGTTATAATTTTATATAGCATTAATGTAAATATTTTAGACAAACATTTTAAAAACTTCTTGACAAATATCAAGATAAATAATATTTTACTTTACAATGTCTTAATTTCATGTTCCATGCTTAAAAGTACAAGATAACTCTTTCTCAAACATTGCACCTTTTATCACAGACTGAGCGATACATCTAATTCTATGTATATGTAATTTAATCGCAACCGCCTAACGTGTGTATATAGATTGACTTTAAGAAAGCGTATCGGAACTAAAGAATTAAACAACGTCCCTGTCTGCCTACTTGTATATATGTTACACATATATATATATATATATATATATATATATATATTATACGTACAAGCGTGTACGCGGTATTCTGTGTACGTTGTAAATATCTATCGAGCGTCATAAAAATCCTACGTTACAAATTGTACAAATTGTTTGTTAATAAAAAGACTATAGAAGAAAATTGAAGAGTTTATAGAATTTATAAAGAACTTTTACGTAAAGAACAATTCGATGTCTGTAAGGTATAAAATGCAACAGGATACCGTAACAACGTTTATTCTAATAAATGGAATGCGATAAATGCTGATATTAAAACCCAACGAATTTTATTGTACCGTACCGTTCGTTCATCATTATATTTATCCTTTTCGTTTAATAACACCGGTATTAGACATCATACTTACGACATTACGAAATTGTTTATACAAATTTATACGTGTTCGTATACATAGATCTACGAACGAGAAATCACACGCACGATATCCGGTGAAATCGTGCAATTAAAATTTCGTTAGGCTTTAGAAAAATAAATAGTATTTGAAAAAAAATTTGATTTTGAAATGGTTACCGGTTGTTTCTCGATATAAAAAGAGCAAAGTACATCTGGCTCACGTGTGCGAGGAAACAACTGTATCGATCGATAAGTATACAAAACTATTTCCGGTAAATTGAACTAACGTGCACACGATTTCCATTAAGGACTGGATACGATCGACTATCAACACCGTTATTAAGTATAATAATAATACAAACTAACAAAGAAGAGAGTCAGAAGGCATTGTCCGTAAACTGATCTCACAAATAAGACGTGCTTAAGATGTGAGTTAAAATTCCAAACGCTCCACCCAGTATGTAACGTACAAAGTTGTCACCGACCAGAGGCCCTAAAGCGTAAAGACCGTTCCTCGGCGCCTTTATCACTTCATACGTAAAGTCGTCGACTTCGATCGGATTCGATTTACTGTCTATAGGTCTATCAGGAAACTTTCCAAGTCCGATCGCGCAGTTTTCGAAGTAGGACAGGTCAGGTTTGTATCCTGCGAATAAAATTTTCTTTGTAAAATAGATTCACGTGCTACCGTTCAAAAATGTTGAAGTACTTGTTGAGTCATTCGAGAGGTGCGATAAATACGACGAACGACCTCAGGTTTAGCAGTGTAAAAATACCCACCGATGAGTATAGCCACGATAGAGACGCGGAACGCGTACAATCGTCCATCGGGAGCCGAAAGGGTGACTGTCCGATCATCGGTTTCCATTACGTCGATGACGTCGTCGCTTCCACGCGAGGTAAATTTGACTAGCGAGTATCCTGGTAGCGCTTTGTACAGAGGATAATTGGTACCCCCGTCAGCCATCATCTCGTAAACCTTATGATACTCTGGATACATGGAACTGGGAAGTCCCTGCAGTTTTTCATACGCATTGTGTATCTTCTTGGTATCCGGTTTATTCCATTCGTTTGACGAGTCTCGGAATGCGTGTAATACGGGAATACCGCGAAACCGCGCGGCCATTATCGCATCCGCTGCGGTTAATCCTCCACCGATTACCAGCACGGGATCCACTTGGTCTTCCAATTTGTCACCTGAAATCGATCGACTATTTGACGGATTCTCCAGCCGTCGGTCATTACCGACTTCAATTCACATATTTTAGATTCAATCAAACGTTTTCCGCGCGTACCATGATGCTGCTCGATCAAACGATCCAGCCTCGACTCCACGTCGTTCAGATCGTGCGTTATCCAATCAGGTTGTAAATCTTCATCGTGTATTCCCAGTCGATTCGACAGGTCGGTTGTGCCAGTGGCGAGGACCGCTCTTTTGCACCGATACCGGAACGACTTTCCGGTGTTCTTTTCGTAACCTTCCACTATCCATCCGTAATTTTCGTTGGCGTGCGTCCCGCGAACTGGTCTCACCGAAGTGACGATGGTCCCACTGAAAAAACGAAACGCAAAGTTAACGACAAAGCGAAGGACATACGAGAGGAAAAAGTATAAGCTGTGAACAAGTACCAACCACCGAAAGTATCGTTCCAATCCTTTCCTACGCACGTAGTCTCGATAGTAGGCAGCTACTGTGCCGACGGAAATTCTGCTAGCCGTTTTACACGCGCTCGATCTCTCTTGGAACGCATGCGGGCACGGTTCGTCGAGGGTCGAGGTCGTTTGCCGAAACTGCTCAGACTCGATCAACGTCTCCCATTGCCTTATGTCTAAATCGGGCAACGACATCCATCGGTTCAAGCTGATGGTCAACACGTTTGGATCCATCGACTGACACAATCAATTCGAGTTATCATTTTTAAAAATAAATCTACGAATTAAAATCGCACGGTTAAAACGGGCTACGCGCGTAATCTTGGAAATTAAAATTCGAACGTGACTGGCAATGAGAATGCCGATAGCAAAGAAAAGTATATATATAATACATGTGTAGATAAACATATACATATATCGCAAGAGGAAGGCGAGCGAGAGCGCGCGTCGATAGATCATAACCAGCGTTTTTGGTTACCTGCCATGAACCACCGGGCTCGTCTTTGCCCAGAACCACGTGGTCTATCACTTTGTGCTCAGGATGTTGCTCGACCGACTTCCAAGTGAGGAGAGAAGGCACGTCGAGACCTGCGTCCACGCAGGGATGCTGCAACTGGTCCATCAGAAGGGCCAAAGGTCGACCACCGACTCTCCCTTCGAGACCAGAGGACAGGCATTCCAGTTTGCAGCGAGTGCTGCGCGCCAAACCCCTTCCCTGACTCTTTGCCGCGCAAAAAGATCCATCGGATCTTCCATTTCGTTGTCGCCATCGATCATTGATATTTTCTTTCTTTCCTACGTCCTTCTCTTCTTCATCCGCCTGCTCCTCCTCTTCCTCGTAACATTCTCCGTTCCCGGGTCGCGTGCTGAAGTGCAACCTCGCGGTCAGCATCTCGTCCCCAGGATGCGGCTCGCCCGTGTAATAGGGCCAGTTTCCAGCCAGCATATACGAAAGGCATATTCCACTAGGTCCGTTCCCTGTGCGAAACATTTGTTGCCAATGATGTTGAAATAGCACTCACGCTCATACACACGCACACACGCTATCATCATATTTCATCGCAAGTTTAATCTTTTCGTCGAATCATGCAAGAACGCGGAAGATTCTGAAAATCGTTGGCGTCTTAGTCGATTGATCGTATTTTAACGCGCGTTGTATGAACGAAATACGTAACGCTTCCTAGCATCGAAGTCGACCATACCTATAATGACCACATCCTTATAGACGACGTTATCATCGTCGTCGTCGTAACGATTTTGCATCGTTCCTCCGACACACGTTATTCTCGGATGTTTGTTCGACCGCTCAACGATTCCAAAGACTGCAACAAACGATTAAAAATATTCTATCAAACCGGCTCGTGGAAAAAGTGGCTCGTTAGCTTCGAAGAAGAGCTTTTCGTCGAAGGTAAACGGGATGGAAAGCGCGTACTTCTTTCACACAAAATAGCAGTTTCCGAGTTGCGGGACGATAGCGTCACATCCCTTCGCGCACACTAGCGATTCTGCCAAGCATGCCTTCGATTCTGCGAGTTACGATCTGCTCCCTCTCTCCTTTCTCTCTCCCCCCTTTGCATTCACAGGGAGAACGTATTGTGATTCATTGGAATTGTAAATAAACGAATCGTATCGTGATCGGTACGCGAACATTTTCCTGATAAATTCAAGCGTTTTACCGATGGGATCGCTGCCGTTTGGAGGTCGCAAACGGAGGCGTGTGATACGCCTGAAGCGTCGTAACGCGATACGAGTCATTACGCGAGTCGTTTTTTCTACAATCATGCAACTCATTGTCATCGTCGCATACAACGCGTCGAGTCACGATTCTGATATTTAACAATTCTACTGAACCCACTCAAGTATTACGTGTGTACACTCAGCTGTCTGTTTGCATTGACAATCGATTATGTCGGTTCGACGATCTACCGCACAGCCTGAGATCATCGCTACACAACGATTCATTTGAAAAAAGTTTATAAAACTGTCATATGTCAACAAAGGATGATAGTGTTACGAGAGTCTTATCGTATCGTTTGGGGTCCCGATAAACGCGAGCGCTCTGCACGGTTGTACTTTCTTTATCATTGGCGATTGTTAACATTGCACGAATTCTGCAACATGCTACCTAAACAAGAAGACAATTAAATTTGAAGTCGAGATCGTTAGATAAGATATTCGTCTTAATTGATTCGATTACTCATCCTGTTAATGTCTGGGAGACAGGCGTGTGAACGATTGCTCGGATAAATGAATTTGACCGTTGTATCTTAAGACGTAACATCGTTCAATTCGATGTGACGATTAATGAAACCCGTCTCTTAAACACAAAGCGCGTGTGAAAATATTTCTACGATTTTTCTGGAAATACTTAACTGGAGAATTCGATCGATGCGTTAACCTCTTATTTTTATTAGCGAACCGCTCGTGAAACGACTCAATCATTAAGTATTCTTTCCGATTTCTTGAAACTCGAGTTCCACCTACGCTGGAATTTGTGGGCAACTGCCGAAACCGTGATATGAATTCGATTTTTCACGGTCAGAAATAGCAGGATAACGTAATGGAACTACGAGGAAAGATCGCGCGAAATTTACTGCGTATGGCGCGAAGAGTATCAGATGGCGACGTGAAGGCACGACAATGTGGTTTCGCACAGCGTGGCGACTTCGTGATCGTAAAGTCAAACTTTAACTTATCCTCGAACAAATTCAAACAAATTCCTTAAAAGTTTCGATCCACGTGCCCGGTAGCCGCGAAACAATCGATGCGATCGATCAACGCGTAATTGCCTCGAGAACGTATGAAGTAGGGCAGCGTAATAAAAAAAAGTAATCTTTATGATCGATACAAAAGATTGCGAGAAGATTATATCGCATAAAAATATCGAGAAATAAATTTCAGTAAATTATGTCATGCTTTATTTTTGATCTAATCTTTCAGCACAGCTGTTTCGAGTCGGACGATCGAGGTAATAGTACGAATCGATAGATCTTAGTTCGAGATAAAAATTCAAAGGATAGTCACGATCGATTTCGAGCAGAGTTCGATCGACCGAGAAAACTGTGCTCTACGAATAACCTAGTTTAATTCCGATGGCAGGCGCGTTTTCGTTCTATGGCAGAATTTCTCAGAGCTAATTTCGCACAGTTAATCGAAATTTGATGTCAGCGAGACTTGATGATTTTTCGATCGAGTTGTCGTTTCGATCAAAGGGTCGAATCACGAGCGACATTCGTTCTGATTTTGCCCGACATGTTCAAACTTATCGACATTTGAATAAACTTAGGGTACGCATCGAATTAATCGCCGAAACGCGAGGAAAAGCGTGGTGCAACTATAATTGCGATGACCGGCATGATAACCTTGCATTTCCACGTGTTCCGGTGGTACACTGCCTTGTCGCGACATCGACTCGTTCCTCGATTCGAGAAACTTATCCTTGGCGAACTCGAGAAATGGTAGATCGATTTCACTACGTTTTAAGATGTGAGAGCATTTACCTGATTGTTAGAAAGAAGCAAAATCGCGTATCGGATGATCGCGAGCCAAATTGCCAAGTCCTGGCGTTTCGATTATAGTTGTCGCGTTTCCACGCGAAGTCGGAATCGCGTCAGCTGCTACCACGAGAACGGTCGACGTCGTACTGAATCGCATGTATGCGCGCGCGTACTCAACACTCCTACGTTCCTGCACTCGTGCGCTTGCACTGCGCTCGTGCGCTTGTATTCATGAACGACCGGGTTTGTCATCGAAAGGATCTTGCTTCTTTTTATACAGGAACGTATTTCTACTAAAAGGTTGCTTCTTTTTCCTTCTCTTCTTCCTTCTCCCACTCCTCTTAATTCCTTCGTTCTTGTCTCTCTATCTCTATTTTTCTCATGGTTCCTCTCTATCGGAGATTATGATTTCTATTAATCATCGTAATATTCCACACGAACTTAATCGATTCTACAAATCGATTACAAATATATATGCGACTGATAATGCTACGTTGATCTAGGTTGGAGACGCGAGAAAATCGATGAATTATCTGGGTACGTATTTCGCTTGCTTTTCCGTATATCGCGTTACTATTACGATAATCGAGCGACCTAAAAAATTAATGATGGCGTTTTACGTTTAGCAGAAATGAAACCGGTCGAAGGTCGCATAATAAATCACACGCTACTCTTTGTATATTTTTTCCTTTTTTTTTCTTTATGTAATCCGCCATCTGCTAAAAAACCGGTTATACCTTTCACCATTCGGTTCCTCGACAAGTACGAACGCGTCGGAGCCAGAACTTTTAGCCAGTGTGTTTTTGCTTCTCGCTTATTGTTAACCACGGTTTACAACGATGATTCATTTCCAAACGTTTATCCGTCAAGAATTTCAACACGTTTACATCGAAAAAGCGGTTCAATAAACGAATATTGTATAAACTAGAAACTTTGTGCCTGACGGTTTAATAAATTATCGAAACAAGAAGTGACCTTACCGATTTTCTCGATTTATTATTGAAAAGAATAAATATACCGTTGTTCATATATCGATCTTTGTACGAAGTAGAATACGCGCATACATATTTTATGCTCGTACGGAGTGGGTAATTTTCCATCGATTGACCGTCATTTAACCCTTGTCGATAAAAGGGTTAGTTTTCGATGCGAAACCACAAAAAATATGCTGAATCACGTCATAATTTCATGTGTAGCAATATAAAAAAGATCGTGACACTGATTCCCCAGCAAAGTAATAAACGCCTGAAAGTACGGCTCCGTTATCTGTCGTGGCTTGTTGAAAAGACATTTCGAAGCAATAATAACGAAAACAAGACAGTCAAATACCACTAAATATATTTTATCGTGCACGATGCTATCTTTGACATAAACTTAACCTACGCACCTCTGCCGTGTATCGCTTAACCTCTACGCGCGGAAATAAAAGATAACGGAGAGAGACGGTTCAAAAAGTTCGCGGGCCGTTTTCGAATTCTGTCGTCTGTAAAAGCGCGAATTTCAATTTCGATTATAGAACATTACGTTCAAGAGTGTGTGTGTGATAACCTTTGTCGTAACTTTTAATAAGAATGTCGGATATTAGTAATTCGGGTCAGTCGTAATTTTGGAAGCACGATACTAAACGATAAAAATAGCATGCGTGAGTTGCGTGTGTACGAACGAGGCATATAAGTACTCTGCGTATGTGTACGCATGTTGTCTACCCGTAGTCAAAAATGATTCGAAAAATGAAATAATATTATGAATGCATCGAAAATGTCATCTCCAAGCTCTTACGAAAAAAAAACAGAAATTGACAAAATAATAACTTGAACTCAATTACCTGTATATCCTTTATATACGATCACAGCATCTCATCTAATCTGGATTACAAACTTTTGTCCGATACATTGCGTAGAAATTCTGTTGAACGACGTTTCGAACACATTCGCGATCGTCAACTATTTTTTGTCCACCGCGAACACTCTCGAGTATCATTTTCGAGCTATTTTCGTTCGACTACCGCAAAAATGTTTAGTTCGTATTTCTTAGGTCAATGTCGTCCCTTACCTCCTAATTTAACAATTTCTCTCGCCTGAAATACCAAAATTTTTTCCGTTCAAGTTGTAAAACGACGTTCGATCTGCAACGTTGACACACCTCAGGAAAGAATTGATTTTCTCTTTTCATAGGTTAAGCTTTACTGAACATGTATATCTATATATACGTGTGTGCGTACGTGCACTCATGTTGGCGCCAATTTCAATGTTGCCAATTTTATATTACAAATTCGTGGGCTAATTATAGTTGATTTATAGTCATCGATTAATTTCATTTGATTCATTTACTATTTCTGATATCTTCGTAAGAAAATCATGTATATATTAAATAAATGAATACGATTTGTTAAACATATATTTTTTAATAACAATTATAATTTAAATATATATATTTTATTTGTACTCGTGCATTATACTACAAAAAATATGTTCAAGTATAATTTAAGAATTCGTTCAGTTTATAGACACAGTATAACCATCTAACGGCAAATCAGGGACTAAAGTAGTTATCCACGTCTCCGATTACTTGTAGTAGATAGCGCCAATATTTGACTTGTCCAAATTATATCATATGAATTTAAAAATTATTATGCTATTAATAATAATAAATTAGAAATATGATTGATCGAATTTATTGGTTCTTCTTTAATGTTATTCATTTTTTACAAGAAACATTTATAAACTATTCCATAAAAGTTCTTTAAAATTAACTATTGATATTTATGAACAATTATCAAACATAAGATTACATCGTTTGCTATATTTTATAAAGCATAGAATTATATTATTTTGAGATAAACTTTCCTTAACTTACGAGGATTTTTAATATGCATCAATTGTTAAACACAAAGTTAAATAAGGTACCCCATATACGGAAAATATATTTTATTAATACACGTACGAATAAAAAATTTCTATTTCATGGACATCGTATCATGCATGATAAAGGATATATGTATTAAATTTAATTTTATTAATCATCGTCTTCGTCATTCTCGTCATTGTTATCGCTAACGACCAACTTCTTTTAATACTGAAAACTATTTAAATCGTTTCTAAAGCTTTCGAATTATGCACTAATAATCGTTAAGTAGTTGAGTAGCAGGATCAGTAAGAGGAACGTAGGAAACTTGCATTAGCTTTTTCTTCGAAATCGTACCGTCCGTATTCTTATCCACCTGGAGTAAATCTTGAAGTTTTTGGAAACCTTCAATGGTAACAACTGGACATATCAATCGTCCACCAGGAGACAATTGATCTATCAACTGAAACACGTGACAATACAGTTTGTTTTCAATTATTAAACTATGTAAAAATTGCAAAGCATTTATTCATTTTTAAAGTCTTTTTTACCTGTTGTGGTAAAACTTCTGCTGCAGCTCCAACGTGTATCGCGTTGTAAGGGCCGTCAGCAGCATGTCCCAATCGGCCATCTCCCACTAGGCGCATTTATAATGACCTGTTGTTAGACTTCGGTCTATCTTTTATGTAATGCACAGCAATGTCACGCAGTTGGTGGACACAGTCCTGTTTCATTCTTCGTAGCAAGGTACATACCTACTCCACATGGGTGGATCACGAGTGTCTTTTTTTTTATTTGAACACATCTATGTTATTTTCAGACTTTTGAATACGTAATTTTTCTCTTAATGTTGTATAATAAAAAACTATACGATTTACGATAATGTCTTTTTATCTTCTTTGACACCAACTAACCGTGAATGGAAAGTGCAACATTGTGTAATAATCTCTTATTTTCTTACCTATGAATTTCACGCGACCTTCCTTAAGAAAATGCGGACAATCTTCGCGAACGTTTCTTGTCGCTATTTCTATCAGTTCTGGAATGTGATCAATACCGATCACGCGTCCACGCGAGCCCACCATATACCCCATGCAAGCCGACAAGTAACCAGAGCCTGATCCAACATCTAATGCCTTGGCTCCATCGGATAGTTGGTCAGACAAGATAGACAATGCGTATGCATGCTGTAAACCATACATTATTCTTTGTAGTTACTTGTTATATTTTGAAAGGTATATGTAAAGCATGTTTTCTGTAATCTTATTGATCCTACTTTATATTTTATATGTTTTATGATCATTAAATTGACATAGAAGCATGATATATCAATGTAGGCAATTGAAATAGTTAATCAATGTAATTAGAATAGATGATAACCAAATACAAACCATATGGGGAGCACTAATTGTAACATTATAACCAATTCTTCTGGGTCGATCAAGATAAGGATCTGGTTCATGGCAATATCTTGCTCTGTCAATAGCAAGCATAGCTGCTTCTGCCCTATCTGTTGTTAAGATACCCGCATCTGCAATAGGATTCATTTAAATTTTGTACAAGTTACAAAATAAAAAATATAATTTAAAGCGGCATTAAGTCTTACCTTTTAGTTTGGATACCATTTCTTGATTTGTAGTACCGCTGCAATGCCATGCCATGTTCTTTATCCAGTACAATGTCCAATGAAGAGATTAGTTATATATCTGTAAACAGCAAGTAGAAATATATGTAGCAAGAAATATGTAACTAATGCAGGATAAAAATATGAGTAGTTATCTGAATATATATAGCTACAACATGGGTCAGAGCACTTAAATAAAAACACTACATATCACACACATACTACATTAGATGCAAGTTTCTAAAACAAATTTGTTTGTGACATCTGAAATATGCAATTACAATAAATACGGTACTGTCTGCTTGAGCACTAGAATAAGATGTCAATAATGCTACGAGTATGATTCGAAGTCTATAGTTCCTAAATTTATATTTTGTTGCATAACAATGGGATTAATATAATGTAGAAAAAGCAGAAGAAAACATATTTAATATAATATTTCATTATTAATTAATGGAAATTAACGTTACCAACGTCCGTGAACCTAATAATATGGCCGCGACGACAGATAAAGGATCGTGTACATAACAACGATTATAAAAAAAATGTATTTTTAATATCTCAATGAGAATTCATTTTTATGGATTAATAACATTTATGTAAACTATGCCACTACTTTAAAAATTACGAACAACACTTATCAAATTCGAAGGAACTTTTACTAGGTTAAATGTGTACCTGGTTATCGCTACGTGCACCGAGAAATGCGTTTGAGATGTATAGGTTGCAACTTCATACATATACCTGTTTCCGCATCTATAACTTATTTTGTCTTATTATGCCAACAGCAAAATAGTTTTGTGCGTCGTATCCGACACATTTATGCGATTACTTATTCAGCAAAATGACCCACTCGCTTTTCAGTCTTATTTGTTGTCAGTATCAACAAATAAGTATGTTCGTAAAAGTAACAAACGGGGAAGATTGATTAAATATCAACTGAAATAAAAAGTGTTAATAAAATCATTCTATTTCATCGAGATGATCGTTTTTACTTGTTAGAATCTCACTTATCATTTAAGAATTGCAACGTGCACTCGTGACACATGTGAATAAACGTATCAAAAATTAGAGTACGTAAGAGCGTATAAATTAGCTTGAAGACATAAGAAGTCATAAATTAGTGTTACACCGAGAGTCGGTAAAATAGAATATGTAATAAATCATAATCAAGTGCGTTCGATTACGTCGAGGTGACAGTAGCGAAACGATCTTAATCGGGGCATTATGATACTTCTACAAATTCGTAAGGGTAATTATGCCCGGAAGCTTCGCTTGCAAATGCGAATCACAAAAACCGATATTCAAACAAACAAGAAAATTGCACGTAAATATCTCACTTGATTTGCAGTTCGATATATATAAAATGTAAAATGCAATGCAGTAACGCAAGAAATGTAGGAAATAGGAAAAGGAAGAAAAGTTGGGGCTGATAAAGCGATGCTTAAATTCGCGGATATTTGTCGAGTACATAAAACGAGGGAGAGCTAAACATGACATGCGATAAGGATGTGATATTCAAATCGTTTGGTAATAATTGGTATAAATTCAAGGAAGAATCGAATCTGGTCACAGAACGATCGAAAACGATATTAGATCAATTATTTACTAACAACATAATTTTTTATTCTAAAGGATCAACGATATCTTTCATAAGATTAAAGGTTAAAGATTATCTCTCGCGGTTGTTATATTTGCCGATCGTTCGATATAGAAATTCATTTTCCTTTTCTTTACGCAAGGAAGCGAAACGTAAGGGTGATAGAGAAAAAGAGGTAAAGTGCGCGAAAAAAGGGTGAAAGGAAAAGACAAAAAATGGCAGGGGGTAAGAAAGCAGTACCAGGAAAGTTACGACAATTATTCGTAGGGGTGGTCGGTAAGTCTTTCGGTGAAATAAAACACAGATAGTCGTTCCAATTTTTTCTTTTCTTTTCATAGCAAATATTTCGAGTTTATCGGTCGGAACAATGATCGGCTGGTTGTCACCGTCGATACCGCAACTTCAAAGCGACAATCCGCCTGTGGGTAAAGAACCCATGACGGACGAAGCCGCGTCTTGGTTGACGGGGATCACGTGTATAACGGCGGCTTTCGTCAGCCTGATGGTCGGCACATTAGCGGAGAGATACGGACGAAAAGTTACCGGTTGTCTGATGGGTATACCTCTTTGTGCTACTTGGTTGTGCACCATCTTTGCAACGGAACATTGGCATCTGTTCGTCGCGCGTTTCTTCTCGGGCATGAGCGCCGGAATGGCTTTGTTTTTGATTCCGCTCTACGTGTCCGAAATTGCCGGCGACGAAATCCGCGGAATGCTGGGTAGTCTATTGGTGTTTATTGTGAACGGTGGTATTTTATGGGGATACGTATTCGGCGCGGTGCTCCCCTATCGCGTGTTCACGATCAGCTTGCTTGTATGGCCGTTACTCTATATCGCGTTCTTCTTTTTCGTGCCGGAATCACCAGTGTACCTGGTGCGACACAATCGTCTCGACGATGCTGCGAGGTGAGCAGAGAATCTATCCAATAAATTTCTCTCAAGTTTTCATTTAATCCGACCTCGTGTTTTCCACAGATCGCTAAGTTGGCTGAGAGGAGGAGATAAGCTGACGACAGAGCGCGAAATGGCGCGCATGCAGATCGAAGTGAAAGAGCAAAGCGCATCGCAGAAATCGATCGGACTGTCGGATTTGTTTCGAGATCGAGCAACGACGAAGGGATTGTCGATCACGTTGGGACTGTTCGGTGGCCAACATTTTTCCGGGATATTCGCGGTGGTAAAGGACAATTATCGTTACGATCAACGTGTTCTACAATGATGTTAATTAATGCTTCCCGTTTCTCGCAGTTAAGCTACACGGAAACGATATTCAGAATGGCCGGAAGTGCAATATCCCCGAACACCTCGGCGATCATCGTGGGGTTGATTCAAGTATGCGGCTCTTGCTTGTCTACCGTGTCGATGGAAAGAGTAGGTAGGAGGCCTCTGCTTCTTACATCTGCCATGGGAATGGGCGCCTGCCACTTCGTTCTCGGGACCTTTTGCTACCTGCAAGCACTCCAATACGACGTTAGCAGTTTCAGTTGGATCTCCGTCGTAGCTTTGTCCGTTTTCATGATATCTTATGGATTAGGACTAGGACCAGGACCGTACGTGATATGTTCCGACATCCTCAGTCGAGACGTTTCCAGTCTGGTCAGCAGGCTTGGATTGTTCTTTGCATGGAGCATGGCGTTCGTCGTTGGCAAGTTGTTCCCGAACTTCGTGGTTTTGTTGGGAATGCACGGTTCTTTTTTTCTACTGGGTAGCTTCTGCGTGATTACGTTCATTTTCATTTTCGTGATCCTCCCGGAAACGAAAGGCCTGCCTCGGCAATTGATTTTGGATCGGCTTAATGGAATACCAGATTCGGTGAATAAAAACCAATATGTCTAGTCAAGCATCGTCACTGAAGAAAATCGTGAATCGATCGAGGACTGCTAAACGATCGTTGAAACGATCGAATCGTTCGTATTCGAGTAAGGTGGAGTTTTGAGTACACTAGGATAAAAATGAGAACCACAAGTAAAAGAAAAAGCGTCAATTTTTTTCAATCGACGAAAAGAAAACGTTGTTTCTTATTATCTCGTACAATATCCCAGTCCTACGCGCCGATTTTCCGTCGTCGCGCCATTGTATCAAAAGAGATCTTATGATCAGAACGAGCAGTCATTGATCATCGTCCAATCGTTTTCGCACGCTCTTATTGCCAATCTTTCGCTTTTTGAACGTAGTCGGTTGCCTCTCGTCGTCACTGTCCCCCGCGTCGATCCTTGTGATCTGTTTTTCCTTGAACGTTCTTTGGGCAGTAGGTGGTTCCGCTTTCTCGAAAACGGGCAGCGGTACTTGCTTCTGTTGCGGCAACTGTAAATCCACCGGTTTCGTTTCTCTGGAAAAAACAGCTCAGTCTCAATACCGTTTCGTCACTATTAGAGATTAAAAATAGACTCATTCATCTTTCGAATACTTACATTTTCCGAACGGTTTGCCACGGACCGTAAGGATGTGATTTTTCAGGGATGCTGTAGTCCCTTCTGTACGGTCTTTCTTCCTCGACCGTTTTCGCGTTTTTATCCTGTTCGGTGGATTCCGCACTCGGTTGAGCGCTACTCGCTTTTCTCAGCTCTTTCAGCCTCTCTCTTTCGGCGTTGGCTCGCTTCTCTTCGAGAATATCCGCGTTCGCGACCGCTTCTTCTATTTCCAATTGCTTCAGCAATTCTTCCTGAATAGCCTGCTCTTTCGCTTCTTCTTCCTGCTCGGCAAACGTCATGTACCCTTCTTCGGGTACTTCCCAAACAGATTCTGATGCAAAATAATAAATGAATCGGTCATTAGTTGGCGTCGTATGATTTCCAACGATGTTAGAATTGAAAAATTGAATTCGTAGATTGGTTTGGAGATCACTAATGAAGGTCTTCAGGTTCTTATCCCGGCTGGGTAGAAAACTTACCATTGGTTTCGACATTCCAATAGTAAGTGTATCCTTCGGGACTCAGAGCTTCGTACCAAACTTTATGGACGGGTTTCGTGGGACGATCCTCTTCCACAATTTTTTTCCCTTTTCCTTTTCCTTTGCCCGCTTTGCTCTTTCCTTGACTCTTGTTCTCGCCTTTTTGTTGAAACTTGGTATGATGCGGCGTCGTCGTACCTCTCGATAGAATTGGGTCGCATGGGTCGATTTCTTGGGAAAACTGAAACGTTTCGATATCAAAAGTTTCTCTCGTAAATGACGAACGAACGATTCACAATTTCGTAGTTGCACGAATAAGCGTACTTCCTAAGTACAAATTCTTACCTGTTGATTGTCAATTCTGTACTTATCCTTAGGTGCCGTGTCTCGATTGGCTGTTGACGCATGATCGGAATTCTGTAACAAATCGTAGGAAAAACTCTCGTATTTTTCCACGATCGAGTACAAATTACGTGGTTAGATACGCACATCTTTCTTGTCTCTCTTATTCGCCTTTTCCTGGATGATCCTGTCAGCGGTTAGGTCTCTCGTGTTGTTCTCCACATCTTTCAAGTAAGCGGCCATGGCTGCCTAAACGCGAGAAGACATTTCGTAGTACCGATAGTTAAAAAAGAAGAAATAAAAAGGGAATCATACGTTTTCCATCTTTTTGATGTCATTTTCAATTTTCTTATTCTGCTTCGCCTGTTTCGCGCTGTTCTTGTGTATCTCTTTAAGCCGTTTGCTAACATTCTCCTTGTGTTTCTTGCCGCCTTCATGAAAATCGATGCTAGGTTTGTTGTCGGCGATCCAACACTTGCAGAAATCACAGAACTTGCGTCCTTGGGATTTCCAGTAATCCGCCCTGGAACAAGATACAGAAAAATGTGAACGCGGAAGTCGAAGATAAGAGCAAACGAGCGGAAATATCTCGAGATGCACGGGAAGCCGTGGGCAATAAACGCGATATTATTCGTAGCCGATTTCGTTGTTAAATAGCGTTATTGCGGCGCGACGAGGCGAGGCTGGTGGTTATGTTATATTACGTAAGTGCTCGATACGTGATACGTAACGCGCGTGCACGTTTGGCCAACCAGTTGACCTTTGACGATTAGATGTTGAACGACGATATCGTCCAAGTACTCTCCTGCTTTTCTACCCTGCAAATCCTTTCTCAGAGCGATCGTTCTCTTCCCCGGTTCCACGATCCCGAAAGAAACTGCTAACGACCGTCTCTCGCGAATTAGCCGGCAATTAAACAGCGACTTCATCGCCTCTGGAGATACTCGACCTTAGAACGATTGCCACTACTCTAGGTTCACCTCTAGCGATTCTTACGTTGACGCATCACGGGAAGGAATCAAAATCTTTGAATTTCATAGAACGTGGTTTCGCGACGACTGAATCTCCTGTTAATTATTCTCGCGACGAACTCACGGTTTCGTAAGCTTGCCACGAGTCGGTGGACGTTCGTGTTGGGACAGATCGTCGTGCACCTAGTAAATCACGACTGTCTCAACGATGCCGTATTCCGTTAATAATAGAGCTTGTATCAAGAACGATATCGCTCTATTAATAGTCAGCGGAGAGATTATGTGAGTCGCAGTAAAGAATGCATCGTTAGCGCGTTTCACCGTCAAACTATGAGTACCATCGTTCCTACAAAATTCCTTCAGCGTAATGAACTTTGCTACCGCGTTTGCAAAATGATATACAATTTCGAACACGTAGAAATTTTTGCTCGAATCAAGAATGTAAGAAAAGCGACAACGGGCTTTTACGACCGAACGCGGCACGCGAACGGAAGCGTCAAAGAATCGTGTTTTCTCTAATAAGTTAGCCAACGCTAGCGTATATTTTGGTGCTTGCTTTTTGGCACGCGCGTTCGACCGCGTTTGCGTCCAAAGCGGGTGAAATCTTTTCGACATCGTACGAGTAACCTTAAACGACGAACGAGCGATAAATTATCGGACGTTACCGGAGGAGGATGAATCGAACCGAATCGAGCAACGGCACGGAGAAGCCGAGCGTTTCGAAAGAGTCGTTTCGAGCGAATGTCACGCGCGAGCACTCGGAACTCGGAACCGCGTCGCGAAACTAGTTCGTTGCGGAACAGAAATATCTTCGATAAATTGCTAGTAGCCTAGCCAAGAACAATTGGCACCTACGAAACGTATTCCGTGGACGAGGTACAACCAGGCACGCCCTTAATTTTACGCAACCATTTATTTTTAGACAGAATGCATGCTGGAACGCGTCTGTTTCTTCGCGAACACCGTTAATAGGCTTTTAAACCCTTTTTCCTCTTGTTGGAGGAAATTGAGTTTATGCCTCCAAGTCGGAATCTGTATCTGAACGAAAAGTATCACGACAATGAAAAGATTAGGTGTGTCAAGATTTCTTGCTAAAGATACACCTTCTATACTCGAGGGTTCATTCTTGTTTTCTTCGAAAATACGTCGCGTCGCGTAGTTCCGAACGGATCTCTTTAGATCGTTTTATAGCTGTACGACGGGGGAAAAGGTTCATGGTTTGTTCTAATTTTACGTTGGAGGGGTTGTAAACATCTTCCGGTGTTCGGAAGCCGCGTCATCGTAGAGAAGTCTTGTTAAACGTAACCAATTCAGTTTGGACCGTCTACGTGGTGAATGGACAATGGGTCTTCCTAAGTAACGTGTCACAATGAAACCCACGAGAGCCAGAGAAAATAGAAGCACACTTTCAAATGTACTCAATAATTTAAAATAGTCAAAAAAATCTCGTATTCAATGTGTGTTGGTTAACATACAGACTTTTCATCGATATTCGCATTGTTTCTCATTTTACGTCAGAGAATGTATCTAAAGGAGATGCTAAACTCGAAGTTTGAATAAAATATCGGTCGGTGATGGAACGGCAGAGTGCATCGGTGTTTTCCAAACCGTCTTCTGCGAAAAAACAGAGAGGTTCATTTTCTCCCTCGTTGAAACATTTTCGAATGTCTGAGGTGAAAAAACAAACGTAACAAATATGAAAAACATCGTTTAGAGAACACGAAGACTTTCAACGTCGTAGTAAGTCGTAACGCGAAGTAATCGCTTGCGGATTAGCGGTAGAATACACCGCGTAAGTACAACGAAAAATCCAAAGTCGGCAAATCTAGCGACAACCCGACGACCGTAATCGTCGGTTGGCCGCAAACCGTACGACGATCGTCGAGATTTTGAAATTAATTTCCAGCTCGTCGTTGCCAAGCTGATCTTTAAATTTCGTGGCAGATAGTTAGCTTCGTGGCAGCATGTTTTCGGAGTATTTTCGCAGCAGCATCTGCGTTTCTTTACTCGTCGAATAAAGTTCGACGATCCCGATCAACAAACGTCGGAATGCTTTTTACGTAGCGCTCGTAGAATTCGTAGTTTCTCCGAATCGCAACCATAACACGATAAATTGGCGAACGCAAGATCGATTCACGATACGTAGGGTGAGTAGAGGCGCGAAACAACGATCGTTATTTCTGGAAGATATTTCAGCGTCTGGTTTATGAGTTACGGCCGCTTAAACGGCACGATGCAGAGATAAATTATTATTATTAACACGCGGATCGCGCGTTCGCGTCGATTTTAGCGATCGAACAGCGTGCCGAACGACTAATCGATCCGTGTACGTATTTTGAGATCTAAAAACGCTGGCCATACGTATCTCTTTCGAACAATCGTTGACGCGTTTTATCGTTGGCTGCCAATACTGTACCGGTTTCCGTCTTAAAAATTTACGATCGCTATCCGCTAATGCCTCGGGTCATGTTTTAATCAGAAGGCTTTATCGTAAAGCGATTAACGCTCTGGTAGCCGAGGCGAAAACCCGACGAAACGTTTTCACGACTGTCTTTGAATAAAAACCTTTTATTACTATCTTCCTCTTTACCTATAAATGCCCACGATCGGAAGAAATTTTCATTTTTCCTCCACGAAGATTGGTAGAACACAAATTAACCCTTTGCGCTCGAGAGGTGACTCAGTCACAATTATATTTAATACAATAATTTTAAATAAGCATTTTTTAACTGATTCTATAACACGTGTGATGTATAAACATAGTGAAACAAATAGAGAAATAATAACCTCAAGAAAATTCATTTAACTTTTTAACTAAGTTTCAAACTTGCAGTCAAATTACCTTCGAGCGCATAGGGTTAACAAGTTATTAAATTACGCGATTGGTTGTCGAACGAGTGAACTTATCTTTACGCCTCGAATGGTACGCAGTCACCCACATATGGCGAACATGTACAATTTACGATTGTCCAAACAGAGGCGGAGAAAAACAAATTCGAGTCGAACGCACGCTTCTTTCGTAAACCGAAATCGATGGTCGAAAGTCAGAATTAGAATTTGACTCCGTGTTGCGGAAGAATCTAACTGTAAGATCGACAAGACAGTCGTCGACCTGGTTGCTTTTAAAGGTTTCGACGTCTGTTATCGGGAGAAAGTTACGGAAGGGAGGACAAAGAACCGTAACAACGCTACTTGTTAAAGTTTTTTACACGGCAGCGGTGATTATTAGAAGTTAATAATAGAGCGAGCATGGAGTCTTTTAAATCGATGAGAACGCGATGCATGACCGTGTATCGCGCTTCTATATAGGGGAAGGTCGGTAAACACGTACCGTGTACTAATAATAAATTTCTAAAGACTCACGATGGACGTGCTCGCGATCCAAACGTTTCATTTTTCAGCGGCGATGCGTCCGAAAAATCTTTCAACTTTACAATTACCGCCACCGCGAAACCACTGCAAGGAGCGTCGACAAGGAGAGGGATGAAGTCGCGAGAAACGATCTCGATCGACCATAAATGGTACCACAGATAATTTTAAACGAAAATACTTTATTATTCTTTACGTCTTACATATCTGGTACACGGTACAAATATACTCTCTGTAAAGGTACGTCGTAAGTACATACGCAAGGATGGAAACTTGGTAGCTTTGACTAGAGCCTTAACTAGATTGGTCCTTTACGATAACAGCAGGGTCTGTGCCGAAAACGGCAATGATAAAACGATGAACTTGCGAGGAAAATAACACCTATGTTCGATAGGCACTTTGAGGTAATCAACGGGACATTTGCCCTTTCGTAACGCGAATAAACTCGAAGGAAATAAATGAACGGAAGGACGAACGTAAAACAGGGAAATCGTACGATTTACGATGATTAGGCATTTACGCGCGCATTGTTTCGCGCTCACTATCGCTAAGGCAAGTTAGGGGAATAAAATTAGAGGAGATTTAGAAGGAAACGTTCGAGATCCAACGATATCTCGAATGCCTGTTCACGTGGTGTCTTTTAACGATCGAGAGATATCTCGTTCTATTCGTACAAAAGTCGTTGGCTATAGATTCTTCTTGGACCCCCGACAGGTAAGCTTAATCGATGTCTAACGTGTCGCGTACGAATGATTCACCGCAGCGAATTTGCGATAACAATCAACGCGAACATCGCGATTCGTTTTAAATTTGACTAGAGTAGAGAAAAAATTACTTTCATTTCGCATACGATCGATCGTTGTTGCTTCGAACAAGAAACAGAAAGCTCCGTTATAAAAAAATCTTTCTGTCTACCGACGCGGATACGGAAAACCATAGGCTACGGAGTTTGCGAGGATCGCGATCAACAATTTTCCAATTCTATCAGTCTAAAATCAGGTACTTGGAATACTATCGTTGACGAGTCGCCTCGTCCACGTACCGCGACGAGCGAGAAGGAATTCTTTGTCAGGAGAAATTTTCGTTTGCCGATCTGTAACGACTCGACGGTGAAGTCGGTTGTATCGACGGTGGGAAACGGAAAAGGGAAAAAGGGGTGAAAACGAGTTCACGGAGAAACGTGGAGGCTATCGAGAGTAATCGGCAGGGCGCGAAGGAGCAAGCGAAAGGTTAACGATCGGAAAAGGTATAATAACGCGAGAAGACGAGAACAGCCGGTGGACGTTTTCGTTCGAGGAGTTACAAGGGCGATAGCGATTGCGACGATGGTCGCGGTCGATCGATACGGATCATCCAGGCGGCGTTTTCTTCTGCTTGGTCAGCTGTAGCAGGATCGGATAGTGAAGATCCGGACAATACTCCTGGCTTCGCTCCAACAGCTCCAGATGCACGGACCAAATCTTGCCGTCGTAACGGTCTATCTGTCGCGCGACGAAGCCTCGTTTTACCGCTGCTTCCGCGAACTTCTGGAAGGTCGAGCCGCGTCTAGGTGCCATCGCCAACGCGATACCGTCGTTCGTCAAGCAGCCGTAAATCGTTTCCACCAAATCCGAGCGGGCTTCGTCGAAGAACAGACAATCCGCGCACAGGACCACGTCGTACGGTTTCTCCAGAATTTTGGCAGTGTCCTTGCCGGTCCAATTCTACGTAAAAATTTAATTCAGAATCTTCCGAATGTTCGGGCAACAACTTCCTGGCTATCTCGAGATGATAACGTGTCGGACTATTAAAATTCGTTCGAGAAAAGTAATATCGAAACCGATAATTTTAACCGGGTAAGAAGAATTACTTTCCGTTTGCCACGAATCGCTTCTCGAATAAATCTCTACGAACGGGGAAAGGGATCGAAGGAAAAGCCGGTAACTGACCAAAGAGTTTCCGGTATAGCTGAAAGCGACCGAAGAAGTACGCGCGCGCATCACGGCAATCTCTGCTACGGGTCAAGAGCTTCGAACCATAAATTTGTTGCAACGAGTCGTTTCTCCACGTTGATCGATGAACCGTAGCGATCGAACGATTTCAATCGCACTGTTCACGATCGAGAAAGTTTCTAACTCGGAGGAACGCCGTTTACTCGTTGACAAACCGATCGACGTAGAGTTACGGTACGTATCTGTTGGAGCTGCGATACGATCGCTAACTCGCTTCGACGTAAACATGTGTAATATAAAACGATATGCATTTCCATGTTTTGTTATCTGTTAGTCGTTTATCGCAGCACCATCATGAACGTCTCCTAGAAATAAAAAGAGTTGTGGAAATCACCTTAACTCGGAGGCCATTGGGGCGCGGGTGTACGAACGTTTTGGCTGCCCTGAACATCTTAGCCGCTTTGGCCCACTGAACGACGCCGCACTCGACGAAATCAGCCAAGCCGTTTCTAGCCACGATGCTGCGGACGTTGTTCACGCTGGTCACGTTACCGTCCGTCAAAGCGACTTTACTCGGTTCGCAATATTTGGCGGCGATCACGCCTGCCAGGCAACTCATGCCGCCACCGAGCTCGAGGACTCTCCCGTTTCGACAGATCTGTCGATTCTTCAGTAGATAATATGCCAAGCATTCCTCCGACGGCCAGACGCATATGTTACCGGTGTTGTTGAAGCCGATCAATTCGTTGGCGGTGAAGTTTCTCTTTATCCGACGTATCTGCACGCTGTACGGCTTGTTCTCCAAAACTCGTCGAAGAACAGACAATCCGCGCACAGGACCACGTCGTACGGTTTCTCCAGAATTTTGGCAGTGTCCTTGCCGGTCCAATTCTACGTAAAAATTTAATTCAGAATCTTCCGAATGTTCGGGCAACAACTTCCTGGCTATCTCGAGATGATAACGTGTCGGACTATTAAAATTCGTTCGAGAAAAGTAATATCGAAACCGATAATTTTAACCGGGTAAGAAGAATTACTTTCCGTTTGCCACGAATCGCTTCTCGAATAAATCTCTACGAACGGGGAAAGGGATCGAAGGAAAAGCCGGTAACTGACCAAAGAGTTTCCGGTATAGCTGAAAGCGACCGAAGAAGTACGCGCGCGCATCACGGCAATCTCTGCTACGGGTCAAGAGCTTCGAACCATAAATTTGTTGCAACGAGTCGTTTCTCCACGTTGATCGATGAACCGTAGCGATCGAACGATTTCAATCGCACTGTTCACGATCGAGAAAGTTTCTAACTCGGAGGAACGCCGTTTACTCGTTGACAAACCGATCGACGTAGAGTTACGGTACGTATCTGTTGGAGCTGCGATACGATCGCTAACTCGCTTCGACGTAAACATGTGTAATATAAAACGATATGCATTTCCATGTTTTGTTATCTGTTAGTCGTTTATCGCAGCACCATCATGAACGTCTCCTAGAAATAAAAAGAGTTGTGGAAATCACCTTAACTCGGAGGCCATTGGGGCGCGGGTGTACGAACGTTTTGGCTGCCCTGAACATCTTAGCCGCTTTGGCCCACTGAACGACGCCGCACTCGACGAAATCAGCCAAGCCGTTTCTAGCCACGATGCTGCGGACGTTGTTCACGCTGGTCACGTTACCGTCCGTCAAAGCGACTTTACTCGGTTCGCAATATTTGGCGGCGATCACGCCTGCCAGGCAACTCATGCCGCCACCGAGCTCGAGGACTCTCCCGTTTCGACAGATCTGTCGATTCTTCAGTAGATAATATGCCAAGCATTCCTCCGACGGCCAGACGCATATGTTACCGGTGTTGTTGAAGCCGATCAATTCGTTGGCGGTGAAGTTTCTCTTTATCCGACGTATCTGCACGCTGTACGGCTTGTTCTCCAAAACGGTGGAATACTCGTACCAGGTCGCGGAGTCTGGCTCGGTTGGCGAGTCCTCGACGCGGCTGATCCTCAACAGATCGAAGCTGGTGAAGCGACGAACCGACGCGTCGTCCTCCGGATCGTCCTCCTCGTCCACGGAATCCGACTCCCGCGAACCGATCAACGCTTTAGCGAGAATACGCCATCTTCTCTGCGCCGTGGTTTTCTTTTTCTCGTCCAGCGTCTCGCTCGCCGATGTCTCGTGACGGGCCAAACTCTTCTCGGACATTTCCCCCGATTCCGACGCGTTCCATCGAACGAACGTTTCCCGTGGACTTTGACGGATCGAAACCTTCAAACGGCGAAGGACGAGATTTTTAATACCGAACGAGTCGTTTCGCCAACGACGTCAAGGGTTGCAGAGCGAAGGACGATTCGTCTCATGGTAACGCGACACGAGAGCGAACGGCCTGATCCTTCTTTAAAGCCGCAGGCGTTCGAGCGTTTTCTTGACGGATCGAGGGTAAAGGAAGCAACCCTTGCTCGGGAGCGGATCTCCTTGCTCCACGCGAGAACGGGAATGAACGAAAGAACGGATAGAGACTAAAAGCGCGAAGCCAACTTCTAACTCGCGCGCCACGCGGATCCCGAGCGTTAACCGCGTCCGCTTCGCGCTTGCGCGTCTCCTCCTATATCCCCTGCATCCTACCGGCTATCGGCTATCGGTTCGCTGTCGCGTACACCCGCGTATATACGCACACGTTTCTTCCCCTCTTACCACTTACGTATCGTAACTTCACCCTCGTATTCACCCCTCTTTCTGTTTCTCTTTCGCTTTCACTCTTCTTTTCGCTTTCGTTCGTTTCGCGCAATGTTCCTCGTTTTCCTCCCAATCGAAATTTCTTTCTTCCTCGATACTACGTCTGAAAATCACGGTACCTTTCCCAGTATGTTACACGCTGTCGTGACAAAACTACTTTTAAAACAAGCAAAAAGTTTGCTCTTTTACAAGTAAAAAGTTTGAAAGAATCTTTCCAGAAAACGTACGTATAGTCGCGAGTCGAGGCATTCGAAATCCTATTACCGGCTATTATTACATATTCTCAAAGTCGATTACCATCCGACAAAAACGCAGAGGCAAAAAGTCGTTGGAAAGCGATATCTTTTTCATACGTTTCCGTTCATTTACTTTTTCTCGGAAACGCGACGCGATCGCCTTGCTTTTTCCGTCTCGCACAGCACGCGACCAACGGAAAAACATCCGTTATTGTGCTCGCCATGCGCGAAGTTTCTCCTTTTCAAATTACGATATTCTCCGAATCCTGACGCGGGAGTCGAAACTTCGATACGATGGTAGAAATAGAAACATACTCGGTGTTAAAGCATCGGGATTTAAAAAGATTAATTTGTATTTTAATTTATTCGAAAGCTGCCGCGTTCTTCTGTTTATTTTTAATTAATCGGGCGTCAATACTGTCGGTAAATCGCGAACAAACGACCGAGAGAAAAATACGGATCGAGAACAGTGTTTACGAGAAAATCCTATTGCGTGAGGGGAATCGATGCGGATGTCCGTGATTAGACTAGCGACGAGTACAACTCTGATACGAACAAGTATTTGCGGACTTTTGATTCGTGACACGACAAAATCTGTAATAAACCGTAATCGCGTTCGCTACGGTATCCAATTTATCTTAAACGAGGCAATCTCTAACTGTATTATTACGTAAAACGACTTAGCACGGTATAGCTATGCATTGAAAATGAATTATTAGCTTTCTCTAAAAGGTACGAACAAAGGAGATTCTCGTATTGAATCGCTTTTAAATCATGGCGACGTTACGAGTCTATTTGCGCGTACTTCCGGTGGACGCTATAGCGTCGGACAATTGGCAACTGACACCGAATTTTACGCGGGTTTAGTGAATACTCGAGTTCTTATGCAACTGCGAAGAAATGAAAGAGAAACAGAAAGGATGCGCGAGAGAAGAGAACAAGAGAAAGACTGTACGTACGTAATCTGTTTCCTATTGTTTGACACGATTAAAGCCTGGTGACAGCGATACTCGAGCTTCCGTCTGAACGCGAAGTTGATAGCTTACGCTTGCCAGAACGAATATAAATCTCGCTCGTCGCGAAATGCGAAGTGTGCGATAAAATGCTGGCAAATGGAACAATCGACCTTTCGATGCCTATTCCGTGGCCATTTCAAAGCAGACGATGCAGCGATTCGGAAGATAAACGACCAGATGCGAACAATGTGTTCTGAAACGATTGTATTCTCGCGAAATCAACAAATCCTCGACGTCGTAACGATAAGTATCTAAGGTATAAAGATTCGAGTATCTCGAAAACTCCGAAGGCACTTATTTGCGACACTTAAATGTACAGCTTATAGAGTTCCTTTGGTATGCGAAGACCTGTCAAAAAAGATTTCCCGCCATTTCTTCGACGCCTAGTTTACATTAGGTTAGTAGGGATTTATGGGAAATTATTGGCACTATAGCTGGAACCAGACTTTTCCCATTAGCACTGGTTAACGTTTACCCTATTAACGTAAACTAGAACGAAAGTAGATCAAGCTAGCAATAAGAGACGGCCTTCTCCTATATCACCCCTCATCGAGGGAAAACAGTATGTCACTGTGCAAGATAAATCGAGTGCTGGTAGCACGATTCAGTTCGCAGTCGCGTCAGTCGCGAAAGAGCGGCGCGTAGAGAAGGATGTGATTTCGGGACGTTTAGATTATGCATTAAAACAAATATCTATTAGGATATAGGACTGTACAAAACAGTTTCACACCTTCTTCACAACGTAATAGTGATGTTGCATTCTTCTTGGCAAACCAACCTGATGCATTGCATCTAATTTGATCGAAATTAGTCAGAGCGTGGCTGTCGTGATATTTCGTGCCAGCTACCGAAGAGAGATTTTACTCGCGTATCATAATTTGTCAATGCACTTTTATTTTGTAATTTTAAACAAAACACAATTACATACAATCTTACACTTTATGTACTTTCGACAGTATTCATGTACAACAGAAGTTCGATAAAAATTATACTTACATATTTTAAGGCTCAAAAGATTCCTACCGCCTCTTCATCAGTTATGATCGAAATACAGTGTTTTTATCGGAAATACGCGATTGTTTTGTGGATCGTTTAATCATCTAACCTCAAAAATGTACTAGTTCTCGTTCGAAATGTCTTAACACTCGTACGTTTCGTTAATGCATTGCTTGCAACTGAATAATTAATGCAACGGTTAAAGTAAACATAATTCGTATACACTACGAATCCAAATTTTAATTATATTAGATAATAAACCACTACGTAAAAGGGCAACAGCTGATGGCAACACTGATGTAAACGATAAACTAACGCCATAAACCAGGTACAGAATAGACCGATCATCTTATGGGACTTTGTGTTCCATATACTGAAATACCGATCGGGTAAAAGTCAATCTTTATTGTGCCCTCTAGAACGCTATATTTAAGAACTATTGCATGTGTTAGGTTAGTTCATGCGCGTTTAATGCACGGTAAGTGGAAACTACAAGTTCCAAATATATAAATAGTTTGCATATACATATGCAATACTATATTTATGTAGTATTCGTGGCAACGCCATCTGAGATAAAAAATATCTATTTATCGGCGGCCATTTCGTTGATTTTTATGCCACGCGATGTCGTTGTCCGATAACGAAATATTTTACGTCGACACCGCTAGATGAGTTAGTGATCGATTTTACGTTAAGATGATAGTGAATGTGTTTTGATACTTTTCTTGAAAAATGTTAATGTTACACAATTCCGAATGGTTTGATAAGTCGAATCTTTTATTCATCGCATGCGGTAATGAACGTATAAGTTATTATGATTGTTGGCACATAACGACAGGAAAAATAATCGGGAAAAAAAAGGAACGCGTGTTACGCGTATCAATCGAACATTTAATACTTTAGCCTTAGCCTATTAAGAGCATTAAACCCGTTCGTTATGACGTAAATTGTAATCTAGAATATAATACAATGAGTAAGGCAAGAGTAGGGTCAGAGTATATCCCGTTAGTAGAAGACGAGATGTCGAAAACGCGACTCGTTATACCTTTTGCCAAGTTAGCATGGTTTACCGTTTCATTACCGCTTTTGGCATTTATTTTTTGTATCGTTTGGTCAATTTTGTATAATTTCGAGCACTCTACTTCTACTCATTGCAAGGTATGTTAATGATTAAAATATTTATTGTCTGTATGCTTTCTTGTTAAAAATTTTGATTTATGTAAATAAACTCATACATATGCATAAATTTTGTCAGGTTTATAATTTCTTACCATCCGTCTCTGCTGCAATCGGGCATTACAAACCACAGAGAAATGTTTGGAAAGTTGCTATAGCGATACAAGCAGTGATAAGAGTTTTGGTATTATTAATGTACCGTCGTTATTACAAAGAACGTATCTTTAAATGGGCACAAAGTATATGTGACATTGCAATAGTTACATATGCCATTGAAAACATATCTCTTGTAACTTTAAGTTTTTGGACTTCCGATGAAAATTATGGTAGGTATAAGAATTTGTCAAAACATGTACAACATAGAATAATGTATGTTTCTTTTGCAGCCTTTCACAAATTGTCTTTCATAATGTTTTTAATAACATCTTTTATACATATGATAGTGGCATATTTTATCATGAAGAACTGTCTAAACAGTACTAGAGAATATTCGGAAGTTACTTCCTTGAAATGGAAGCATAGATCCATAATAGTTAATTTTTCATGTATAATATTCGCGTGTTACTTTTTTTATAGACATAATAAGTATTGCGAACCACTAGGTGAGTTAATTATCATAGGCAAAAATAAACAAATTTTCATTTACAAAATACGATTGTTTCCTTGCAGTCTACTCTATGTTTGCGCTGAGTGAATACGGAGTTGTCCTTTCAAATATGGGGTTCCATTCGACTGCAGCTTGGGATTTTGCAAATTCGAGGCTTATGATATCAGGAAGTGGGTTCAGAATAATTTGAAGTATTTTTTTATGACAACATTGTTATTCTTACATATCTATAAGATAGGTTTTCATATAAAACTCGGGACGTTTACTTTTAAATCTTAATTATATTTTCTAGCAGTATTTTATACTTCTGTATTTGGAAGTCGTAAAAAATAACTTTTATCAGATTATTGATAATGAATTATTATTGTGATAAATGCGAAAGGACGAGCACAGTTAGTACATATTTGCTTACAAACGGATTGTTGTAATGATATCAAATTGTAAAAAATATAAATATCATTCTCAAAGAAATACTTGTTTAAAAACAAAAGGTTCCATATGAAAAAATATAAAATCACGTTTATTTTATTTGATTGCAATGTAAGTATGTGATGAGTCACGATACGTCGTTTCCGTATAAATAAGATTCACAACTGTTCCGACATCATTTACATGAAATGTAATAAAAATTTTATATTAGTTCAAAATTTAAGTTCGGGACGTCTTAAAATTTAAAATCAGTATCCAATTTATTGGCAATGTGCTTGGCAATTGCCATCGAGCTAGTTGCAGCGGGAGAAGGTGCGTTGCGACAGTGAACCACTCTGGCACCTATGTTACCTTTTCCTACGTCGAAAACAAAGTCATCTACTAATTTACCATCTTTATCCAGTGCTTGTGCTCTTACACCCGCTGGTCCTCTGCGTAACAAAATGCACGAATAATTGAAAAAATAACGGAGTAATTGGCATGACGATGCAATAGAAATATCTACCTTTTCACATCTTTGTAAGTTACTTCAGGAATGAATTTTTGCAGATCTTTGACTGCGAGCGGATAGAAAATTGATTTAATTATTTCGTGACAACCTGGTATAAAATATCGGAAGCAGAGCTTGTACAGTCCGGGAAATTTCGCCATTTCTATACAATCCCGTATATTTATATCGTACCACCTAAAAAATACAATTAACAATTATTAGGTGATCAAGTATTATACATACGAAACATTTGATTCCTGCGTACCGATAACCTTCTCGGGCAAATGCTAAAACGGCGTTTGGTCCCAGCCATATATCACTGTTCATTCTAGGTGTAAAATGAACTCCTAAAAACGGAAATCTAGGATCTGGAACAGGGTATATATTTGTGGTACATAAATGCTTTTTGCTTTCGCTTAGTAACAAGTATTCGCCACGGAATGGAACAATTCGTGGACTCAGATCGCACCCTGTCATAACTGCTAGACGATCTGAATGCAAACCGGCACACGTTAACACGTGATTCGTAGGTATACACTACAACGTAAAATAATAACGTAAATTAAAAACCAAACGGAAACATGTAATTATAGATAAGAAACATAAAACCGTACCCTGTCTTTCGATTGTACCGATATTGGACAAAGAGGTCCTTGGTCTTTAGATTCGGTCATCTCAGCGAAGCCGGTAACTTCGTAATCTAAAATTATTTTACCGCCCATCTTTTGAAAGTCTTCGGCAAAGTGTTTGCAAACCACTGACCAATCTACTATACCCGTCCATGGTGACCACAATGCCTTTTCTCCCTATCGAGTGCATAAGCATTTTTCATTATTCTACAAATTCTAGAGAAATGTTTTACAAAGGAAAATGATTTCAGTACTTTGCATTTAGCTTCGTATTTCGATATACAATCTTTTTCAACTAGTTGAAGGTCAGGTACATTATTTTGTTGTCCTCTGTTATACAGTTCTTGCAGTTGTTTAACTTGCTCCGCGTTTGTGGCTACTATGAGTTTCCCCACTTTCTTGTGCGGAATATTATTTTTGCAAAAATAATCGTAGCATAGCTGGAAACCTTCCACGCATAGTTTCGCCTGTAATTAGTTCCTGCCGAATCAAACATCTCTTAACGAAGCGTTATTCTACTATACGATCAAAAATTCTATATTCTAGTATAGATTGATACCGATAAAGTTCACGATAAAATGTATTCAATTGTAAGTGTTTTTTTACTTTCATACTGCCAGGTTTGTAATAGATGCCAGCGTGCACTACGCCACTGTTGTGCAGCGTCTGATGTTTGGCTAGGCCATTTTCTTTCTCAACGATCGCCACCTTTAGATTGGGGTGCCTCAGTAATATTTCTCGAGCAGTGGCGCACCCAACAATGCCGCCCCCAACCACAACTAAATCGAACGTTCCGCATGAATCTACGCTAAAAATGTTTTACATGCAATTCCGTTTAATTTATACGACTTAATTGCAAGGGACACGTCAAGAGGTGTCCTCACTTATGAAATTTTTTCGGCGCTAAATACAAACGCTATTACTCGTGAAACTACGAAATAACGGGAAAAAAGATAACACCATGTAAGGCGTTCAATGTAATTAACATCAATGAACCAGCTAACCTGGAAGAGACTCCATAGCGGCGCATATGAGCAAGTTGTTGAAATACGATCCTTTTCGTGAAGGGTGCGAGCATATTTGTCGTTGTATTTGATCACGTTAAATTTGGACTTGGTTTACTAAGAAAAAAAAAATGGAAAAACTTGCCTATTATAATTATCGATAAAACTATGTACTTAATTAGTTGTTAACTTATTAGTCATTTATGTAAATTTTCTTTCCACCTGACAAATAACTAACGTCATGTCAATTAGATTATCGGTGTATATTATGTTCATTAAATATAATGGGGTATAATTTTATTTCTGTCGAGAGAAAATTAACGAAACGTTAGACGAGTTTCGTTCCGTGCATTTGTCGGAAAAGATACATGTAAATGATATATTCTGTTCGATTTAAACAGCCGCCATATCGAAAGCGTTTTTTCTTTCAAATTTTTTCATCGGTTATACAAGCATTTCATTGGTATTTCATCGATACCAACGGCATATTTTAATCCCTCGTGCGCATTACGTAATGATCGATTTTTGTATTAACCTTGTAACACAATCTACAGCATACTGTATCGTATAATATATGTGTACTTACAACAGGAAATGCACGTGTATAAGAGACGCGTGCGTTACTTAGCAAAGGTACTATACACTCGAGCAAACAATTACATATGGCGTTAATTTACCGGCAAATTTTGCAGAAAATACTTTGGCACATGATTTCCTATGTGAAATGCCGTCTACTCGCACATTTCTTTCCTACTAAACGAGCATATGGTTCTGACGTCAATTTTCAGGATTTGCACAGTGTCGCCTGATAAAGTCGTAGTATTCGATACGTGGCGCCTCCACGCACAGATTTTGATATCGCTAAGTTTGACAATGACATTATCGTTCTAAACGAGCTAGACGATCAGAAATTATAAATCAATAAAGAAAAGATAAAGCTTCGGCGGCGTTTGACATTCCAAGTAATCTCGTATCTATGAACGACTAGTTCGATTTTCTAACGCACATTTCACGAAAAGTTAAAGATAGCGCGAACAAAAACGCGTAAGAGTTTAAGCGTTATCGGTTGTGTCGTGGCTCGCGTAATAAATTCTTTTTTATCTCGTATCATTTTTTAACCGTAACTCAATATACATACTATTCTTTCCGTGTCCTTCTATCTCTCATTATCCAATATTCATTTTTCATTGCCAGGTGTTCTCTTGTTTGTCTATTTTGCAATGTCATAAATTTCTTTAGTTCAAAAAGAAAAAGAGGTGAAAGAAATGGAATCGGGTGAAGAGAGAGGACAGCGAGAGGAAAAGAAAAGGGAACAGTAAGAGACAGCAAAATCTTCTTACCAGGAGTGTAGTCACGGCGTCGTAGAAACAACAAAAAGACGATAAAGTTGTAATGTATTGTGTAATTCACGGTCATTTGAATTTGGAAACTGTGAGATAACAGTATCTTTGGATGTATATAATTTACGAGTATGGTGGTAATCGGAAAATAAGTAAATTACATTGTTTTAGAATCTTGATCACGTTAAATATGCGTTATGTAAATTTGATATAATATTTGTTGTAACCCATCGACGTGATTCTGTAAGATACGTCAGATCGGACGAACGTAAAATGGATCGACATGGAAAAAAGTTTTTATGGCGGGAGAAAGAGAAACAAGTTGCGCCCCTGAACCACGATGCGCGACTATGATGCGCGCACGTACACGGCCGCCGAGAGTCAGTCAACCCAGTGACGTCTAGAAGCGTAAGTGGTTCGGTCGGATTGTCGCGCCGGTATTCACGAAATCGTAAATTATTATGTATCCAAATATATGAACGGTTTAATCGCGTGAACGTATCGTCACATCAGACGCCGATCGCGTGAGGTAATAGAGGCGAAAAGCGAGAAACGCGAGGCGCGTCGGTGCGTCATTTGGAACTGCATCGGTAAATAATGTGAAGTTGAAATTTTGACGAGTCCCTGAAAATGTGCGTGAGTGAAAACACATAGAAACGTCAGTTGGCGAAGATGATCGCAGAGCGTAGACGCCGTTCGATTTGAAAATGCATGGCGAAGAAGTATCGTGACGAACGAACAGGGAAGACGCCATCGAAAAAGGATTTGAAGCTTTTTTCTCGTGCCGGCGTTCGGTTTACGCGACAGAGTCGAACGAATCGTGACAAGAATATCGTTCGGGCGTGTAATGAAAGGCAAATTGGAAAAAAGCGATTGCAGCGGCGAGACTTAGCGCGAGTAAGCGGAGGAAATTGATCGTTGAAGTCGAAAAAGGAGAGGAAAAAGAAGCGGAGGAAGAAGAAGAAGAAGAAAACGCGAGAATCGTTGAAATATAAGGAAAGCGAAGTCGAACGAAGCGCGAAGCGCGCGCGCGGCCTTCCGCAGAGTAAGCGAGGATGGAGGACGAATTACGATGTCCTTGTTGCAAGGAGCTGTTCGTCGAGCCGGTGCTATTACCCTGTTGGCACGCTCTTTGTCTGTCGTGCGCGGTTAATCTTCAAGCACCGCCGGACTCGCCTCCGGAGTCGACGACCGATTCATCGAACGCGCCAGGATCTGATCAGGAGGCCGATAAACTTTCGATTTTGTCCGAGACCGACTCGGGGGTGGTGTGCAGCAGCACGTCAACCAGCTCGCGACCAGGAAGCTATGTCGGCACACCCGGAAACGGTGGTTTTCCGCCGTCAGGCGGCACTTTGTGTCTTTCTTGCCCCGTTTGTCAGAAGACCGTATATTTCGACGAAGGCGGAGCACACAATTTGCCCAAGTACAGGGCAATGCAGCATATCGTGGAAAAATATCAGGAATCGAGGAACGCGAGATTGCAGTGTCAAATGTGCGAGGGTGAACCCCGAGACGCTACCGTCGCCTGCGAACAATGCGAGGTTGGTCAAACTTTCGAGCTTATAGTTTAGCGCCGTCAACGTTACGAAATTTTTAATTTCTTCGTCTAGCGTCACGTGTCGTATAAAAGAACGTTTGTCGATTGTAATACGGAGGATTTAGGGCTTGTTTCTTTCCACGTTAACCACCGTGCTCTCGGTGCACGCGTTTTCTTCGTTTATTTGTACGAGCCTCGTTCCGAATACAAACGCGGCGAACTTCTCGGAAATCAACTTTCTCGAGTCACGCTGTATAGTGCACCGAGAGGTAAAGACGGTGTTGGCTCGCGAATAACGCAAGAGACCGAGTCGATGCGGTTAATATTCTCGCGGCAGTTTACTCGCCTCTTGATCCGTAGATCTTAGATACGAATACCGTTTCTAATACCTCCGCATAAATATGTTCGATGATCTCGTAAACCTTGTAAAATCATGGGCGACGAGATATATTCGTTTTTCCGCGTGTTTGTTTTCGATCGACGGTATTGAAAAGAACGCATCCGAGATAGAGACACGGTGCGACGTTTTGAAAGGATCGTGGGGTTCGTTTCAGGTGTTGTATTGCGACGGCTGCAGAGAATCGTGTCATCCGAAGAGGGGACCTTTGGCTGCTCACAATCTGGGCCCACCTCGTGGCAGCTGGCAATCGAACGGAGGCAAAGGTTCTCGCGGTCCAGCCACGGAAACTACGCCGGTTTGCAACGATCACAACGGCGAACCGTTAACTCTCTACTGTGCCCTCTGCAAAATCGCGATATGCGCGCTTTGTCTTCGGGATCGTCACGCCGCTCACCCACACGACGTCCTACCATTGGCCGCAGCCTGCAAGGCCCAGAAGGTGACCGCTTTCGTTTCTTTCACGAATCTATAGCGCCGGCTCTGTCCTCTTTACCGAGTTACTCTCGTTACGCTTTCGTCGATCGCGCCTTTCGGCTGATCCGTTGCTCGTCGATGTAACGCTCGATCGAGTTGGCACGGCGATTTATCGATGACCTTGGCGGAACTGGTTTCAACGTCCATTCAAGCTGTACGACGTTTCCGTTTTCGCGTTCGAGCGCTAACCCACGGATCGTCGACCTCGGGCTACAAAGCGACGTCGCTCGTGACTTTGACCGCGCCGAATTAACCCTGCTCGCTAAAGGTACTCGAACGAGCGCGATAAGGAGAGATCGTCGCGCGATACGAAACAGTTCGCACGAACGTCGAACAAAGGAAGAAGGCGGACAATTCTTCGATATCTCGCGTATTACGTATCCAGTCTGCTCGTTCTCTCGGTACGCTTTCTTTCTCTTCCTCTCCGCGTTGCGACTCGACTCGTTTCGTTGTCTCGTCTTCTCGAACCAGCTTCTCCTCTGTTCGTCGTTGCTCTGCCGTTGTTCCTTCCTGCTTTTGCATTCTTTCCCTCGGCTTTGTTTTCGCACGAGGAACTCGACTCTCGCATCTCTCTTCCAGAGGTTCGTTGCGTGATGCGACAGCCAACCCGAACAGTTGAATCCGTATTTACTCGGTTTACGATTTACCTTTTGCTACGTATTTACCGCAGGATTTTATTCGACGTTCCAGATAGATATTCACCAGAGTTAGCATTATTCCGAGTAATCTTCGAGGGAAACAGAGTGAGAAATCATTTATTAATTAACTCTTTCAGATCTGATTTCGTCTGAACAGGTTATTATAGTACATCGGTATGATTACATAAGCGCAGTTGTATATTACATTGCAACAATAAGTTTTACAATATTTAGCAAGAATTAAACATTCCGGTAATTATTCAATGTTCGTAGTTGCATATAAAGACGCAACTGAAAGTGCAGATAAAGATTATGAAAGTTGCATATAATGATTACATTGAAGTTGAAAGAAAGCCTTATTTCGACGAAGGTTGAGTTAAAAACGAATCTTGATCGGCAGGTTATCGTTTAATTTTCGCGTTAAATCGAGGCGGGCAGTTTGTCACATGGCCAATCGGTAGGGTGGTTTCGTATTGTTCATGAAGAAAAGGAATCGTCCACGTGACCGTTTCGCGTACAATCGAGACCACGTCGCGAAAAGAATCGGAGCGCGTTCAGTGCACGACGAGTGTCCTTATTATATTTTCACCCCTGAATATTCTTCTGCTCGCACCCTCTCGTGGCCTTTCTTCGCGGCCGTCGTTTCTCTTTGTTCCCACGCTACCACTTTCGACGAAACACCGGTACTTTGTTCGAGAAATGGGCGATCTCGCGAGAGCAGAGATTTTCAGCCACGAGAACGTAGTTTCGTCGAGAGGTCGTATCTTGGATCAAGTCGTAATCGCGTTTGAGAAGTCGTGCCGCGGGTGATATTCGAAGCTCGATGGAAGTTGCGCAACGGTCGAAGGGAAGGCAAAAGCAAAAGTTTTCGGAGCGCGGGAATAGACGAGCGTTGTACCATTAGATTCCGTAAATGGAAAGTTGGCGTAAAATGGCGGCGGTCGTGACACGACGTAAGAACCACGAACGGCTTTCGTATGCGCGACCTCCGAGGCGTTTGCTGTTCTTCGACCGTGAGACGCGGAGCCCGCGCGAATTCTCCGAGAAAAGACGAACGTTTAGCCAGCATCGTCCTCGTCGATTCCCGTGCCTCCTTTTTACCTCGCTTTTTCTCTTTACGACGAGATTTAATGAACCGCTGCGAAACGACGTCGCCGCCAGCGATTAAACTAGTTTCACTTTTCTGCGAGCTTTTCAACGCGAATCTACTCTCGCTTTGACGATACCAAAGCGGCCGCTTATCGAGGGAACGACATTTTTTCTTCGAGATTTCATCCCGTCTTATCGCAAAAAAGCTCGCGCCCCGAGCTCTTTTCAGACTTTCGTAGAAGCTTTTCGTAATTACTCGACTAGTCGATCGAGCCGGGACACGAAAATGCTCGTATCTGGGGAGTCACCGTGAAAAATCACGGGGCTATAGCGTTGCTCCGAATTTCCGTGAATTCGAACAGATAGAAATTACGTACGAGGGAAAAGTATAAGGGGAGCATAGAACGAGAATAACGAGGACGCGGGAACCTACGAACGAAAATAGTTCTTGAAACAGTGCCAGCCTTTGATGCTTCGTACTCGTACTCGTACTCGTGTCAGGAAATAAACAAAAAGCGCGAGCACGCTTACGCGTATGGGAGGGTACGCAGATACTTACGTGATCCGTCGCAATCTCGAAAAGATTCGAACAAACGATGTCTTCTCGAATAATTTATTAAACCCGTCTAGGCCTTTTACTCCGGAGGATATGATTTTTTTATTCATTTCCAAGATTTCAAATTTTCCAAATCCCTAAAAGTAAGGCAAGACTGTTCCTTGTTGGGTCCCACATTTTCCCCAGGGAAGCCATTTTGGAACCGTACAAATTGCCGCGAAGGTAGGTGGATTTTGTACGCCGTAGGAAAAGAAGATCGCGAGCAAATATGGTAATCGTAAGATTCGAAAAAGGGGATCGATCGCGGTGAATTCGTTAGTAGGCGTAGGAGTGTTCTGGCCGGTGGAGATACATCGTAGGGATATCCGAGATATTTATGGTGGCTTGGTCGGCGTGATAAGTGCGGTGCACGCGGTTAGGGTGATAGGCTGCGCGAGGACGAAAACGCGTTACATAGTGCTGCCGCGCACGATATGTGTCGTGACGTTTCTCCTGCCCACCCGCGCTCTTTTTCCTCCTCTTTTACCCCCTGAATTTGCCCTCTCCTTAGTCGTCTCGTTGTTTTGTCCGGAATTTAACGACGAGATCTTTTGCTCCCTCGCTACAGGGTGGTCCACTTCATTCGCGACAATCGTTGTTCTATCCATGGAGAGATCGAAGGGGTTCGAAGGTTAAACTGCAACTTTTTAATTGGGAATTTGACCGCTTTAATTAGGGTGGACGTTTCACGGTGAACGTAGCAAAGGAGCTTTTAGTCGGAGGTTCTTGGTCGTAGGTCGCGAGTCGTTTGCTTCCCTTTCGCCTTCTAAAAATACCGGCACAGCGATAGCTCGCGAATCTTTTGCTCTCGAGGACCGCCGCGAGCATCGTTCCAAGCCTTGGCGTTACGTTCGCCAATTTCCTTTCGTTTTACGAGAAAGCCGTCTGTTGGAACTCGACAGATCGATTCCCTCGCAATTCCTTCCCGTATAAAACAGAACGCATCGATGACCGCGCGATCGAACGTCACGTTCATCCGCGTTAGGTAATTCGCGTACGGAACTCGTTTTGCTCGTTTGTCGCGTCGCAGCTGTCGATCGCGATCGTAACTGGATTCGCAGCGTGCTGGTACGCGAGTACCATCATGGTGCACCATCGATCGGACATCCTTCTCCGAATCGGTCGTTGCGAGCGGACAGCTGCTCAACGACGATAGAATTTCTATCACGGACTACAACGCGATCGTTTCCGTACTTAACACTACCGACATATAATGTGTACTTAATTTGAAATTAAAAATGAAGTTAAAAAATAAACCACCAAACGACGAAACATAAATTAGTGCACACATTTATTCTTTATCTTGATGAGAATCAATGTTGATTTTAACGAATGTACTTTAACAAAATGTGCACATTATAATAAAAAACTTGCAGAGCGGTCATTTGACCGGTTTGGTAGTTTTAGCTTAAAGACATCATCCCTTAACTGCACCCGAACGGTATGGAATGCACATGTTCGTATTACATATTAATGTTCACGGACATCGACGTCGTTACTTATAAAATAAAAGCTAGTATAAACTTATAAAGGCTAGCATACTTTTCTCGTCTTTCGACCTGACCACAGCGATCGGTTTAATTAATTCGCCGTAGTCGAAAGTACGTGTAAAGCGAGAATTACTCTCTTCTCTTTAAGCGGTCAGCATTGTTTCAGTATCCTATGAGGACTCATTTCGTGGCGTACGAACAGTACGTGATTAATAGAACGTATAGAAGTTGATTCCATTGAGGTGTCGTGGTATTAAGCGGGCAATAGCCATTGTGCGGAAGCTAGAATAATCAAGGATACGATTATTGCGAATCCGTCGGAAACGCGGTCGATCGTTTTCTTCGCGTGAGTCTAGTTCGTCCACGAGTACATCGACTTTCGAAAGTTTGGATAGCGTATGATTTATTTTGAAAGTTCCCTCGTACCGGGTCCCGAGTGGATATAGAATCAACGAAAAAGAGTGGTGAATGAAACGCGGTGGAATGGTGAGTCATCGTTTAAAGGCGGGGGTTGAGATAGGGTGAAAGAGTGCGACAGAGAGAGAGAAAAGGGAGTCGTTTCGGCCATTTCGAGAACGACGAATCGTCGACTCCCTTTGCACGCTACTTTTCGACCAAGCACGTGTTACGAATTCGAGGGAAATCCATAAATAGTTCGCTCGACCACGATAACGAATCGCGGAGTTCTATCGTTTCCTATCGTTAGAGCATTGCAACGCGACTCGTCGAAAGAAAATTTTGATCCTCTCGAAACGTTCGCGAACGAGTCATCGAAATAACTTTAACAACGGAAGTTGAACACGATCGTTGCTTTTTCGACGAGAACGAGGAGTAGAGTGATAGAGGAGGGAGGGTAGTTGGTCGGTTTAAATTTCCTTCGGATCGATCGCGCGCATACGTGTACGTGTACGTACACGTAGGTAGGTAACCGTGAAAAGCGTGGCCTGGCGTAGAAAGCAAAGCGGAGCTTTGGCACGGGTCACGAGCTCTTCGAGAGGGGTTCGTCCCTTTCGTACGAACGCGAAATACGAGTGCATCGTGACCACGCTTCGGCAATTATCCGGTACTTTGGTCGGCTCGACTGAAAATATTACTCTGGTTCCCCCGTTATCGAAGCGTATTAAAAAAGTGGGAAAAGTATGAGGTTTCGCGGTTCTCGCCGCTATTTTTCCGTGCGTTCGACTAACGCTCGTGATCCGTTCGTGTCGTCGGTAAATTTCCCGATTCGGTTCGAACGTTAACGGGTCAAGATGGAAAAGAATTTCGCGTCGATGGCACTTTGTCGCGCTCTATTCCTTCGCGAAGCATTCTTTTCTTTCCACGGTGGAAGCAGATACATTTTCCGCACGTACGACCAGCTTTCTGACTTAACGAGTCCTCGCTTGGTTCGAGTACGTGACGAGCCAACGTTTAGAACGCTCAGCCCTGTCGGAAGACGTCCGGACGAAAACTAGCTGGAACCGCAACGAGAGGAAACCCTGGCACGCGTTTTCGAAATAGCTGGAGCACGATGAACCGTGCGAGAGAACGTGGCTCGTTGTTTGTTTCGATTCGGATTCTTTGATTCGACAGAAAACAGACGTAGGAAGAAAACTGCTGCTTTTCTGTGTACGAATCAACGAGTAAAGATCTCAATAGAGAACAACCAGGAAAATTTTGGGGTTCTAGAAATTTAGGGACATAGAATTTGTAAGTCTTGAAATTTTTAGAATGTATAAATTGTCGAATTTACGGCTCTCCAGACAGCGTACTGTACGACGCGTCCAGAAGAGACAGATGTTCGAGACTATTGCGTACGATTCGATTAATCGACGCGTCGATCGACGTCTATCGAGTTATCGCTCGACGTTCGCTCCGTTCAGCCGTTCGATTAAGCGTCTGTTCGTGAACGTATCGTTCGCGTGTCTCCGACGAGTCGCAACTCGTCGCGTTCGTCAGGAAAAATTTGAAGGAAGAGAGAAGCGTCGGTGTTGTCGTTCACCGGTGCGTTTCGATTCGCGAACGAGAGAAACCGGTCGACGACCCTGCTTTTAATTTGACGCATCGTCGCTCCTCCAGATTAAAACGAGCGGTGCGCAACCCTTTGGTTCGCGACCACTTTCTAGCTTCGCGATCGACGACTCGTGATCTTCGTCGACGGAACTCTGTGCTATCCTTTCTGCAGAGAAAGGATATCTCGTCGACGGAGCAGGCGATTACAGCGATCGGTCGCAGCGTTTACAGAGGCGTTTACGCGGGGTCGCATCCGGCGTCCCTCGCTCGTTTCCATCGAGAAACGCTGGTGGCAGTGACGGTTAGGGTGGTGGGCGCCGTCGACCGGGCGAACAGATATAAGCTCGCGGCGGAATGAAAGGGGTGGGCGGGTGTCGTTGTTGCTCGTAAACCCTTCCGTGCTTTCCTACGTTCGGTGGGTCCGCGACGGGCTCGAATCGCGTCGGGCTGCATCTCCGCGATAACGACGACCCCACGATCTCTCTGTCGAATGCAAACGCGAACTCGAAACGGACGTCGATTTCGCTCGATACGCCGTCGACGTTTACGAGCACGATCGAGAGCACGAGAAACGAACATCGC